AATGTGCCAATTATTTTTACGTTTCTTAAATAGAAACACAATAAAAAACATCAAATCCCAACACGACACGCATCTATAGGTAAAGATATGGTATACGTATGTATTTATAGATATATGTATATTGTATTATGTGATCTTTACATCGGATGATGGTCTGGTCTTTTCTTTAGAGATTAGCATAAATATTTATAGCCCATCCGCAATTGTTTGGGGGGGTCGTCCAGAACTCAATCGAATGAGGCTCGCTCGATACCGTTACACAGGTCTTCTGCCCCAAGAACCATTCATTCTATACTTAATTAGGCACACAGATACACAACTTCCCTCTGTGTGTGTGTTTGTGCGTGTGTGCCACATTCCAACAGGCAGTGGCAGTGGCAGAGGCACAGACACAGGCAGTGGCCAAGAGACAAAGCATAAGCCCAAAATGACCGAATGTCGATAAAAATAAATGCAGTCTTGCCCTTTTTCAAAGGAACAAACGCATTTCTAACAAGATTGACACACCGTCAAAGATGAAGAGATGGAGAGACAAAAGTGGAGGAGCTAGAGAGCCAAAGAACTAGACAGGTGGAGAGACAAAGAGATGGAAGTGCCAGAGCGATGTCACACTTTGCCTAACGGCATTCGATTTCAGCGTAAAAGCAAAACAAAAGGGCCCCCAGGGCTGGTACACAACCAATTATCGATGAATATTTATTCAAAACAATATTCCATTCTGGTTTGAAGATCAATATAATCATAAAATACCCACAAATTATACAATTCTAGTAAGGAATATACAAGAAGATACAATCCAAACCATTCCCAACGTTTTTGTCGATGCACAACAATGAAATCTTCAATAGAATAATGTAATATCATTAGTTTCCAGTAATATTACTTGTTACGAATGGTGCTACATCTTTTCCTTTCGACTGTTATCGCTCTGAAATCAATCTCAACGTTTTCGTCGAGGCACACACATGTGCAAGCTTTAATTTAAATTTTTATTTTCCTGGCATAATACCCTAATGAAAATACTCCGAAAGGTTGTAGCTGTCGTGTTGTGGCATCGCCTGCTGCTGTTGTTGCAGGGCTGTTGTTGGCCGTCCGTCCCATATGTCAATGACTCTTACAAATTGATCGAGTCGAAGACCCCAAAACGGGTTAATTGTGTTAAATGGTCACCGCCCACATGAACCTGGCACTGCACTCGGAAAAAGAAGCATAGTTGTTGAGAGAGGCAGCCTCTAGAGATACCAGAAGATACATATCTCTAGGCATGTGATGCCGTTGCCTTTCCTTCCCTCTAGATTCACATGAGAGTTTCTTTTCTGTTCATTCAAATGGAGATAATGGACCGACCTCTTATCGCGCGTTCTACTGGTGGTTTTGCGGTGTTTATCTGTTTATCTATTTGTAGCGCACGGATACAGATACTTATCTGGCAGGCTGTATCTTTGCATCGCGTTTCGCATTTATTCAATCTCTCGAACGTGACCTACGAGAGAGTCAGAGACGATAGAGAGATCAAAAGAGGGCGAACCATTTGAGTGGTATTCAGGGAATGAATGTTTTCCAAAGGAAAACAAGACAGTGTTACTCACAATTAAATACCAAGCCCACTCCCCGCTCATTAGCGAGTATAATTTTTGCATTTTTTCAGGTCTCAGACCTTGCCGCACATTTGGCGCAACATCTTGCGATAAGTTGTGAAAATATTTGCTTTAGTGAAACAGAAAGCGTCGACGCATACAGACATTGTCTATAAGGTTTTACTCTCGGTTCTCTCTACTCTCTATGCTCTCTATTTTTGGCCAGCATAGCAGAGTGAACGAGGGGGTAGAGGGCAATCTTCCATAGTGATGGATTTTTGGTTTTGGCAACAAAATAGAATCCCCGCACATTTTGTTTATTATTTTAGACATTTAATGAGATAAATGCGCATCATAAACCACTGCCCAGAGTCGTCCAGAGAGGAATGGGAATGGGGTGGGGATTAGTGTTGAGTAAATAGTCGCATAATATCTTCCAAAAGATATACCAGTTGGAGAGTGGCACTGGGTGCTGTTTCAGGCACCTGTTTTGCAGTTTATCCTAAGGCACCAAGCGCCAGACACATATGTACATTTCGGCATATCCATTACTTTAACAATAAATGCATGGGTTTACAGATGTTGTACCGAGTGTCCCTTCAGGTGTTCGAAACGGGGTTTTCAATTTCCCGTACTTTTCCTATAAGAACTGAAGTTCTAACAGATTTCCAATCAGTTGAAAAACAATTATCTTTTGGTGGAGTTGTGTCGAAGTTTCAATATATAAAGTGCTTTTCGAAAGAGAAAATGGAAAAATTGGTATATTGTTAGAGGGGGACAGGACATCTGATCGAAATTTAATCATCCATTAAGGCCTTGACGGTAATTGCATTGCGACCTTGGCTCTCCTCCAACTCCTGCCTGAGAACCCTTTTTCGCGATTAATTCTTTTTATTAATCATAAATTGCCATAAAGACGGAGTTGGAGATGGCAATTGTCGGCGGTGCAATGGCTGCAATTGCGCGCGAGCTGGCAGCTCTATTTTTAGAACACGAGCGAGCCCACGGGCAGCGTCCAATGCTTCTGCTGCGCCTCCTTTGGATTTTATATGATTTTTCTGTCCGTCTGGCAATAATTTATGTTATTTGACTTTTGGATCCGATGGAGCAAGCAGCCAAAGATGGTTGGATAATTGCAGGTTCTTCCCATTTCTCGGGGTGGGGCTGGTGGTTACTCCTCCTCTTCCTACTACAGCGTACCTCTCTTCATTGCACTGCTTCACCTGCTGTGCGGAACTGCTTCCCCAGCTTCATCCACTGCTTACATTTGCAATTAGCCGCAACTGAAGTTTTCTCTCTCCCTCTTGTGAGGCTTTCGTTCGGCTTAGCCCGCTCATTACTTGAATTGTCTCTTCACTTGTCGCACACTCCTTCACTTCGCCTTTCCGCGCAGTCCACTTCGCTTCACTCCATTAGAGAAACGTGACATATCGCAGACAGAATGATTAACCCCAGCTCGCTTCCGCTACCACCCCCCACCCCACCGGCAATGCAGTTGCTGCTTGTTTACTTCTATTACCTTTCTCACTGTTGTGTACTTCTTATACCCTTGCACTGAGAGTACTCTGATTTTTGCGAACACTAAGGAAATACTGTTTCTGTTATCTCAATTTCCAACAGATATTTCATTAGGTGAATAAATATAACTAATGGCTGATATCTTGTGTGCGTAACTTGATATAAATCGTATGATCATTGAAATAATTGGTCTGAAAGGGTATACAAAGCCACGACTCCCGAAGCAACATATTTAGCTTTTCTGTCTCTTCTCTAAGCTTTTTTCTTCTTCGTCTTCTTCAATGCAAATGCTATTAGCGCGAGCAGCAGCAACAACAAAAAGTGCAAAAATGTAATTAAATTGTTTTACTTTTTACGGTTTCGCACGTTGGCCATTAGAATTGAGGAAACTGTAACAAAGCCCTTCCCCCCACCATATATGATTGGGGGGGTAAGTAAGAGACCGGCACGAAGCCAGGTTGCATCACAATGCACAGTTATAGCGACAACAGAAGCTTAATGAGCTCCCTACCCCCTGCGCCCCCTAGGCCGTCAACCGACAGCAAATTTCAGCAACAGGGGGAGGGCGTGTCAAAGCCAGAGGTACACGAAGGCAATGTTATTCCACACTCAGAGAGGGACAGGAGGGAGAGTGTGGGACACTGCTCTAGTATAACAATTATCTCTGTTAACTCAAAAGTAAATAGTTCATAAATAAATGATTTATATAATTACCCACACGGAATGACGTCCGAGGCAGCGATGGAAAGAAAAGCTAAAGAAATGAAAAAGAAATAAAAACAGAGCCGCCGGCAGAGTAACGATCATCCGACGCCTCTGTCGCCGTCACATGCAGACAGCCAGCATATGTGTAACACAAGCACAAACGCAAGACGCTGCCCGGGCAGCAAACAAAATGCACCAACACACACTTGCATGCCTACAGGCACCGCAAGACACAAAACAGAAACCGAGACAAGCAGACGACGACGCCGACGCTGACGTTGACGCTGACGTCGCTGTCGATGAGGGCGCCACAGGCGGCATTTTATTTTTTAGCCGGTGGCCAACGTAGTGATTTTTATACCCTAGCAGAAAGAGTAATGTGATTAAAAGTAGATGTTTGCAACAGTGATCGGCCTTTGATCTGTTATAAAAATTATTCAAGCAAACATTCATCAACGAAGTTTTATATTAGTATATGCACCTCTGACAAATAATATTCCATTTTGATTTCTATTATATATATGTATATGTACATATGTATATATACATATATATCTGACATAGGAACATATTATCTGCGAGGGTATCAGTCCTCGGCTACTCGAGTTAGATTTCCTTCTTGCTTCTGTCTTGCCTTTGCCTTCTTCGTTTTCTTTGGTCTGCCTCTGTCTCCACCCGACTTTGTGTCGCTTCAATACACAAGCCGAATGCCGTTTTGTAATCTCTACCTGCATCGAAACTGGAGCAAATAGGGGGATGACGACTTCGACACGTAGTCAGAGTTAGGGCAGGGCAAGGGTTAGAACAATGAGACACATTGTGTGAAAGAGCATGACCGGGGTCTTATCCCCTCTCCTATTGCACCTGATTCTCTCCATCTCTCTTTCTGTAACTCCTTCTGGCAGCAGCGTCTTGTGTGTGTGTGTGTGTGTGTTTATGTTACTGCGTTTTTATGTAGGTGTTCAGAGGGGTTTTTTCCAAGCGTCGCCTATCTATGCTTTTTCCCCTAAGGTATTAAGGGGCATAACAGTTAAAAGGGAATACATGAAATGTTACATACCTATTTATGTATACACCATCGTACACAAACAACACTTTTGTTTTTGGGTTTTCACACAAATTTTTCGTCTAAGCAGACAATGTTTTGAACATTTTGAATGTAACAATCACACGGTATTCAAAAGTCGAGTACTGCACATTAAATTTTCGAAACAACGCGATGCAAACTCTTGGCGAACACGAACACCAGCCGAAGACGACGACGGTGTCGATTCCGTTCGCTTTCGGTTTTGTTCTCTTGGCCGCACTATTCTATTGCGTCTTTGGTTTTCTGCGACGTCCGCTGCGGCGTTGGCGTCGACAGATGCAGAGGATGAGCAGAAGCAATAATTCGGGACGCCGCAAACATATGCATGTGCACGTTTACAGGCGTGCACGCACTCACACACGTCATGTGCAGAGGATCGGGATAGAGTTCGAGCAGTTACCGAAACTAATTTTGCGACTCTTTACACAGAAATCCGTGATGAACCACCTACGGGTGCACAAATTCAAGATCGGCGGCAAGGACAGCAGCGCCGTTTCTGCACCGGTTGCGGTTGCAGCCGATCCCTCGGACAACAATAACGGCAATCACACGAACAACAACAACAACCAGAATGGAAACGGTGGCGGCGGTGCCAAAGGATTCCTCACACGCATCAAACGGTACTCGGTGCTTGGCAACAAACTAAGTCGCCGCCACCTGGGGAGCCTCAACCTACAGTCGTCTTCGGCCGGAGCGGAGAGGGGCGCCGATGGAGAGCGGCTTGGCTCTGGGCAGTCGCCCGGCAAGACTATATCCGGCAGCTACAACATGACCGGCAGCCACTCGGAGGACCATCGCCTGGAGATCGGTGCCCCGGTGCTGATATCGACCACCACATTGGATACGGACCGCTTTGATGTGACTGAGGCCCGACTCAAGCAGATCGGCGGCGGCATTGCCCAGACCTCCACCATTGTGCGCACCCTGACGCCACGCAGCTCCGACGAGGAGGAGTTTTTGGATGCCCGCTGCACTCAGCTGGATCGGGATGAGCGGGATGAGGCGGAGGAGTTTCAGACGCCCATTCATCAGCCACAGGAAGAACACGAGGAGCCACAGCCACAGAAGGAAGAGCCAGCGCCACAAAAGGAAGTAGAGTCACAGCCACAGCGAAACTCTCAGGAGGATTTGCAAGAAGATCTACTTGTGGAGGAGGAAGAGAAGATGGTGATGCCACCGATGCGGCGGGCCAACATCGCTCGCCAGCAGCAGGCCATGTCCGTGCAGAATCTGCACAGAACCGAACTGAAGGTCTACCTGCACAAGTCGCCCTCGATGACGCTCGACATGAACGTGACGGCTCCGGGGCATCTGGGCCCGGGCCTCAACATGCCAGAGCTGCCGGAGCTGTATGGCGACAGCAAGCTGAGCCTGGCGGCCAGCGACATGGACAACAACAAAGAGAATACACCAGTGGATGGCATGCCCATCGCCAATGTAGGAGGAGGATTCCTGTCACAGCAGTCGCGCTTCAAGAGCATCGAATCGTTCCAGCTGCACAGCCGCTCGAAGCGCAGCTCCTCTCAGCCGAGCTCCAAGCAGAGCTCCAAGATGAGCCTCGACTGCTCCGTACACAGCTTCGACTTCGACTTCAAGTCGGTCAGCTATCAGAGCCTGAATGCCCAGAACCTGATGGTGTCCATTGACGAGCTGCAGGAAATCACGCGCCAGATCAACGAGACGGAGGACTTCACCAAGGAGGTGGATCTGGAGTACTGCGAGCACCGGGATCAGCTGCGTCCCAGCGAGCGTCGCATCACGCTGCTGAAGAACAAGAACCAGACGCTCATTCACTTCAACCAGCAGAAGGAGAAGCTGCGCAAGGGCTGGCACGGCATGAAGCACTGGTTCGGGGAGGAGGGCACTCGCCTCAAGGAGGCCGTTCGCCAGCAGACGCCCCTCAAGCGTCTAGCCCGCTCACGCAGTAATCTGAATCAATCGACCACGGACGCGAGTCGTCTGTCCATATCGCCGGAACGCAATACGCGCGACATCACCGAGAGCTGTGAGGATATCACCAATCGCACGGAACTGGATTCCTCCATGTCCCAGAGGGCACTCAGCGATGAGGATTTGTCACCAAATGCCAAACGCTTCAAGGATGAGGTATACCAAAGGAGTCGTTGTTCGTCGAGGGCTAGTCGTGGTCGTAGTCGCGGGCGTGGTCGTGGCCACCGTTCACACTGGAGTTTCATCTCGTTGCTAACTGGTTCCAATTCTTTATACTCCAAACAGGGCCAGAATGGATTCGAGGAACTGCGGCGCTACATCAAGCAGGGCGGAGATTTCAGCAAGGAGCTCATATTCGTCCTGCAGGAGCGGTAAGTCCCTATAGCTAGAGAGTACTTATCCACTTCTATATCTCCGGCTGGTTCCAGTGCCGATTCCGAATTGATTTACTCGAAATCGCTCTCGAAACTGGCCAATAAGCTGAACAAGGCTGGCCGAGAGATACCTGGGAGTGTGGCGGATGCCTGGCGCGGCGTGGCCACCGAAATGGAGAGCCGCAGCGATATCCACCGCCAGCTGGCGGCCTCCCTCACCGATGAGCTGGTCAAGCCGCTCAAGGTGGTCGTCGAGAGTCACCACAAGGCGCGCAAAGCGGTAAGTAGGAGCTTCAATCCTCTTTTAAATGTTGTGTAATCCTTTCGTCTGTCGACCAGGTCGAAAGTACTGTGGATAAGGCCGCTCGGGTACTCAGCGAATGGCGCATAACGGAGGCCAAGGCCAAGAAGGCTTCGCATACTGCGGCGCGTGAGAACGAGAAGCTGCAGGACGCCATGCTGGATGTGCGTATCCAGAAGTCGCCATCCATTGCCATGCTCCACCAGGGCCCCAACAAGATCTCGGCCGAAAAGGAGCTAAAGAACGCTGAGAAGGACTGCGTAAAGCTGGACAACAAGCGCAAGAAGGCAGAGGAGGCTGTAAAGCGAGCCGATGTCGAGTACTACACGATGTGTGTGCGTGCCGAACGGGCACGCGTCGACTGGGAGATGGCCGTGCTCCGGGGCAGCTCCCAGCTGCAGACCAACGAGCAGCAGCGTCTCGCGAATATGCACAACTTTGCCCAGCAATACGGGCGCCTCATCTCCGATATAAATCCCATTCTCGGTGGCCTCACCTGCCGCCTGCAGCCGCAGCTGGATGCGTGCAATGTCGACAAGGATATGCTGGTGGTAAGCAACATCCGCCACCATTCGGAGGGTCCCAGCGAGCAGCTACTGCCTGACTTTTACTGCGAACACACCACACTGGCCATGAATCGAGAACGGCGAAAGCATGCGCTCATCAAACTCCTACAGCTGGTGAAAACCGATCTGGAACGCGAACGAAAGTCACGCGACGGCCTCCGTGGCCTCTCCCAGTCGTTAAATAACCAGGAGAACCAAAACATCACCGACAAGTTGTATCACGTGAGTGATAGAGAGTGGCCCTGTTCCCTTATTGATGTCTAATTTGATCCTCTCCTCTCTCTCTCTCTCTCTTGCAGATTCGATCCATGCTCACGTATCTGGAGGGATCACGCATCAAACTGCAGTCGGCCCTCCTGGAGCTGGACCACAAGCCCCGCACCACACATCCCCTAGCACAGCACATTCAGGTTAGGCAGTCATCCGATAATTCTTCCTGTTAGGGCGGGTCTCTTCTTTTGAAACAAAAAACTAAATTACAAATTATCAGAATTTAAGTAAGGTTGAAACCAAATTGTATTTTTAGGCAGAGCATTGTCTCCTCTTTCCTTTAAATCAATATTGGATGTTAAATTTATAGTAAATAATAAATTGTGGGCTATTCCAACACGAAGCTGTATGCAAAACTTAAGATCTGAAATTTCAAGCCACGAAATCTGTATTCAAATATGAAGATCCCAAATCTAAGCAAGTTTTTCTTCACAAATTAAGATCTTAATCTTGAAGACATTTGACATGTAGTTTTCCGATAAGATATAAACCAATTTAAAGTTAGTTTTAACAAAGAAAACTATGTAAGCAATCGAAATGGCACAATTTCTCAGAGGTTCTAAACACCTATTCAAAATGACTACTCTCCGGCGCACTATTCCCGAAAGAATTTAAATCAAAATATGTATTGAAATGATCGAATCGACATTCTTTTTATTTACGCTTAAAGATATTAAAAGGTTGTTAAAGCGCACCATAAATCTATGTATATTCTTTGTATACTTCCATCATCTGTATAGATATTTCTGGTGTGTCCTTTCTGAACTAAATTTAATCCTCATAATTATGTAAAATGCAGAAACAAAACTATGTAACCACTTAATTTCTTAAATTGCAATCATAATAGATAATTAAGCATACAAAAATAGCTCTATTCTCTTTTCTGAATGTCGAAAATGATTCGAATTTTTATATTATGCCGCCCCATAGATCACGCGGGATCGCACTGGCCTCCAGCAGAGCATTCTCAAGGTCCCCAATTGGCTGAAGAACAACGACAAGACGCAGCAGTCCACAGGACTGGATGTGAGTGGAGGCCACCAGGAGGATGAACCGGAGGAGGAGGATGCCAGCTCCGCAATGATGGGCAATGCCCTCAGCAACAGCTCCTGTGCGGACATTAGTGTGACGGCGACGGGGCCAGCGCTGAAGCACTTCAATCGGAGCAAGAGCAACATTGAGACCTTCACCACCAGCCAACCAAAGATAATCTCCACGACGAACGCCTCGCTGGCCGCTGTGGCACTGGCGGCGGCGTCTGTCAAATGCAAGACCATACCAGCGAACCATCAGCACAGCCATCATCACAACCATAACCAGGGCAGTGATCGCGGCCAAGCAGACGGCGGCTCCAATCAGCAGGACTCGGACTTTGATGAATTCAGTTCACAAGACGAGGATGAGGAGGACACTGGGCCCGTCAAGGGGCAGCAGGTACCACAAAGCCAGTTGCAGTCGCAAAACCAGATGCCGACGCAGCATTTCTACCAGAATGCGCAGGATTTGCAGAAGGGCGGCGGTCATGGCCATGGTCAGGGTCAGGGCCAAGTGCTTGGACGATGCAAGGCGCTCTACAGCTACACACCAAAGCTTTACGATGAACTGGAACTGAGTCCCGGCGACATCATCGAAGTTCATGCCAAGCAGGATGACGGCTGGTGGCTGGGGGCCCTGCGCAATCACATTGGCATCTTCCCTGCCACTTATGTGGAGGAGTGCTAGGAGGAGACCCCAACCCCCCTGAAGGATCACTAGATATATAGTACGTTTGTGTGTGCAGTAGAGTGCTGTGTGTGTGAATGCGTTTCGAATATAAGACCGAGGCGAGGCTCCTCCGCGTTTGACTAAGAAAATGCTGCTGCGAGGATTTGCCTATTATGCGTTAATTTATCATTTGGAAATATATATAGTATTATTAATGAATGCAACAGGAATATTCTATTTAAAATTCTTCCTTCCTTCTTTTTTTTGATTTTTTTTTCTAGAAAATATATATTTCCTTATACATGATATACAATATGTATCTACATACATATATGTGAAATACAGTCCCCAGTTGATGAGTCATTTATCCGTCTGCCTGCTGCACATTTAACTCTTTAACATTTGACAGATTTAAGCCGTCAATAAAATTCTTTAATTGTTATATGATTTTTTTTTATATACGAACATTTACCATATATTGACATACATACATACATTTATGCATATATATATTCAATTTACTTGCGATTTCATCAGGCAGATGTTTCGTTATAGTTTGGACTTTGAAAAAAATAAATTTAGAAACATAAAACTGCTTAGAACTAATTTTAAAATAAAGAAGAACAAAAACTAACAGACTTTCGAGCTTATGAAATTTAGTATTTATGATTTCCCCAAAAGTATTGTGAACCAAAACTGTAGAAACATTATTTGTTTTCGTCAGGAACATTTTGGAGATTGCGGGAAAAGTTGTATAGAATATTGCATTCCCACTGCATGAAATAAGCTGTACTGCCAGAGGAACGATCCATCTGTAAGGAAAAAAAGCGACCCTTTAAAGCCCAACCGAATGAAATAAGCTGCTGCAACGTGTGCTTCCACATGGCCCAAAAATATGATGATTATTTAGCTGTGATTGCTGCCATAGCAACCGATCCGTCTGCAAAAGGTACCAAATGGTGCGGCACCCCTTTGTTTATTGAAATATTTGTATTGTTCAAACAATGCCGGTGGCTGTGCGCTCCGTCGATCGTGTAATCAAATCTCTTTAGATCTCAGGGCTGAGGCTCAGGCTCAGGCTCATGGCAATGGACGAGGGTGCAATCAAATCCCATCGTATGCATCTGTAAAGTGGAAAATCCAACCCTCCGCCACACCAATAATAAACATACACAAGCTTTGCATTTTACATATTTTTTATTCACATCAAGAGCATAACATTGAAACGTGGTTAATTAATGCTGATTAAACAAGGTGGGTTTTCCCTCGCCCCTTGCCAATAATATTACATACATGTGTTATGTGTTAGGTGTGTGTGTGTATGTGAGCATTTCCTTATTTTTCGCTTGAAATATTTCCCACTATTCCTGTATCGTATTTCATTGATATATGTATGGCTATTGTACGGTTTAAAGAACACGTACTAAATATGTTTTAAAATGGGTTTAGTATGCCATTTACTGCACATCGATCAACAAATTCAAAAATAAATTCCATTCCACTCCACTCCGGTACATAGCTTTCATAAAATCTCTTCTCTATTTGTTTTTTAGTTGGATTTTGGTGTACAAATTCACACAAAATCGTATTTTAGGAGTTTCTTCTTCAGAGCATTGTTTTTTTTTTTGTGTTTTTTTGTTTTTCTAAATGAAAATAACGTTACCATCTTTTCATTGTAGATATTCTTAGGATGCAAAAATATAAAAAACCAACAAAAAAGTTTGGGTAAATTTTCATCTATAAATCTCGTACGAGAGTACTTTTCAAAAACTATCTGTTTAGTATATATGCATGTATTTTTGGTGAACAAAAATTCACAAAAATTTGCATTCTTCATCTACTTTTTACTATCAAACCACAGCGCATATATTATTTCTTTGAAATAGTTTCCAAAAAAAAAGAAAACAACTTAAGTTAGGTCTATGCTTTCTGCCTCGTACATATACAATCTCATACAATCTCTCAAAAAAATAGCCGTATTTATCTTTCTTCTCCTACTCGTCTCGTCGTACTAAGTACATGGTACGTCTTAGTACATAGTTTTATGGTGAATAAATTCACAAAAAAATGTGTATATAGAGTATAGGTTGTTATATTGTATGCCCTCTTCCATTCTATCCTTTGCGCACATATATATTTTCTTAAAAAAAAAACACACTTTTTATGCATCTCTAGTAGATATTTTCGCATATTTATCTATATCTTCTCATAGTATCTTCTTCCTAAAAAAAAAAAACTTTGTATGCATCTCTAGTAGATATTTTCACACACGTTCATATACATAGTATTTGTGTACATTTATTGGTTATATATATTTGATATTTTTTTATCCTATGATTCATCATAGAAAAATCACAGAATTTCGGTTGGCCTCGTACCTTTTTTGCCATATCTGTCTCTGTATCGGTTGATGTAGCCCTTCTGCTTCCAATTCTTGACACCGAGTATGACATCAGTGACATTGGGGACATTGTGCCAGGACAGACGCTGCTCGTAATACTCGATGACCAGCTGGGGACACAAGATGCTGGTCTCCTCGTGCGACACCAGGTCGAACTGGGAGCAGCCCTTCCACTGCATCAAGTGCATAATGTCGCCCAAAGCATCGGTGGCGCCCAGTACCTTCACCGGTTCCAGGCCACGGGCGAAGCCCCTCGGCCCGGCGCTAGGATCCAGATTACGCATATACCATGGCTCCCTTACTTCCCGTTGGGCTGATGATACCTGCGATAACTCCGATTTTACCGATAACTCCGATGCGTTCGATACGTTCGATAAATCCGATAGCTCCGATTTCACCGGCATATACGATAGCTCCGATTTCACTGATATCATTGGCATTTCAAATGATTTGCGCCTCTTTTCCGGTGGAGGAGAAGCGGGTGAGTCCGATATATCCGAGTACATAGACATTCGAGACAAGTTAAGACTCTTCTCCAGTAGTGGTGGGGATGCGGGTGTGTCGGATATATCCGAGTACATTGACATTCTAGATAATTTACGCTTCTTCTCAGATGACTTGCGCCTCTTTTCGGATGATTTACGCTTCTTTTCCGATGATTTACGCCTCTTTTCGGGTGGCGGGGACAGGGGGGACTCCCACATCGAATTGTTCTCCGGGGAAGGGGATAACGGTGACTCCCATATCGAATTACTCTCTGAATTACTCCTCTTTCCAAGTAGATGCGATAAGGACGAGGCCGCTGACGACTTGCGCTTCTTTTCAGGGATATTCGATTCCGATGACGATACCGATGACGACTTGCGCTTGGGATTGGGTATCATTGGTTGGAATATGCCCGATACCGACGGCAACGACGAATTGCGCTTCTTTTCCGGGAGCTCGAATGATTCCGCTGACGATATTGATGACGACATCAGTGACCATGTCGATTGCGATAACGAAATGCGCTTCTCTGGAGGGGGCTGCCATGGCGGTGATGGACTTCGCTTCTTGTCCGAGGGTTGGGGCGGGACGGATGAGGAGGGCTCCGATAACGCCGATGACGATAACAATGCCCATGTGGATTCCGATAAGGAACTGCGCTGCTTTTCCGATGAGACCGATGTTGTCGATGGAAATGACGAATAGCGCTTCTTTTCTGGCGGTTGTAATGAGGCCGATGTCGATACCAATGACGAGAATGAGGTCGATGATGATGTCGATGACGACGACGATGCTGATACCGATGACGATGACCGCTTCTTTACGGTGACACAGGATGAAACTGAGTCTCCAGATGACGATGATGACGACGACGACGATGATGATGATGCCGAAGAGTTACGCTTCCCCAAAACAATCGGCTGGTCATTGAATCCCATCGTCTCCTCGTATCTACGGATCGCCTCGGGGCACTCGAGTACCTCCGCATGCTCCCAGGTGTACTCCGGATCCATACGGCCCAACCACTGCACTAAATAGTGAATATTTCCACTTGCCAGACACTTGTCTACGACGCTTTCCACCTGAAAATCCCAAATTTTCGGCCGATGACCCCAGCGTGGCATTGGGATATTGTAGCCTTTGATGCAACAGGTGGCCCGTACGTGGAAAATTTGTGGTTTTCCGCTGCACAAAGATGAGAAGGGATTTTTACATGAGTTCTATGGCGTATCGAATGTCCTTTGCATATCTTGTGCAAATCGATAATCGAGTGAGGCAGTATCTTATGGATACACATACATATATGGGAAAAGTATATAGTATCTATGGATTTTTTGGCGCTGTTTGAATTGCGTTAACTCTAAAGCGCCAAATGCATTAGGACCAAAAGCCAAAAGCACGATAGCTTTCCCAACTGCCTGGCAGCCTGGCAGCCTAGAGCTTTATTTTCAGGTATACCTACGCGCATATGAAAAAATTGTTGTAATTATTTTTGCTGACCTGTTTCTTTCGCTGTTTTGTTCTGTGCGATTTTCATAAAAATTCAATTTCTCTTTTATCGTCTATGTGTTCAACAGTTGTTCTTCGAGTGATTCAACACTTTTTACACATTTTGTAACCGTTTTTCACAGCCGGAAACTAACTTGCCAGCAGAGCTCTCCAGCTGCCATGTGTAACCGTGTGTGCGAGTACTTTTGTAATGCTGCCTCCTGCAATTACTGTGTCCGTGTGCTCCTTGCCACAGATTCCGTGCTCGACACTCACCCCCGACCAGCATACTTTCGCGGAGCTTTTTTCCAGGGCGCCACATTGTGTGTGTTGTTTCAGTAATTTATTTGAATTTGAATTCATTTGTGGCGGCACCATAAATGATGGTTACTTTCTAGATGTCTCCGAGCGAAATCGAATTGATTTTTCACCAGTCATTTATTGGCTCTCAAAGAGATGTATCTGTTGTCGCCAAGATTTATCTGTTGCTTTCTTTCGAGTATTTTAAATGACTTATTACATTTTCTGAAACAATATAATACCAGAAATGTGGTACATGGCAATGTTTTGGGACAATTTAATTTATTTAAATTAGGTTTGCACTCAAAGAGTTCTCAATGTTTCTAGGGGATGTATATTATGTGAATTAGGCCAGAAGATTTAGTTTTAGGTTTAAATTGATTTTAATTTCTTTAACTTCCATTTTCAAAAGGTAGATTCTGCATGCTAGGAGCTATGTGAGAGTGCAGTAAAATACTTGGGGGACACACTACCATTCCTGAAAACTGATTCTTAAAATTATGGTTTTTTTTAATAATAAAATAATGGAATCTAAACGAACGGTAAGCCATGGGTTTGAGAAAGTTGTTTCCTTCTGTTATAATATTTTTTTTTGGACACACAGAGTACCTCTGGGAAGACAATGATCTGTGTGCAGATAATATTGAATATTGAAAACTAAATACGCCATGAGTAATCATCATATTTTTGTATCATTTATTGCATATACATATTGGATCGATATCAATAATAACTATTGATACATCATATCGTATATCAGATATATTCAACATACATACGATTTCATCTACGCGCATGCGGAATCACAAATGTTGGTTTTTTTTTCATTCTCATCTTCTGTTGCTTTAAGTATTTTTGGGTAAATAAATTTAATAAATTAAAAAATACATACAATATATAAAAACAAAAAATTAAATATTCATAAAATATGTGATTCTCACGAAGAGAACCGCTCCTCTCTCCGTTTCTTCTTGTGGAGTAAAATGGATAATCGTGTATTATTTATCGCCGTATGTATCGCTTATCGCTTAGCTTGTCGGCTTGTGGCGATAATTTATTGGACTGGAAAGAGAAAGATCCATGGAGTGGGCTCACAAGAGTCTTTCCTCTTTCTCCCCGTTTTTTTTTTTGTTTTTTTTGGAATAAAATCAATAATCTTGTATTAATTATCGCCGTTTATGGGTTATCGCTTGTAGCGATAATTGATTGCATTGTAGCGAGAATTATTGAACTGGAAGAGGGAGATGGGATCCACAGAAGGAGTGAATTGAACAGATTGTAAGAGTACTAGTTCTGCTCTTAATCTATCATTCACCCAGTATGTACTTTTAGAAGTCTAAAAGAAGTGAGGAACCCCTCAGAAGGGATCTCAATGGATGTTGCAGAGTGTAGGGATGAAACTAGAATATTTTTAAGGAAGAACTAGAAAGCATCACTGGCGTTCGGTTACTCCTGGAGCAATCGAATTGCAGTGCAACGACAAATAGCACCATTTGCTGACTCCCGGATCCCAGATCCTCAGTTCACATCGGTGGCTGCCTCTGCTGGAGTGGTAGCCCCTGGTCCTGGCACCGCATTGTCCAGGCATCGCAGCTTCTGGTACATGTGTATGTAGTGAGCCTGCAGCTGCTTCTGGTAGCCCAGGACCTTGTCCTTCTCGGCACACCATTGCCGCTTCTCCAGCTCCAGGTTGATGCGAAAGTCGTCCAGCTTCTGCCGTAGCTTGGCAATGTCCTCGGCATACGTGGTGGACTCCTCGATGAGGGTGTCCAGCGTCTGCTGCTGTCCCTGGCCCTGGCCTTGGCCCTGTCCCTGGTCCTGCAGCTGCAGTCGCTGCATGATGGCATCCAGCCGGGGCGGAGGAGCCACCACCACCTCCAAGGGGACGGGAGCGGGAACGGCAGCCTCTGCGGAGGATGTGTACTTGCGCGTCTTCTGGCAGATCTCATTAAGGTTGTCCAGCTGCTGCTTGAGACGTGTGTACCGGCCGCAGGGCTCTTCCCCGTACTCGTGGGCAATAGCCAGATCGGAGAGCTCCTTGCGCAGCTTCGCCAGTTCGTTGGTGAGTGCTCCAATCACCTGATCCTTCAACGCAATGATCTTCTGCAGCTGCTGAAGCTGATGCTGGTGCTGGTGCTGGTGATGCTGCTCCTCCTTTGGTTGACTTTGGCTTTTGGTTTCGCTGCTGCTTTTCGTGCTGCTACTGTTGCTGTGGTTGTGGTGCTTCAGGCTAACAATCGCATGATCCTTGACATTGATTTCGATCTGCAAGAGAGACAGGCTTTAGAGGAAATCTCCAAGGCAAGGGTGAGTCCTGCTTACATGCGCTTCCTTCAGCTGCGTCTTGAGTAAAGCTATCTCCCCATTCCGCTCGCACACCTTCCACTCGCTGTCCTCCAACTGGGAGCGCAGTATGGCCACCGTCTGGCGCGTGTCCTCCAGCTGCTGGTGCAGCCCCATCGCCGAGGACTGGAGCTGCTGTTCGGATTGCTTCAGATTCTGATTGCTGCAGCGTGTGGCGTCCAGTTGCTGCTGGAGCTTGTGCACCTGCTCCTGCTGCCGGATCTTGTGCTGCTTCAACTGGAACTGCTGCAAGGCCAGCAGCTGCTCCATTTTCTTCAGCTTCAGCTGATACTCGCGCTGCTCCCGCTCGTAAAGCAACCTCAGACGCTGCGTCTCGTGCTCCCAGTAGACCTCCTTGTCCTAAAGCCGCAGCCAAACGAAAGAAGGGATAGAAAGGAGCAAAGAAAAGCGATGCGGTGTGTTAGTGGTGTCGGGTGTGAACGGTAGATCCCTGGCCTTAACCTTTTGTACTTTGAAAATTACTTTCTCATTGTGCTCCATGGCCTGCCGCAGATACGACAGCTCCGAGTCGCGATCCTTCAGTGCTGCCTCCAGTTCCGAGATGCCCGAGTCCGAGGGCGAGGGCGTCAGATCACTCCCAACCATTGTCCCGCTGCTTTTGCTGGAAGATGGATCCCTTTTAGATTACACGATACACATAAATACAATCATCATCTTCTGCCTCACCTGCTGGCCCCATCCGTCATGCATTCAGTATTCATGGCATCCTCATGGCTGCTGCTGCCACGCTGTAGCACGCGATGATTCCGGCGCCTGGCTGCCAAATGCCGCAGATCTGTTGTGCCTGTGAAAGAAGGAGATTCGTTGAAGGATTTCCCTTCCTTCCTCGATGTTGCGTTTTCTTACTGCCAAACTTCTGTGTTACGGCTGTCGTTGGGAGCGGTGCCAGCGATGGTGTTGATCCATAGCCATATCTTTCCACCGATCCGGAGACCACTTGCTGCTGCTGTTGTTGCAGCTGCTGCTGGAATTGCTGCTGTTGCTGTTGTTGCTGTTGCTGTTGTTGCTGTTGCTGCTGTTGCTGCTGGAGATGCTGCTGCTGTTGCAACTGCTGCTGCTGGTGGCATGCTATGCGATAGTCCGGCTCAAATGGTATCGGCTTGAAGGCAATGGGACGCAGATAGTTACCCCCCGAGCCCGAACCCGAGCCCAAAGCCGAACCCGAACCGGAACCTCCTCCATTGGTGCTCTAGAAATCAAAATCAAAATTCAATCAAGGCCTAGCCCCTGAATCTCGCACAAAAGCCTCACCTGTTCCATGGCCTCGCCCATCGATGTCTGTTGCTGTTGCTGTTGCTGTTGCTGCTGCTGCTGCTGGTGCTGCTCGTTAATGGCCAATCGACTTCCTCCGGTAATGGGTGTGGTCCGTCGTGCCACTGATTGCTGCTGATGTGGCAGCATCATTGCCGGCAGCGACTGTAGCGCCTCCTCCTCGTTTGCGTACCGCTGCTCTTCTCCTCCTCCACCGGCCACGCAGCTGCGACTCAGCTCAAACATTTGCCGGATGTTCTGGAACTTGGAACGCATCTGCATCTGGTGGGGGCCACCATCCGCATTCCCATCCCCATCCAGATTGCTGTGGCTCCCGAACTTCTGGCTGAAGCGCCGCTGCTCCTGGCGCGACTTGAGCGTGCCCGTGTGGAAGCCATGTCCTTGGGAGAACTGCAGCAACGGCGACTGATGACTGGGGGTGCTACGCAATGCCAGCGGGGCATTGGTCTCCAGCGAAACGCTGCGCTTGTGGCCCCGCTTGCCTGGCCCCATGGACACCATGGAGGCCGGTGGTGTACCCGGCGGCGGGCCGCTCACGGCGTGAACAGGCAGCGCCATGTGTGTGGCAGCGGACATGCTGATGATCGAGAGCTGGAAAATGGTATAAATAGAGAGAGATATGTACTATAAAGGCAGTATTCGATGGGAATAGTCGAAAGAATCCTTCTGTCGGGGTCACCAGTATTGAAAGTATGTATATATGTATGTCTTATGATTTCAAAGTCTCTCTTTCTATTGAGATATTGTTTTCTTTCTTCAGTCGAATGCATCATGTATTCGGTGACACCTTTTCGTCTCTTTTTGGGCCATCTATGATGCATTCTCCATGATTCAATCTGCACCTGCCTAGTCTGCATCTCAATTGCGACAATTATACGCAGGGAGGAAGGCAGAAGCCGGCCCCTAATGTTTTTAGCTTTTACCCTCTTTTCGGGTCGGTACTCCCGCGTTCTAGCTTTGGAGATGAGAGTACCCTCGGAAATCGGAGCTCCTCTTTTCCTACGTTATCCTTTACTCTGCTTAAACACTATTAAAAGGTACCTTCACCTTGGTTGACCTTCTGTTTCAAGAGCTCTCCCATTTGTAAACTGTTTCATGACCTTGCGAGACTCCGTTTTGGGAAATGAGAGCTTGAAGCATACAAATAAATAAATAGAAGGCACCATTCATCGACAAATGAAGCAGCAACCTGTTCCGGAGTCTTCTCCAAGAAGGATCTAGACGGACCTGCAGAGATCTCTTTCTAGACACAGCGTGGAGTGGTCTTTCCAACGTTTCGCCATCGTTCCATTTTCGCACGAATGCTCGAATGATGATGATCTCTCTCGTTTGGTGGTCTGCCATCTGCCTTGGGTGCCAGCTACCCCCCGCTGCATTAGCCGCAGATTCGATTCGATCTTCTAAGCCAAGCCCAAAGTCTTATGCTCTTAACGGTGTATACCGCTTTGCCATAGACATCGACGGGCACTGGCACTGGCGCTGGCACTGAGTGGCACTCTGGCACTTTCTCATTTCTTGTCGCACGACCCATATTTTTACAACTATTTCCATCTGTCCATCGCCTCGCGGACTCCACTCGCGGACTGGAACTCGTCTCAGCTCTGGCGCGGTTTATTGAGACCATCGTTTCGGGGCACTCCACTGTAAGGTTCTTCCTCTGGCAACAGGTTTTTCTCTTTAGCCCCAGATCTGCTCTACGCTGCTCTTCGATGTTCTCCGATCTTGCTCGGGGGCCCTCATCTACTGATCTCCTGATCACAGATTGCCAAACGATTAGGGTTAAGGTCAAGTGCGTGACCCGGCCGAGGGTTTAATGGGTTGGCTAGTGTATTTTTTTTGCAAAGCGTGCAATTGGGTAAGGCATTAGAGCCTGGGTGCAAGTGTTTCAGCTTCAATTTCATGATGACATTTTTTAATGGACCAAATTTCTCACTTCTAGAGTTTTATTTTTATTGTCTTTTAATGGAATGGTTAGAATGGTTGCAAATGGAACTATGAACCCTGCAAAAAACTTTCAAAAGGGTTCCATTTTTCCAAAATACTGCAGAAGAAAAATAAGAATTATATTTTCTTAGAGAGATACAAAAACCTCTAGGAGTAGCTCTGATCGTAGCGATGGTCTTTGGAGATCTTTTTGTGGGTGTCTGCGATCTCTTGAGAGCCAAGCTGTTCGACATTAGTGTAAGGCAATGCATTGAACGCATTCCATTAACAGTTCCTCCATTCCTTGGCGGAAGGTACAGATGGACCCTAAGGAAATCAGAGCGCATACGCAAGATACAGATACAAAGCAACAGATACATTGGTTGTGTGTTGTATTTCCTGTGTTCTCCAATCGAACACCACCTCAGATTGCGTTTTATCAGTGGTCGAACAGGTTCCATTTGCCGTGTTGCTCCACTTACCAGTAGATACGATACCCCACCCGCCTGTAAAAAGTATCGTACAGATAGTTAGATACATAGATCGATATGTGTGTTTCCTGGACTGCCACTAGTACGAGTTGCTAACTGTTAAGCACTTGTATTAAGAGTCAAAACGGTTAGATAACTGTCAATCACGAAGCAAACCATTGAAGCCCATCCGAACAGCAGACGACAGCAGACAGCAGGTTGTGTGGTTCCATTGTATCGACTGGATGGCTGGATGCCTGCTTTGTATCCGTATCTATTGGCCTGTTAAATGGCCAGCAATCTATTCATTTTCCATGCCCCATGCCCCGCCACGCGAGTGCCGCGAGAGCTCAAACAAAAGCCGACAATCGGCGACAATTTCCAACCGAGAAACCGACCGACAGACCGTCCGTCCGTCCGACCGTCGCACAACGTCGTTAAACTGCCAATGTAATTTATTTACTTCGGACTTGCGAAACACTCTCTCATGCAGCACTCCCCTCCGCAAGAGGCACACCGCACTGTGGCAACACATTCACAAATCACATTAGCGGCTAACTGTTAGATTTTTAGCTGCAGAAATCTGTATCTGCATCTGCAAAATGTATCTGTATACCAGCGAAAATTATGAGCCAAAACGACCGAAAAACCCCTCTTTTGTGGAATGGAAACCTGTTTCTTCTATTCGGCTTACGGCCAGTTCTTGATGGTCAAAGCTTTGGGCTTTTTTACGAGTTTTTATACCCGATACTCAAAATGGTTTTAGGGGTATATTAGATTTGTGGTGAAAGTGGATGTGTGTAACGTCCAGAAGGAAGCGTTTCCGACCTCATAAAGTGTATATATTCTTGATCAGCATCAAAAGCCGAGTCGATTGAGTCAAGTCTGTCTGGTCGTCCGTCCCTATGAGCGCCTAGTGACACGTTCAGACACGTTTTCTGCCTGACTAAGTATCGGGTATAAGTGTAGAGCTGCGGTCGCAGCAGCAACTCACAGCATTCCCCCCGTTTTTTGAGTGTTTGAAAGTTTCTATGAATGAAAGTATCTTTTTTAGTTGTTTGCGGTTCGAAGGAGAGTCCAGAAATAATAATAACAACAGAAGATCAGCATCGAAACGAAAACAGAGTGTGAGTGACCCTAAAGAACACCGACGATCCATAGATCGATAGAGCGGTCCATTGAGCGGGAGGGAGACTGTGCCACGCGGCGTATGAGTAATCTCAGTGTGCGTTGCATATCGTCATCGTCGTTGGGGCCCAGTCAAAACCGCTGAACGGCTGCGGGATTATTAGCCAATGCCTTTTTCCCACGCTCGCCAGTTGGCAAAGATTTTATATGCATACTCGTACTGACGGCCAGCCAGTCAGCCAGCTAGCCACTCGCACGCTGCACAGTGGTTCGATGCAAAAGATACAGAGACTCGTGGAGTTAGCGATAAGATACGAAAGCCACCTCCTCCCAAAGGCAAGAAAAGACTGAGACTACGGACTCTCAAAAGGAAAGGAAGAAAAAGATACGGAAAAGAACCTACAAATTGAAAGTGGCACAACAAAAGTCTGATCAAAGTTGGCGATTAGCCCAGAAAGTTTCCCTTCCAAGAACGGGGGCTCCAATCCAACATAACCCCCCTCTTAAGTGTGTTATTCTTATCGGAATGCCACCTCTTTAGCTTTTCTTATCAAATGAATCCAACCGCTTGACCCCACAGTATCTGTATCTAAAACACGCACAATGGCACATATACCCAACCGATGGGAGCTGCCGCATGACACATGCATCATTGAAACGTTGTGCATTTTGTTTTTAAATTAGTAAAGTTGTTGTTGTTAACCATTTGTAAGTCAGTAAAAGAAAAATTAATATGGACTGAACAAGGACTTCCCAGTGTTTTATATAATTTTACATAAAATATTATAATAATAAATGCAACAAATAGATTTAATGCCTCTAGGAAAATTGTTCATACATCAAGTGTGTCAAAATAGCATCTTAAAACTGTGTTTTCTTCTCCATTTTCATGGAATCTTTGCAGATATCGCCCTTCGATGATTGCAAAAAATCTCAAGCCACTGTGCAACGCGCTTTTCATTCCATACCATTCCATTCCATTCCATTTGTTGCCTGCGATTTGTGTTTGGTTTATAGTTTTTGTTGAACTTTTTGCCTGTTTGCATTCGAATGCTCGAATATCTCAAATGTCGGAACGAAGCGTACGACTTGGGCGCTTGGGCGCTGAGCTTTCGGTTATTTATTGTTGATTGTGAATTTTTAATTGAATTCATTTACGAAGTAGACAACGGAGTTGACAGTGGAGCGAAGCGAAGAGAGATAATTGCAATCGAAGCTGGAAACGGAATCGAACAGAATGACTCCGCCAGAGAGTGAGAGAGAGACAGTGAGTAAGGGGTAGAGTATCTGTTTATTTTTCTTTTTTTTTTTTGGGAGTTTTGGGCCATTGCACATTTGCTGTGGCAGAGACGCGTTCAACAGCAACCATTCAACATTTCATAAGCGTGACGAAAGACTGAAAACTTTTCTTTTCTTTTGCTATTATTATGATTTTTTCTCTATTTATTTTCCTTTTTCTTTTTTTAATTTATTTCTTAGCAAAAGCTGTTAGTTTTTCATTTAAGACGCAAATGCATTTCAGGTTTTGATTTTGAAATCATATTAATTTTTCTCTCCCTCCCCCTCTCCTTCTTTCCCTCTCTCGCTCTGTTTTCGTTTCTTTCTTTTGTGTTTCACTTTCGTTTTGCATCATGCATCCAGGCATCGTCGGCTCGAAGCGGAATGAGATTGCAAAAGGTCAGAGCGCGTTGCATTCAACTGTGACGTCAGGCGTTGGCAGCGTCATGCATTCATGGGTTTATGGATGGTTTTATTGGGGATTGGAGGTAGGGGGGGAATGAGGCAACAGCCATGAGGAAACCCTCTTCGAAAGTTTATCGAAATATTAGACAAATGGATCGATCCATCGATTCGGTGGGGTGGGTAGGGGTTCGACCTTGAGGCGGTGCCTAAGAGCAGGAAATCTTTTTGTTGACTGCTTGATTGCGATTTCGTTATACTTTTCTTTAGGCGGATGGAGATTAAAACGAATGGGACGGAACAACGCAGGGGAACGGATGGAATGGAACAAATGCAAGGACTGGAATGGAGTGAAATGGAAAATTAAAGAGTAGAACGAGTGAAATGAATCAAAGATGAGGAATGTGTGGGGTGGAACGCATTTTATTCCTAAAAATGGATTTAATGGGAAAATTAGAAACGAATGGAATGTAACAAGATACGGAATTGCTATACCTATAAGAGTGAGTACTCTTTTCCCTAAGGAAACGGCTATACAATACGGAATATCTAAGGCACAATAGTTGAAGGAAATCTTTAAAGTTGACTGCGATTTCGTCAGACATTTCGTTGGCCTTAAAAATCATTCTAAACTTAGTTTTTAAGCCCCCACACTCAAAATACTCAACGTTCAACAGAGTCTCGACACTCGAAACACATTCGATATTTATGAAGCTCAAACACTCCTCCACTCCGATCTGTCTGGTGTCTGGAGAGCCAATCCCCCTTCCGGCGGCGGCGGCGGCGACGGCGGACTCACTCAGTGAGTGAGTGAAAGGTGCAGTCGCACAGTTCGTAGGAGCAACTTCTTCTGACAGCCAGAACATTCTGTGATGGGAACTGTTTTCGGCGGTGCCCAAGAATCCACTTGGGACCGGCGACTGGAACTGGAACTCCTTGGAGACTTGGGTGGGACTGGTTAGCGGCAGTACTGGAACCTGGTCATTCCTTCCCTTATAAGGCCACCAATCTCCATTCCCACATTATTTTGGGCCCTTGGGGCTGCCAATGGCTGGATGGCAATGGAGATGGCATATTTTTCGTCAGATTTGTAATTTCTGAGCTTTCTGCTGATGTTGCAACATCCATGGAGCAAAGTACACGAGTACCTACTATTTGCCACAGTTAAATATTGAATTTGTTTTGCAGTTCATTCTATTGTCAGATCCAACAAAACGGTGGAGCGTGACTAATGGGGGGAATGGGCTTCGACTTGGGCTTGGGCCCGGGCCCGGGCTCGGGCTTGGGAATGGTAGCCCCCCCCCCCATCGATGTGTGTGGACGTGGGAAAGTTCGCCCACGGTTTGTGGCTGATCTTTTGGCTAGGATTCGGTCAGATCTAACAGCTGGCTGACTGGCTACCTGGCTGTCCAGTTCTGCCCCGTAGCCCCGTTGCCCCGTTGTGCTTCGATGGATCGGATCAGTGAAAGCTTGCATGTGGCATAGCCTGCTCTGCATTTGTAATTGCTGCCACAACCGTTTGGAATACCCTTTCTTGCAGACGAGCGTATTAACTGGATGTTTCCTTCAGTTTTGCGTCCTCCAATGAGAGCTATCCATAGGGTATCGAAATGTCGAGCAACATTGCAGGTTTTTAGTTGTTTTTGTGTTTTTGTGTTGGTCCGGATATTGAAGCTCGACCTGCGCTGATCCATCGCTTAATTGAGCGAAACCTCTCGATTTGCATGAATCCGACTGTCATTATCATCGCAATGCCTCTCCCCACAACACCTCCCCCTCCTACTCTCCCTCTATTTTTCTCTGCCTGTTTGTTTTAGTTTTCTGTTGTCTGCCAAATTCGGTAAATAGACAAAATGCTGGCTAACAAATATTCAAGAATTTTGAAACATTACGCCAACGCCGAAGTCGAAAATTCAAAAAGCCGAAAGCCCTGAGACAATGGCAATTCATTCATTGTAATTTAAGGTCAATGGGATTTTTGGGCCTATGCCGAATATGGAGAATATGAGAATGGACGGATCGAGAGATACAGCTCCAAATAACCATTCCTTAAGATACATTTTGTGCTCTGGTTTGAGCCAAAAAAAAAAAACAAAAACTATCTGCTGTACAACCCGCATTCATCAACAGTTCGGAGGCACTTCAAAGATACATAGATGAATGGATGAATGGATGGATGGATGGTCTTGGATTGGAATGGGAATTGGAACTGTCTTGTGAATGTGTATGTGGGTGTATTTGTTGTGCTTAACCCGTTTTTACACTGATGAATAGCGAATAGCAACTCCATCCACCTCTCCACTGGTACGAGTGCTCGTATGTTCCGTTAAAATTAAAAATACTATTAATGAGAGTTATCTTTGGCGTCTCTGGGTAATTGTTTTTTGCCAGCTGTAGCTGCATAGATAGATACTCGTGCAAGATACGAGTATCTCTGTGTGGGGGGGAAAATGGTGGGAAAATACGGCGGCGACCCATACGGATGGTGTAATTAAATGCAATGCTCGTATGATAAGCGACGGAACAAAACCACTTAATGGAACAGAATGAAACGGAATGCCTAATGGGATGGAGAGTGGAGTTCGTTCTCTATGACGGGAACTAATGGAATGGAACGTGGAGGAGGACTGAGACTACTGTGCGTCCCGATTCAATCCGATTAAATGTCAATCGAAGGCCAATTCATGGCTATAGAACTTTTAGAGCACTTTTAGCAGGCCGATCTACAATATCTGTGTATCGCTCGTTGGAAAAGGTTCCGCACTGAGCTGATTAGGATAATTAATAGGTAAAACAAGTCTTAATTGAACTTGTTCACTTGTTTGTCTTCTACTGTCTTGCTTTGAGCCTGGGCCGGCAATTAAGCAAACGTTTATGTACGTGATTTACGGCATTTGCATATAAAGTGCTTAACTATTTGTCTGAATAAATAATTATTGCCAGACACCGCAGCTCATTCCACAAATAATGTGTTCTTTGGTGGGAACGAATTGTATAATGGCATCGATAAACCATTAACATTTTGATGGTTTGGATGATTGCTAGCCCAAAATGATGAAATATTATCCATGATTGACCCAAAAGAATGATTATTTAATTAGAAATCATTCGTTTGGCACTTATCCTTGAAGAAATCGGCAAAACCCGAAGCTGAATGCTGATTGCTGAATGGAAGTGAAGTGTTCTCCAAGCTGCCATACCATGCCACTCCATTCCATTCCATTCCATTCCACACTCCACTCGGATGATGATGATGACCTGGATCTATCGTGCGAGTACAAGACTAAGTCAAGTCGAAGTCAGCCACTGTCCCACTATCCAGTATCCACCACACACGGAACACCTTATCTTCTTTCACTTGAGCTTCACCTACATAAAAAAGGCCACAACACACCATCGGACCAGCGGACCCACGGAGAGGAGTATCAAAAGTGATCATAAATCTTTATAACCTGTATGGGGGGATTTTCACCAGGTTTTTCGGGCACTCGATGTGGGGTGCTCCCCTGGCCACCACAGACCTCCCCAGGGAGAAAGAGTGTACTCTCGTAAAAAGTGAATTTCTGCCCGCAATCCACAATCCCAGACAAGCGATCCGCTCGCTCCACTTCAGCAGCCTTCAGCCTCCGCTTTATATTACTTTTTAGTTTTTGTTTTTGTTTTGGTTTTGGTTTTGGACTTTGGTTATGTTTTTCCTTCCCAGATGACTTTTGTACTCTTTTGTTTTTTGTTTTTTTTTTTTTTGCTTTTGTTTTTGTGCTTTTTTGCGCTCGCACTTGGCCTTAATTGCGGCGCATGCGCGCGCACTTTCAATTCCTTTCGGAGTCGGAGAAACAAAGAAAATAATATTAAAAAATACAACAACAAAATCGTGTGGCAAATTGTTGGCCGAGTCAGAAATTAGATTTAAAGCGCGGCGATAATGATGCGGCAGAGAGTCTAATAATAATTTTTGCAGCTGCGGAACGGGGCAGGGCAGGGGCAAATCCAAAACGAAAATTGCTCTGAAGCTCTGAAGCGAACAGAATTGAGGCTTGAGATCTGAGAGTCAAGAGACGGCTGCCAGCAAGTTCAGGGCTAACGAAAAATCAAGGAACAAATGAAGGAATGTTAAATACACTACCATCGAGGGTATCCGTGTCTTCGCATGCTCCATTCCCTTTTGAATCGAGGACATTCATGCTATGGCAGTCCCCATGCCATTTGGAGTCCTTTATTGGGGAGCATTGCATTAGGGGTATTCACTGTTTTCAACACACATATTTTCACAGATTTTTGATCTTTTTTTTCTATAATCACAGCGATCTAGAGATATGTATATTGATTACCAGAGCCAAGGCTACCTCGAGCTCCTTCTAGGGTATTCTTCGGGCGCAAAAAAATGAGCAACCGAAAGAAAAGAAAAAAAAGAGCTCAAAGACAGAGGAGAGTCGCATATTTCTAGAGGCTGACCAGAGCACCGCGGCAATGTCTCTTTTTTTGTGTGTGTTTTTTTTATATTTTATCATTTTTCTTTTCTTTTTTTTTAGTTTTGTTTTGTTTTTTTTTTTTGTGTTTTTTGCTACTTGGACCAACAGGTTCGTTCGTTCGTGGTGGTTCGATGTTGAGAAAAAGTCAAACGGCTCAATAATCGAAGACGGTTCGGGGCTGAAGCTGGAACTGAGCTTCGCTGGAGCTGGGCTCGGGCTGGGGCTGGGACTGGGGCTCCAACTTCAACTTCAGAATCCGGATAAATGAGGACAACAACAGCGACAACTTTAATGAGGTTATGTCTAGGTATGTACATATATGCAGGTATGTGTGTGCCTGTCCGTCTGTCTGTTTGTGTGTCAGTCATGTCCGAATATTTTCGAATGCAATTCCGAATAAAATTGAAATTAAACAAATTTAATATACCCCAATACTCATTTTGAGTATCGGGTATACAAATCTTGAACTATTATTTTCGCTTACCTCTTCCTCTCCTCTCGTCACGCTCTCTGTGCGACTCCACTCGTTTTGGATCTCTTGATCAAAATTCTTGTTGCTTATTTTTGTTTTGTTTTTCAAAAAGGGGCGCAATATTCCCTTATTTATGCATGAATTTTGCTTGATTTTCTCACTCCCTTTCGCACTCTCTTGCTTTCACAAAAACCACAAAAAAATACAGCTTAGTTGTAAATAAAAATGATCTGCGAAAATTAAGGAAAAACAAAAAGCCGTTGCACGCCAGCGCTTTCAAATTTTGTTCTAGAGAGTCTTTTTGCGCATACGCAGCGCCGACTTCGACTTGGACTTTCACGTACGAGCGCTCAAAGCAAACTTATCCATGGGGCCCGTGTGCCGAGCCCGAGCCGATGGTATAACTGCCGAGGGTATGCCATCGTGCTCTCGGTGGCCTAAGCTTTTTGCCAGCCTCTTGTCGCATAGCTTTTTTGTAGCTTTGAGAGAGCGCTCCCTGAGTTTGTCCATACCTGGCGCAGCCGCAGTGAGAGAGCCGCACTAGCAGTAGCAGAATAATCACCTGTGAGAGAACAGCAACACTGCACCAGTGGGAGAGCAGCAGGCAGCGGTAGTAGAAATGAGAGAGCAAGCAGCACCAGTAGCACCAGAGAGAGAGAGAAAGAGCAGCTGTGATTCCACGGTGACTGGGATAGGGGCTCCCTCCCATTTCGGAACTGAGGATCAGTGCTGCTTGGCTAGCTGTTTTGCGGCAAAAAATGCAAGGTGCTACCACTCTTTGGCGCTGCACTCATTTTATCCATTGGGACATCTTGGCTCGCCTTTATATCACTGCCGTTCCGCTGCTCTCGAAAGTTATTATTCTATTTGCGTAAACATATGGGCAACATATGGACATCGCAGGGCACGCTCCCATTTGGAACAGTGGAATAATAATACAAAAGAGATCAATATTAATTGCCATTCATTTCTTAATCTGTTAATTATGAATTTAAATAACCTATCTCTATAGGAAGCAGTAGATTTATTCTACAGCTACCACATCACTGAATTGGCCATCATTGTCGCTGATTCTTCCTGCTTGGCCAGGGTTGCCACGGCGCTGCAATTACGCAGCTGATTCGACCGCAGCAGCAGCAGCTAATTTCCTCTAATTTTGCGGTATTTTCCCATATGGGTTGGTCGAGTGAATGGCCAGAGATGGCTGGCTACTTGTTACATGGTTTTGCAGTTCTTGCAGCAGACACGCGCACCTGTAATGGCCATCCGTCCGCAAATTGACCCATAAAATGGTAACGTTTCTTGGGCCATGATGGATTAGCTGTCCATATATCATCGTAGATACATTATCCGACTGTGGCAGAACAGGGCAGGGGGAACAGAGTGCAACAAGCCTGGTAAATGCGAATACAAGTATCCGAATACATAAATAACCATCTACCATGCTGCTGCTGTTGTTGGCTTGTATATTCGTACACCCCGATCGTGTCGATCTCATGTCTTCGATTTGCATGCCAAGTAGTCGGGAAGTCGAAGTAGAAGTCGTACTTCAGTACATGGTGTCTATGTGCCAGCACAGCAGCAGCACCGCAGGAACAGCGGCTGGTTTATGAATCCAAAACATGCGATATCCGATCACAGCGATCGCCATTCTACAGTGCCAGTGCCAGTGCCAGCAATCCTCATCTCAAGGCTGTCTCTCCCGCCATCAGATGCCATTAGCTTATGAGTCGCGATTAACCCTAAACTAGCGTATGGTTCTCTTTCGTGGGTCATTCGTTTTCGTAACAGAGAACCCCCACAGAATAGGTTATCCTCTCAATGGGTTCTTAATGACGATCAGTGATTGCTGCTAACTATCATCATTTGATGCGTAATGATCTGTTGAATAACATACCAATCCACCAAATCGTGTTTATCTACATTATGGAGGGATCCTTATGGACAACCCCTGTGTAAGATGTAGTGGATACTGAGCTATATATTCAAGGATAACTTCTGCTGGGATGTTGGGGAAGTTTTCCAAGAAAATAATCATATTATTAGTGATCACTGATCACACTTTATTATTACCTTAATGATCCATTAGACAGGCCTAACATCTATTCCCAATCATCGCAAGTCAATTACCCATTATGCACGATCAACGAAAGAATGGGAAAGATTCATCTGCTTGGTTCTTCCATCCATAATCCATAATGTGCCATGGATAACCCACCTGGTTACCCAAAGAAACGCACACACAATTCTTATACACAGACAATTTTTATTAATTCGAGAGCCTCTAATTCGTGTGTTTTCCTGGGATGGTCACTCGGAGTCTTTGCTAAAAGATCCTGTACAGTTTTCTTGGCTAATTTCAGCAGACAGGTGTCCTGAATGAACTGTGCTTTGGATTCTTTGCCATAGATCTCAAAGCTCTGACCGTTGTCCAGGATCTTCCCTCGGCTTGATCTTCTCCTTAGCTTGTGACATCTTAGGCATTTTTCAGTGTCGATTTTCCAAAAGAAAATTAGTCTCGCCGCTATGAATGAAGCGACTCTTAATATGGGGATTTCATGGCCCTAGATGGCCTAATACGCACCTAACGGATTCGTGTATGATCCTTCCAATTCTTGACCAGGGATTTGTGTACATTCTTTGCTTTCTTTATTGTAGATCTTCTTGTAACTAATCGTTCGGGGCCAATCAATAGTTACAGCAGAGGGCAGTGTTTTCGGGCGTATTTGTGTATATTTGTGTATAAAAAAGTGTATACCTTGCACATTTTGTCAATGCATTCAACATCTCAGGGATCCACCAGTATATTTGGTATTTAGTATGGTAGTAAAATATTGAACTCCAACTAAATGTCAAAGCAGGTGCGACAGGTAACTCAAAATAATGTTTCCCCGAAAATATAGCATTTGTAAAAACTCACCCAATTGATTCGTGGATGTGTCCTTCAGAGTTTTTACCAGGGATCTGAAAGCACCCGCTTCCAGATCGGCTTTGGACGTCTCGGGGGGGTTAGTGTAGTGTAGTAATTGATAAACAAAAATTAACTCCAGGGCAGGGTTCTCGGGCTTAGGAGTTTCAGGTATTGCACAGTGTAGTTATTTGCATAAAAAATATATAGCTTTCACATTTTATCAAAGCATTAAAAATCTCGCAGATGGAACAGTGTATTGTGCGTCTAGTAAATGGTAGTAAAATATATAGCTTTAACTAAAAGTCAAAGCAGCGCCCTGTGACAGGTAACTCAAAATAATGTTTCCCCGAAAATATACCAATTCCTAAAACTCACCCAGTGGATTTCTGGATGGTTCTTCCGAGTCTTTGCCACGGATTTGTAACTAATCGGCTTCTTAGGGATCCATGGCTTGGTGTTCGCAGAGCTTCTACTTTGCCCCCTTGTCCTTCACTTCGAAGGTCTTATAGGTGTAGTCATCGATGGCCTTGAGGTTCTTGATGACGAACTCCTTGACGGCAGCCACGTATTCGGCGGCCGACAGGATCATCTGCTTGAAGGCCTCAATCACACGGCCCTCACCCTGCAGTTGACCCTTGAAGCAGTCTTCAGAGACCTGGGTGATGTACCCGCGCAATCCCAATACCTTGGCCTGGGCCGCAGCGAACATCTCGAAGGCCTCCTTAGGGATTTTTCCCTTGATTTCAAAGTCGCAAGTCATTATATTGGCCTTGGACATTATCACAGAAATTTTGAAAAATTTTTATTTATTCCAAAACAGAATTTTTTGGGAAAAATACAAAAATAATTTGGAAAAACTGAAAATTTCAGAGCTGATGTTCAGGGCGCTGCTCCCAGACAAGTAATGAGCCGAACAGGGCCCTGAAAAATGTGCCTCTCAGTGAGGCATTCCTACTTGCCTACTTCTCTGAGAGTTTCTCAGTTTAAACCAAAAAAACAAGTCATGACCTCCTCTGACTCTGACCCTCAATTCCAGTTCGAGGCTTGAGTGTAATGGCCAATTATCGCAGACGATGGCTGGCCCCAGCAGATCTTATTCCCAAAGAAAATACCTCCGCAAAGTTCGCAATATATACTACATGCATGTACTATAGATTATGAAATATTTGCGGATTTAGTAAAGAACAAATCATAGAAAAAATATAGATTTAAATTTAAATCACAACTGTAAATCAACACATCTGTATCTCAGTATTTCAAAAGCGATTTATCTCGACTTGATTTTTCCTCGGCTCTTCCGCCAAGACCGGCACCACAGTGCGTCTATTTTGCGGTGATTGTGGTTGGGTTTTTATATAATTTTTTCACATAGTTGTCATGTGGAGGGGGGGATGGGATGAGAAATAATTAGAAATTAAATAAATTGCTTAATTATACTAAGCTCGCAACATGAGTGAGTAGCAACAGCAACAGGCCACAGCCAAAGACAAACAAGAAGGGAGAGGGTTCCCATTACCTTTCAAGGAAGCGAATATTGAATACCCTTTGAATGATTTGCCAAATTATGGACGTTAAGCATAGCTTAAGACAAATTTCATGGCTTTCGCAAGAGGAGAAGCCGAGTTCCTTGGGCTCAGATAGAGATATACATATGCAGTATCCATTATCTATTGAAGTTCAGCGCAATTTTGCTAGAACAACTCTGTTTGCAATCAAATAATCCTCACATATGATGAAAATGAGATCTCTTGGAAAATTATTTATAGTTTTCGGTATTTTTCTAGAATTTTCCTGGTATAATTGTATGTGTTTTATTTATGAAAAAACTGGGAAAACTATCCACAGCTTCTGGTATTTTTATAATATTTCTGTGGCACTGTGGTCCCTTACTCGTACTACATGTTGTTTGTTTGCAGATATTTCTTTTTTCAGATAGGAAAGACAATCACGTTTTCAAATAGGCATAGATTTGATAGATCTCAAGCAAATCCAAGCGAATGATGCACACAGAAAGTGAACACAAATGAAGATGATAGAATTACAATGCCACAAGTATTCCATACCCAGACAGTCCATCCAGACATAATAAAATCCTATACCCATAAGTGTATCTATATTTCTAGCAAAACCCAATACAGTATGCACTTTACAATCTCCCTAGATGTTGGACATTTTACATTCCACCCACTACTATGTATTGCTCTGGTACTATGAGAATCAAGGGTCTCTAGGGAGCAGCCTGCCGGTATTCGCGGCGTATACCCCAGCTTGAATGGATTGACTCTTTAGACATTTGCACAGCTGTATGATGCCAGGGGCGGGCATCCCTCTACTTTGTAACAGATGAGAAAGTGGCAATGTGAAAAGTTGACAACCTTTCCAGGGTCTGTGCCTGGGCCTCTGTGTAGGGTTCAGGTTCGGTTTTGCAACAGTTGGCACGTGACGTCAGGCGCTGTTGCTCTTATGCGAAGGGTCTCTGGTCTTTCCCAAGAAACACTCTCGTGTGCCGTGCCCCCTCGTGCTCGCAATTATGGGCAATTTTCTCTGGGAAGCGCTCTCCAAGCTCCAAGGCAGAGGAGGAGGCAATTATGATGATATAAGAAGACATGACCAGCAGATGTTGTGTGTGTTTAGCATAATATACTACGAGTACGAATACGAATACGAATACGAATATGTTGTATGTGTGCATATATTTAATGGATTCCTGTAAATAATTTGATATTCATTTTTTCAAGAGAATGCCCTTTGTTCGTTACATTTATGATTCTGATTCTGTTTCTGTTTCTGATTCGTGCGTATCTGAGATTAGCTTAAGTGCTACACAAATGGATAGATACTCTTGTACATACATTTATGCATATAAAGCTATATTGTATGTATAAATATAATGGTATCAAAAACAAACAAAAAAAATACACTGGGGGGGGGAATAGGTATACATAGATTCATTTTCTCTCTTCTCAGCGCATTTACGACGATCCACACAGAAGCCATGAGAATTTTAGACAACGACGAAGCGTGTTTATGGATGCATAAGTGATTGGTTGGAGAAGAACAACTCTTTACGTTCGGCAGATGGAGAGGGTGTCGAGGAGGAAGACGGCACCGTTGATGATCATCAGGGAACCGGCGGCGATGGCGTTGCGCTTCCTATCCTTCTGCAGCACGGCATCATGCCACTCATCGATGACCAGGGCCCCAGAGGCCACAAACAGAATGCAGCCGATCAGGGAGATCAAGGCATTGAGGCGCTTCTCCACCAGAGAGTTGATCACATGACCTGCAACAGAAAGTCAGAAAATAGGGGGGTTATTTCCAACGATCCAACGATCCGTGGCTAATCATAGTCACAACAAAACACCACACCACAACACAACACTCACCGATCAGCAGAACGCCGCAGATGATCGTGAAGCCGCCGATGGTGCCGCAGACGATCAGGGGACGCGATGAGAGGGCTCCATCCACCTCGTACATCACAATGCAGGCAATGGCGATGGCCTGTTGGAACAGAACAGAGAAAAGAGTAGAAAAATCGTTAGATTGCGAGAAAACGGTGCAAAAATCAGTCTCGGAGATCAGTCGGGTTTGGGTTCGGGTTCGGGTTCGGGATCGTTGGATGGATTGTTGCCGCATTCCATTAAAAAAAAAACTGTGGCAATTCATTAGCCCCTCATTTTCATTGAGACTCGATTTTATTTCACATTTGTCAAGCATTCAGCACTACAAAGGTATCCCCCACAAAGATGGCCCCATTGGCCAAACAGAATATAGCCGCTGCCAGGACACTGTTCTTGTCGCTCTCTATTTCATAGACGTCCAGCCAGCGGTCGAGGATGACGGCCCCACTGGCTATGAAGAGGATCACGGCGGCCACCGAGAACAGGACATCGATGCGCTTGTCAATGTTCGCTCCCACCAGATGACCTGAAAGACGGATCGGACCGGTTGAACAGGATGAACAAAAGGACTCGTGGACTCATGGACTAGTCCTTTACCAATACCCAGTGTGGCACAGATGATCGCGTAGCCGGTGAGGGTGCCGCACACCAGCATTGCCTGGCTGCTGTACCTATGGTCCGCCACGCTCTCAATCAGGATGATGCTCGTGGCGATGAAGGTCTGTTTTAGTTAATGGTATGTCTCTCAGTATCTGAGTACTCGATTAGGCACGAACACGGACAGACTGACAGACAGACAAGCAGACAGACATCGGGACAGTGACAGGAGGCAGCCAACCACAGAGATAGATAGATATTCCAGATAGAGAGAAAAAGATATAAGGATCCCATGATGGAAACCCACTGCCTCCACTGATCAGTGGTTTCCGACTTATCCTCGATAATGCGCTATGAAAAGAGGAGTTTCCCCAGGAAGGACTATCTCTGGGTGGGTTTGGTAGTGCTGGCACTCAGCTTAGTCATTCTCAAAGAGAGACAAAGAGAGAGCCTAAGCCTAAGACGGAAGCACAAAAACTGACCGAAGGGCACTGTCGCATGACGCGTGATATGTGTAATCGTATATTCACTCTTCTGTGGGTTCTCTAAGTTCTTCTATGAACTTCCAAAAGCACTGTTTGATAGATATGGTAGAATATATAGTATATGTACATAACCCCTTCCCCCCCCCTATTAACCATTATATGTATCCCTCACATTTATACTACGAAATCAGTAGCAAATCCCAGTTAATCCTCTGGCTAAAAGCTTCATGAGAATCGATTGATAAATTGTAGTGCGTCATGGATATTTAATGGGTTGTAATTTCGACCATATGCCCGCTTTCATTGCATTGGGTGTGGACAGGAAATTAGGCCATAAACAGACACTTAACCCTAATGGCTGGCCAAGCAGGTCGTCTTTAAAAGTGTTCAAAAGTTGCCCAAAAGGCAGAGGGAATTTCGTAATGGTTATGCTATTGGATGCCATGATATATCTGCTGGAAGTTGTCAGTTTCATTGACCAATGCCGACATCTAATCGTAAATCATTTATGCCACCTCAAGTGGCTGTGCTGTCACTTAAGGTGCCCCTTCACTTCATGGCTGCTTCCATATATCATCATCGGGGCACTGCAAGCGAAGTAGCGCAAAAGTCCCAGGGACTTAAGCCCCACACGAGTGGGCGGCCAATTTGCTTATCAAATATGAAAATTATTTCGATATTGATAGGCGATAAATGTGGTAGCGATATGGCGTGTCGAGTGCTTCATTGGGGGAGGGGACACAGCCAAGTGTGGGCAACAGTGGGCACACCCTACAGCGACCATCAATCAATTAGGAGACGCTTCTGCTAATTGGTTTGTCCTTCGCTGCCCCCAACCCCAACCCCAACCCCAAATCAAACCCCATCCCCATCCCCAGGATGCAGCGTCAAAGCATTCTTCTGTTGACTTTGTAATGCAAGGAGGCAGACCAGACCCAAAGGAGAGGTCATTAGGCTAGAATATTCCAGAAGTGGGAATGGAAATGGTGATGTTAATGGCAATTGGAGTAGGAGTGGGATATAAATAAACACATTTCCATATTCCATATTCCATATCCTTATTTGCTCGCTGCTGGCCTCGTGCATTGGCCATAAAAATATCCATTGTGTATGGGATATGTGGAATAGTATCTCGCGTACACAATATTTTGTATCTATATTCCTATGTGGACTTTCCGCCACCAATTTCCCGCGGCACACACAGCAATTATGTGTGTCAATAATTACCGAATGTTTGCTCTCGCCTCCCACTTCCATATATCTTTCAGATATCCGTATAAATATATAGTATTTATGTATGTGTGTGTGTACCTGTATTGTTTGTGCTATTCTTTATTATTTAATTGTCACGCCCATAAATCTTGAAGGGGGGCTGTGGCGAACGACGGTAGCCCCATAAATATGACATTAATCCCCCCAAAAAAAAATAATGGAAAACTATGAGATAAACAAACGATTTCCATAGAAAATGTAGCGGAAGGAAGCATATGTCTATTAGCAATAGTTTTTCAAAACACATTTGCAACAGATGTTGCAGGGAATCACATCATGGGGCATTCAATTTCATGGCAATTTAGTTACAATTACAACGAAATTATGCTATTATAGATCTAAAGAGTCGCCCACCGAGGGGCGCTGCTGCATGACGCACCATGACCCTTGTAACCGAATTTTTTGTGATTTTTGTGATTCCTACAGATGTCAAAGGGCTTCACGTTCCAAGGCTTCCACCTTTAAACAAATAAAATCCGCCAAATTCTTTGCATAGTTCCATCGTTTCCATCGTTCCAGCATCTGTTTGAAGTCATATTCTATACATATGTAATCTTTGTGTTTTTGCATCTTTCTGCATGAATGAACGAAATAATAACGTAAACGTTCCGCTATACATATGTACTGTATTGTATGAATGGTTTTATCTCGAATATGACTAAGAATTGTTTATATTTCGTCTGCCATTTATTGTATCCAAAACACCGGGTTCACACAGGGGCCACATAGCACATGGCACATGGAACAGGGTGTGGATATTTATGTCGCCAAGGGAAACCCTCTCCACAAAGAATATAAACCCAAAATAAATAGAGACCCAACCATTTACCATTTACCAATGGGGCCCCACAAAGCCCGTAGATCAATTTTATTTTCAATTTCCAATTGATATTGTTTGTATGCGTCCATTCATTATACACCTGACATGCCAGCGAGACACATACAAAGGGAGGGTCAGAGGCAGAGGCAGAGGCAGCGGCAGCGGCAGAGGCGCAGGCACAGGGTCTTGGCCATATAAATCCGAGCAGGTCGAAAACAGTCGAAATCAATTAAACGGAATTCCGTTAACAAAAAATACATGTGGCAGAAGGCAAGGCACAGATTTGCAGCAGCTAAAACATTTATTAGCTCGTAAATATGTTTACGACTGGCGTTGCAAGTCGGGTTGGTGGTGCGGATGGAGGTGCGGGTGCGGGTGCCGCCTCCTCTTATCTTGGGAATTGTTTTCACTTCATTTGCTCCCATGACCAGCCAGCCAGTGAGTGAGACAATTATTTGCCCAAAGAATAACGTGCTGGCCAACGATTCTGGGAGGATGAGTAATCCTCTGACCGATAGATAGTTAGTTAGATGAATAGGCAATCAGGTGAACAGGAATGGCGGCCTTTGGGCCATTTTGCAATTAGATATTCCCAGGGCGTTCTGTTTTTTATGAGTCGGTTGTTTACTCAATGCAATCCGCCCGGCGACGGATCGCCAGTCGACCTTTAGGCGGATCGCACATGGCGGCATGCGTATGCGTAATGCTCTGGCATTTTGTTGTTTTTGTGTTTGCTATTATTTTTTTTCTTTTTTTTTTTTTTTGGCCATGTGAGTGATGACATCATTGTAGTTGCTGCTGCTGTTTTAGCCCCCAGTCCGGGGTCCGGTTCGGATTAGTCAGTGCAATAGCCAAGTGAAACGTGATCGCGACGGCACTCCATTCAGCTTTGAGCTGCGGCAGTGCGGCAGTGCGGCAGTGCGGCAGTGCGGCAGTGCGGCAGTGCGGCAGTGCGGCAGTGCGGCACTGCTGTGGCTCTGTGGGTGTGGCAGGGACGGGCGAGACGGACATGACCCGCATTGCAAAAAATTACGAGTACGAGTCGAGTGCGATCCTCAGTCAAGTGGGTCGTCGTCACTCGAGTGATGGGATTAATGTGTGTGGATATAATCATCACACAAGTTGCAATCAAGTCAGAGAGACCGACTGTAAACAGATCGTTCAATTGAATATTTGAGGTTTTCATAAAGTATGTAAGATTAGGATCAAAATCCTTCAATTTCAAAGCCTAAACTATAATTATAAGCTACATAAAGACTTAAGAGCGACTCTCTCCAGACAGATAACCATTTCCTTAAATAGTGACTCTGATTAGAGTTTTTTTTTAAATATGGGTCATGCGGCCATGTCCACAGAAGTGCATATGTATGTATTTCAAAAGTATTTATTTCCAGTAAAAGATACTCGTATGTAGGTAAATTTGTCCGCTCCGATCATCGCTTTGACTCATCCATCCGCTTGCCTGATAACAGATGAGAGCAAACAAGTCAAAGTCGGGGGGTCGAAACAGACGTCTCAGCATTGCAAATATAGGTACTGTATACCATATACTCGTACTCGTAGTCATACTGTGAATATAATTATTAATGAAACCGCATGATGCGTACTTCAGCAAACAAAATAATTTCGAATATAAACTGTAAACATGATCCACATATAAATATATGATATAGAAATATTTTGTACAATTTCTCATATCTATCTAGAAACAAAGTCTTGTAAAGAACATTCTAGTGAGAAGAAATATATTCGTAATAATATTTCCACAGTTCTAAGACATAGAACATACATATGTAGATGTTTAGAAGATGTTGAACAGAAGAGAAGCTCTGCTCAAACCTATTAATGACAGTACTTCCCATTAATGGCACGCAGAATCTCTAAAAATGATGTCACAACATGATTAACAACATGATTCCATAGATGGAATGGGGCAAACGTTCATCTAATCCATCGTTTAATTAAGGCTCTGGGAAAATGTGCTCAACCACGAAAGCATTTCACTTTTTTTCTTGCCAATTTGCCAATTGACAATTTTGCAAATAAAAATAATGAAAATGATTCGATAATTTGTCAGGGGAAAATTTCCATATAATTTCACAAATAAACACACCTGGCTAATGAACAATTTGAATTGAGTTAAAGAGCCAGACAATGGAAATAAATATAAAAGAATGAACTGCCCCGAACAGAACAGAATAGAACGGTATGGATCGGATCGGATCCGAACAGATCGGATCGGATGAGTGCCAGAGCGAGTAGCGTGGGTGACATCACGCATATGTATGTATGTAGGAGATGATGTCGACTCGGCATCATCATTGGAGTCCGCCCATTCTAACGCCATTCTGCTTATGCCAGCGGAAGAAAAATCAAGTTCTCTTTCATCTCTTGCGTTCTTTTGTGCGCCCAGAGGCAGGCATGACCGAATATTATATTATATTATATTAGGTTTTTGTAGCAATTCATCTAAGCCGATGACATCACCGGTCTACGGACTGACAAGGGAACCACCTCTCCTCCTCACTCACACCGAAACACCGAAAAACCGAAAGCCCGAAAGCCCCAAAGCCCGAGAGCACGCATTAACCAAAACAACTACGCAATAACTCCAAAAAAAGGAGAAAAAAAACTTCAAATTCGTTAAGGGAAAGACATGGCTTTGAAAGCCGAAGCATGGAATACCCTTTAGAGATGAATTTCGGGAGTAGATCATTTATAGCTACATCGAATTTCAGAGCTACCTCAGTTTGAAAGTTACATACAAATAATATTATAACAAAACGATTACCACGATCTATAAGATTCTGAAATCTTATAGAACATTTTGTAATATATTTGCTTAAAACAATCGCAAAATTGAAGCACGTTACGATTATGAGTATATTTGGAAGAATTTCAAAGTTTTGTTTAATGATGAATATAACTCATAATTGTCTAAGATGTATGATGAAATAGAGCCTTTCTAAGAACTATTAGTCGCAGAAACAGAAGATTATAGCAATATACAATAGATTAGGATGAAATTTGGTGGGAAAACGAATATCTTTTGGAGAATACAAAAGATGGATGCGAATATCTTGGGTTTTCCGGTTAGAGAGGTGAGAGTGAAAAACTTCTGGGCGAGACCTTTAATGGTAGTACCCTCCCCTGCACGGAGAGTATGTACAATGAAGTCATGGGATTTGGGTTTTGTTTTGGTCCAGAAAATACAAAAGAGGGAACGGAACCGGTTGTGTTGCTGGCGCAGGGCCTTCCAAGGCCAGGGATGAAATCGTAAACGAAAGACAGGTTGTAAGACGCACAGCACACAGGAAAGAACGAAACTAAGAGATACAGATTCAGATGCACATGAAGATACACAACACAATCACACAAAAAGAAATTTGAAAAAACCAACGATTTGTATGCACAAAAGAAACAGAACAGGGGCTGCTCACCAGCTCAATGATTTTCAGCAGCAGACGATTGTTGAACTCCATGGCGATCGGATTCGATTCGATTCGATTTGAGATGCAAATGTATCTGAACTTAGGATCAGTTCGAATGGGTTCGTATCTTAGAAGTGCGTGTTGTTTCCACGGCGTACGCAAACGAAGTGACGAAAGCTTTGCCGCCGCTCGCATCCAAAGCTCGGGCAAGCGGCAGCGACAGCGTCGGCGTCAGCGTTAGCGCAGGCAGCGCAATGGCACAGCCACGAAACGCGTCAGCAGCAGCAGCAGCAGCAGCAGGAGCACAGGGGAGTGGGGCAGAGATAGTATCCGGGAGTTAGCCTTCCAGCCGACACGCCATTAGTAGACTTTAACTCCCATCTAAAGGATGCATTGTTTGGCAATGGGAGCGGCAGCGTACGAATCCACCCTTGTCAAAACTCGCATACGATTACTGCGTCGTATTGAAATAAATTCAACCAATTTTAGAGACCAATTGAATCATTTAGATTTCGAATATTAGATTAGAAGATATAGAAGTACAGAAAGTAATGAGGGAAACCCCCCTATACTGCTTCCATATAAATAGAGATATTAGGAATATCTTATAGGGAAAGACTGCACGGTCTCGACAGGAACTTGGTTTTTAGGGATCATTGTAGCTGCTAAAATGGTTACAAATATGATGCCATTCCATGATGAAATTAAATTATCTAGATATAATTTCTTGCCTATGAAAATCGCTTGATTCGATTAGTTTTGAAAAAAAAAATCCATTTTGAGGGAGACATTGAACTACTCGACTAAGAGCGACAGCGAGAGCACGAAACGCACCGCCAAGAGGATCACATACCAAGTTATCTTCATAATCAATATCTAATATTTTCTTTCTTTAATTTACATACTTTACAAAAAAGAAGAACAATATATCAATATGTCATTTGATAATATCTGATAATTGTAAAATTTACTGCAATATCATACACTTTCATCTTTTAAAGTTGTAGATCACTGGCTCTTACACTAGAACTATTTAAAAACTGATTTGATTTCGACAATCGATAGCAAAATATTATAAAATATGAATATAATAATAGCCCAGTCGAGTACATCTCATTATACACAAACAAAAAAACACTATATAGACTTACAAAGCTAGGAAAAATGAACCAGTCGATCCATGCCTTAACCAACAAGAGCAGCGCCCACATAGGCCAGGGCACGCTCCGCCTCGAAGGCGGGCACATACCGCGGCTCCAGGGTGGTGAGGGCTCGCTGCGTGAGCAGAGACAGGTTCTTGGTTTCGCCATGGCCCCGCTCGAAGGTGAGATACTCAACCCAGATGCTGGGCTCCGTTTTGCCAAAGTAAACGGCCATGAACTCGTAGCACATGCGCCAGGACTTGATGGCCGCCTTGTCCTGCAGGGAAGGGACAAACAATTAGCTGCGATTGGAAATAGAATGGGAATACATACGCGCACTGCCAGACTGCTCTCGAGATGGGCCATTTGGCGATGCAGCTGTAGGGACATGGGCGGCTGGAGCGCCAGCTTGGCGTACTCCGTGCGCGCTGCATCAACGGACTCTGCATGCCAGAGATACTGCAGATAGTCGGAGCGCAGCTCCGCGAACTCCGGCCAGACGGAGGCGGTGGCCAGCTTGTAGATTTCTTCCAGGCGCTTCTTGCCGAGACTATCCTGACGCGTGCGATAGTAGAGGATGACGCTCTGCCACAGAGGCAGCGCTTCGGGGCCCATGGTCTTCTGGATTTTGTTGAACAGCTCGTAGATCAGCGACTCGCTGTCATTCTGCACGTGCGTGGCCAGCAGCAGCTGGTGCATCTCGACCGAAGCATCGTTCTTGAGGGCCTCCGTTAGAATGGTAACAGCGGCCTCCCGTCCACTGGGCGCACTGCTGAGCATCTTCCTCAGGGTGGCATAGTGGCGCACGTGCATTAGCTTTGAGCGGTGGCCATCCTGCAGGGCATCGGCCAGGCACTGCTGCTTGAGCGCTCGTTCCGCCTTGCCGTCGCTGTTGAGCGTAAGCATGGCATCTAAATAGAGGCTCCACATATCCTGTGTCTGCAGCACCTCCACGGCGGACTTGTAGACAGTCACGCACAGTTGAATGCGTCGCTTTAGGGAGCGCACATTGGTGGCAGGACGAGACTTCTTGCTGGCTGGCTCCTCCTCACTGTTGTCGGGCTCCTCGTCGGGGTCCCCCAGATGGTATCCACGCAGCTCACGCTGTGCCGCCAGATCCCACAGGCCAGGCTCGCGCGGGAACTTTTCCTGCATGTCGTCGATGATGAGACGCTGCAGCTTGACGGTTATCTCGTGGTGATCCTCGCAGCTCTCCAGCAGCTTCACAAAATAATCCAAACTCGTAATGTTCGCCATGCTGTTTCGATAGACGGCCTCGACCCGCTCCAGTTTGATGTCCTGCTCAGACAGTGTGTTCTCAGCCAGATTCTTCTCGGGATCAGCCCGTGCCGCCTCCTTGAGCAGAATGTCGAAGAAGCATTTGTTAAGTGCCTCCGAGTCGGGATGTCGCTGCAGGCCACGAAGAAGAATGTCTTTCACACGATCTATATTGAGGCGATTGTACTCGTAGAGCCACAGGGCGGCGTCCACCCAAAAGTTCGGATCATCGCCATGATACTAAGAGAGAAAGACGACTATAATCGATGCAATTTAAATCTCGATGGAATCCTTACCAGCAGCATCTTCTCATAGATGCCAGCCACCTCCTGGGGACCGGACTTCTTGCTGAACTTGATCCAATTGCTCCATAGGCGCCTGTCGTGGGTAAATTTCCCCAGCACTTCCCTGTACAGGCGCATGATGCGTATGGATATGGAGTTCTTCAGGCCGGTCAGCTTTATGTGCATCATCTTCTCCTTGTCCGAGAGTGTTTTGTACATTTGCTTCTCGTAGACAATGAACTCTAGATAATCGCCGACAGCCAGGTGGCTTTTAGTGATTTTTAGGAATAGACGCTCGCGCCGGCTCACGATTTCTCTGGAATATCAGTAAATTGATAAACTGAGGGGCCTTTGGACAGGCTGCTAAGCGTTCTCACCTGACTTGATCCGGCGTGAATACGTTGTAGTGCTTCATCTGTTCGTACTCCGGCAGCAGGCGCTCCTGCATTTCAGCTATAAACTCGCCCATTTTCGTTTAGTTTTTATAATCAGCTAATATAATATAAATTTGTTTATTTCTTTAAAAAGAAGCGCACGTGCAACACGACGACTATCGATACTAGAACTGAATGGAATCATCGATAGCTGCAAAGGATGAATGTTTCCTATATGGAATAAACGAAAATTAAATGTACATTTTCTCTTATTTCGCAAATTCACTTAAATTAAATTCGCTTAAATAGCGGCATTTTCTGTTAATGTTATTTATGGTTTTTCTCTTTGTCTTTATTTGTTGTTTTTCGCAAGGGCTGCATCAAAAACCGACTCACGATGCCTTATTTACTGCAATGTATTCTCACATCACTAGCCGTACAAGCGTCGCGTTAAACTAACTGCACAATTTGACAGCCGAAAAGCATCTTCACTAATATTACTAGCAACAATTGCCTATCGTATAACCCAAATGGCCGAATTTTCAGTAGAACGTGTAGAAGACAAAAGATTGGTAAACGGCCGCACGGAATACTATTTAAAGTGGAAGGGGTACCCCCGCAGTGAAAACACTTGGGAGCCTGTAGAAAATCTGGATTGCCCCGACTTAATATCCACTTTCGAGGAGTCGCTGAAAACGAAGAAGGAGCCAAAGAAGCGGATAGCAACAGTGTCCACACCCGAAAACATTCGCAGCAAGCGGAAGTCATTCATGGAGGATGAGACCGAAGAGACCCGAAAGCTCATTGGATTTGAGCGCGGCTTGGTTCCGTCAAAGATACTGGGCGCAACCGACTCGCTGGGTCAACTCATGTTCCTGATGAAATGGAAGGGCAGCGATCATGCCGATTTGGTGTCTGCCAAAGTTGCCAACGAACGATGTCCACAGGTTGTTATTGCCTTCTACGAGGAGCGCCTCACCTGGCACACCGGCAATGGCAATGGTACTGGTGGCGGCGGCGGTGATGGCGACGGCATGGGCTGCAGCGGCTCTGGAACCGGCACTAACCCCGGCAGCGTCGAGACCCCCAGTGGCAGCACTGCTGGCGGACCAGACGAGGAAGAGGATGACGAGGCTGAAGCTGAGGCTGAAGCTGAGGCTGAGGCTGAGGCTGATCCGGAGCCAGAGGCCGAGGCTGAGCCGGAGCAAGAGCAAGAGGCCGAAGCCGAAGCCGAAGCCGAGGCCAGTCCAGCCGCCAGCACCAATAACGACGAGAACCAGAAACCGGATGAGGGAGACAGCGAGCTTGGAATCGGAGAAACCGAAGACTAAGCATATTCGAAATAATACATAGAAATTAGTGTACCAATTAAGGAAGGATCCAAGGTGGATCTTGATTTGACTACTTCTTTTTTTTAAATACATAGCTACATATATTTTATCCAGTCTCACAATCGGAGAGACCCAATTGGAGTATGTAATATACATATTTACTTCGTTCATTATTTGGGACCCGCAACATCCGGGCCACAATTATATATAAGAATAGAATTTTCTGTAGTCGAATAAAATACAATTAAAGTTGTACACATCTCTCATTGTTCTTGTATTTTACTCCCCCCTCCGTTGCAACTAATTTTTCGTAATATTCGCAAGGCACATCGGCCAAGGCCGATATGACATCTCGATAGGCACGGCGGCGATTATTGACCGTCAGACACGCCGACCGAGTATATGTCAAAAATGTGCTATTAGTGCGACACAATGCCCACAATTACCTAAATTAATAAAATGTTCTGCAGTCGAATAAGATACTCATTCTCTCAATGTTCTTGACGTTTATCCCCCCCCCCCTCGTTGCACCACCTTTCTTGTACCTTTCACAAAGTACATTCGGTACCGTACGATTTATTAAATATACCTTGTCAAAGTCCGATATGAAGTTCGATTGACCGATAGACACGCCGGCAAAGTATAAATAAATATACAAAAATTTGCTATTGATGCAATATTGTAGATGTTCTCTATTGGGTTTGGATTAAAAAGCTGCAAAAATGGCCCAGACAAGCTCCATGAAGCTGCTCGGTGCTCGCAACATGACATGCATTGTGGAGCGCATGGAGTGGAACAATAAAATGGATCTTATTGCCTACGGCACGGAAAAAGGTGAGTCGGAGCTTGGTGCTTCACGCACTGTCCACTGCATGGACTAACACACACTTTTCCATTCCACCAGGCGAGGTGGTCATCCAGCGGCTAAACTGGCAAAAGATTGTCACCTTCCCCACGCCTGGCGAAGATGTCCGAGTGCGGTCCCTCAGCTGGCAAATGGACGAAACCCTGCTGGCCGTGGGCTACAGCAATGGAAAGGTGGCTCTGCTCGATGCCGAAAGTGAGACCATCATCTCTGGACTGATCTATGACGACGACATCAAGAAGGTGTACTTCAGCAAAGCCATCAATTGCCAGGAGACGCTGGGCAGCTACACCTGCAACGCCAAGGACAAGCACAAGCGATTCCTGCCCAAGCTCCAGCCGCTGACCAACATTGATCCGTGCCTGAAGTCTCTGGACCAGAAATCCTTCCCCAAGGGCTCGCCCTGCTTTCTGGTGGTGATCATGCGCAGCGGGAAAGTGCATCTGCTGCTGCTGGGCGCCCTACAGGCGGGCAGCATCGATCTCACCCAGCACGTACTCCATCCGGAGCAGTTCGATGTGTACGATGTGCGTCTGAACGGTGACTTCAATGCCATCTACGCCCTGCTGCGCGATGGCTTGCAGCTGAAGATGCTGCACTTTCACAACCAGGTGCTGCAGGATTGCATGGCCCCAATGCTGGAGCTGGCCACGCACTGTGCCCACATACTGGAGACAAAAAAGTAGGTGCTTCCCAGCCTTTGTTTAGGAGTATTTCCTAATAATAATGCCATTTAAAGCTACATCAATGACACACAGCAATGCCTGACGGAGGCCTGGGAGACGGTCCAGCTGGAGATGGACAATAAACTGACAAAATATGCCAATTCGCAGGCGTACGGGATGATATCCACACACTTCCTGGAGCTGCATGTCTTCGGGTTCGCCACCTTCGAGGTGGAGGAATTTCTGTTCGAGTGAGTTGCGTTCCCACCTACAGTATCCAGTGCTCATATGATTTTGCTACTTGCAGCACCCTCTCAGAGAAGGGCTTCAAGAAGATAGCCAATTCGGTGGATCTCAGTCTGAACAATCTTCAGGGGCTGGTCTTCAAGCAGCTCAATGGAGCGGCCATCAATATGTTTTATTTTCTCAACACAATTGCGGGCTTTGGTCGCATGTCGCACTTCTTTGAGGTTTGATATTCCACACTGGATCCCCCCCAGGAACGAGTGTCTGAATGTCTCCCTATTTCAGAGTCTCATCTCCCCAGAGGTGGCCGTTGAGGCGATGCGTTCCTGCGGTGCCTTCTATCTGAAGGTGCACGAGCTACAGCGCACCATCGATTCGCTGGTGAACGACATGAAGCTCTTCCACGCCTGGATGATATTCACCATCTTGCGGCTCTCGCACCAGGAGATACCCGACGAGATGGTACTCAGCGAAGAGGAGAACGTTGCCCTGGCCGATCTCCTATGCGCCATGGAGCCGGATCTGGAGGAGGGCAGCGACGATGATGAGAACATCGAATGCCCCAGTGGGGGAATGCCCACGCGCAGCAAATTCAATCTGGAGCGAGTGGGGCAGTATCTGGAGAATGCCTGCCTCACGCAGCTCTATCCTGTGGACCCAAACCAGCTGTGGGAGCAGATGCTGGCCGAGAACGAGTGCCTGGGCCAGTGCCCGTTGTTTGTGCCGCACGACAAGAAGCTGTCGCTGGTGCAGCAGCGCGACAAGATGTTCAATGCCATAGATGCCGTCTTCCACAAGCCCACGGAGAGCATTAGCGCCAGCTTCAAGCTCAGCACGGCCGTCGTCTGCTGTCAGTTGCCGCCCATGGAGCCTGAGGAGGAGCAGGACTTTGTCACCTGCAGCTATTATGTCCATGAGGCCGGCCGATGTGATATGCTTGCTGTAACCATCAGTTGGCAGGAGGCCATGGTCCTGGAGTTCAGCCGGGCCGAGGATTGCCTACTGCGCTGCACCCGCGTCCAGCTTCTGCCCGGTCCCTTCACCCCCCAGCTGCACGAGGACTACTACAACCTACGCTTCGTCGATCTGCAGTTCTACAATGAGTCGAGCCTCTCCATGCTGGCCCAGAGCACCTCCTCGACGCCCGGTGTGCGTCCCCACAGCTACTTCATTCAGTTCTCCCTCAGTGCGGCGCGGAATCAAAGCACCCAACATCATCTGGCCCCGCTCATGAATCTGCCGGATGCCACTGTGACACATAGTATCCACGACATACCCGAGGCGGCTGCCTTCAAGGGTTTAGATGGGGTGTGCGAAATGCTGGCCGTCTCCGGCAGCCGCAAGGTGGCCACAGTGCTGTCCGATCGCAAGCGCAAAATGACCATTTTCGAGATGGAGATCGAGGATGAGGAGGACGACACGGAGATGTCGCAGGCCTCATTCCTGGAGATCAGCAAGGAGTCCATTCTGGCCATCAATGATTCGGATAAACAGGATTGAATCCGAGTCTTTGTCTCTTTTATCATTATTAATCTTTAGTATGGTAGGCGCTTTCATTTATTATTAAAATTCGATCCCAAAACGAACCATAACGACCGGTAGCATCGTGAGTCGCAGCAAGGTCCGCGACTCTACTTATATACCCGATACACAAACAAATCTATAAGTATCGGGTATGTAGAGGGTATTGCGCATCCAATAGAATAGCTCTGACTATCGGCTGGTGTGTCCAAAGATCTCTTCAATTTGTTATCTTATCGATACGATAATCGTGTCGAGGGCCCATAGAAAAGACGCGTGATATATGTATGCATGTATCTTCTCACTTGCATCCACATTTTGGTTTTTACTTGGCAAAAGGAATTTTTTGATTGATTACACAATATGTACAAAACATAAGGGAGAAGCGCTTCGAAATGGAGGACATTGGATATCTATATATGTGATCCTGGCTAGCTACTGGAAGCCCTGTCATTGGATCCATAGCCACAGAGTCTTTCTTTAATGCAAATTATATTTTAAAAAACGTATCCTTATTACACCTAAGTTTTTTTGAGCCACGCGAGGTGTATGGGGTACCCAGGGAATTGATGGCGACTAGCTGATCTCGTACTGATATGCATCCGCGTCGGAATCATCGCTGGTGGAGTAGTTCTGCTTTCGACGCCGCAGCTCGCGTTTGCTGAGCTTCTTGGACGCCGCAGGCGCTGCAGCCGGGGCCTCCACCTCTTCGGCAAGCAGCTCCTCGGGCAATCCCTCTTTGTTGGGCGGATCGTCCAGTTCTGCATTGGCCACGGCTTCCGCCTCCTCGGCCATCTTCTGGGTCTTGACCAGCTCACACAAATACTTGTACCGCACCAGACACTCTTCCTTGGTCTTCTCCGGCACACTGTTGGCGATCTTCTGCCAGCGATCGCCGCTGGCCGTCTTCCTGTTCTTCACGATGGCCGCCTCCAGAGCGCGCTGCTGCTCCTGCGTCCAGTTGGTCTCAGGTATCAGCATGCTCTTCTCGCTGCTGCTAGTGACAGTGCCTGGGGCGACAGTAGCAGTCACGGACGCGGACTTCTTCACCTTCTCCTTCCGGACCGCCTCCTGTGACTCCTGAACGAGGTTCTCGGCCACGCTCTCCGTCTGGCCGGGTATGCGGTAGCCGTTCTCCTTCATCTTGGCCGCCATGAAGGTAACCTCCTGGACCGAGCGGTTCATGGACTCGGCAATGGTGTTCCAGCGACTGCCCGCACCACCCGGGTGCTTCTTTACAAGGCGTATCAGCTCGGTGAGATCCTCGTCCGTCCAGAAGCCGCCGCTCACAGTGCTCTGGAAGAGTTGGGCGCCCTTGGGCGATGAGTAAAATAAACGCTGATCTATGGTTGCTAGGTATTTGTGGTTCACCTTCTGGGAAGCGGGACGCACGCCATCCTCTTCGTTCAGTTGTCGGGCATTGATCCGAGAATAGCCGCGCAACTCCTCCTCGGTCTTCTCCGGTGCCTTGCTGTTCTGCTTGCGCTTGCGCAGGTTCTCCTTTTGCTCCTTGCGCAGGCGGGCCTGCTCCTCGGCCTCGCGCTCCAGCTCCTCCTGCCGGCGAGCGGCCTCGAGCTCTCTGTGCAGAACGGAAAAAATAACATTTATTAGCCGTAGTTCCTAGTTTATAGTGGAAGAGCTTTTTTCTTTTCTACTTACTGTCTGCGCTTCTCCAGAGCCAGCTCCTTGAGCTCGTTGGCCTTGCTGAAGCCATTCTTGATGGTCTTCGGTAGATTCCAGATGGCCAGTGGTATCTGGATGGGCAGCGTGTTGAGCAGCGACGGCATGGGGATCTCGCTGAGGATCACATCCATGTCGATATTTTTATTCTTCTTCTGGAGCTTCTTCAGCTTGGTGCCGAACACCTGCTCGGCGGTGTACTTCTTTTCGAGGTAGGCGGCCCACGCGAACAGATACTGGCCAACGGTGATGATCAGGAACAGGATGAAGGCGCCTTCGTACAAGCCGATCTTGCGCATGCGGCGGTAATAGTACAGTGCCGATTTCCAATTGGGCATGCCCTCCTTGAGCACCTTGTCGTACTTCTCCCGCTTGGACGAGTCCTTCAGCACCTCGTAGATGGAGACGAGGTTCCGGAACTGGATGTTCGCGTCCTCGGACGGATTCTTGTCTGGATGCAGGACAATCGAGAGGGTGCGGAAGGCGCGCTTGATCTCGTTGTTGGTGGCAGTCTGATTGATGCCCATGAACTCGTAGAAGTTCTTGTTGATCTCCTCCACCAAATCGAAGATCTCCAGCTCCTCCGAGTGCCAGGCCCGGGCCGTGCCGCACATCAGCAGCAGGCACCCACCCAGCAGCAGTACCAGTGTGTCCTTTGGCAGTTTCATTTTGTACGTTTCGTGGGGCTACAGGCTAAATCGGAGTCCAAATCGAAATCAAAAAAAAATTAATGCGGCAGTCCCCACGCACGCACATACACACGCCAACACAACCAACACACACAGCAGCTGTCAGACACGCACGAAAGTGGCAACGTCAGCAGTGCTAGCGTTGCCAACTGTCGAGTTTTGTATTGTCGAGTATTGTCAAGTAGAAAATTGATTCAATAATCGTATAAAATTATGTGGGCATGGCCACTAACCACTACTGTATGCCCAAAAGTTCTATATAGCTAGTAATATTCCACGGAATATCAAAAAAGAGGAATATGTATGTGTCGTCAGTATATTAACGGTATATTTTTTAAATGAGACGGTATATTCCGGTATATTTCTGAGGGTCCGACGATATATGGTCGCACTGGACAAATTTTAGCAACGATTGCGTTGGTTTTTGGACAACATTTTTGGAATCCTGGGCAGAAAATGAACGTGCTTCCGCTGCTTTGGCTGCTGTGCGGCTCAAGCCTGCTGCTGCTCGCTGCTGGAGAGCAGAATGCCGCTGTGGCCAGCGTCCCTGCCAATCAGCAGCCATCTCAGAGCAACAGTTCCACGGCAACGCCGCTGGTGAATGTGGTGAATGCCACAGAACACACTGCGGTCCCTGGTCAAGTGCACATCATTGAGAAGACACAGGTCAAGTCAACCAACTCCACGGAACTGGCCAAAGAGCACGAAAAGGATATGAACAAGACGAGCACCATTCCGCCGGACAACACGGCCAAGAACAGGAAGAGGACGGACCCGGTGCAGCTGAAGCCCACCACTGCGACGGCGGCACCTACAAGCGCAGCTTCTGCAGCCAACAATGCAACAGTCACAAAGCCAGCAGCAGTGGCGGCGGCAGCAACAGTAAAGCCATCCACTGGCACCATTGTGGCTGACGGCATCTCCATAAATGATGTGAAGGCCAACAACTCTACGACCAGCACGACTAGCAGCGGCACCAGCAGCAGCAGGAGCTCTAGCAGCACCTCCACTACTCCATCGACTACTACAACCACAACAACCAGCACCACCACAACGACGACCACTACAACCACCACGACGACGACAACGCCGCGTCCCACAAAGCCACCCGTTGTGTACAGCATGGATACGCATAGCGAATGGGAGAAGGAACAAGAGGATAAGGTAAAGTCGCCGGCGGCTCCTTCCTTAGCTGCCTCTTCGGAGCCCCTGCCCGAGCCGGCATCTACATTGTCCGAACCGGTGGCACCGATGGTCCAAGAGTTAACTGGAAACCTGGCGGATCGCGAAGGCAACGATTACATAGTGCCCATTGTGACGGTGCTGCTGACGGTGCCGCTGGCCATTGGTGTGGTTACAATTATGTATCGCCGCTTCCGCGAGCTGTGGAGCACGAGGCACTACAGGCGCATGGATTTCCTGGTTGATGGCATGTATAACGACTGACGAAGGCGCCAGGCGCCATCGGGCAAGAGTGGCCAGTGGTCAGCGTGCTCCACCTACTCCACCACTACCACCACATACTCCTCCTACATACAGCAAAGAATTTGTTAACCAATCGATGGGATTGCTAAGATTATTAGTTGTTTAAGTTCTCAGAATGTTTCGATGTTTGCATGCAATGCAGGAGGCAAGAGAGAGAAGATATCCACCAGAGAGTGAGATGATGCACACAAACGCAATCACAAAAAAATATATACCTAAAGTCTTAGAGTACCGGGGGTATAAAAATAAATAGGATATTGCTCAGTCAATTAAAAAAAAACGCAGAACGATGAAACGAAAAATTGGTAGATCATAAATTGCGGCTACAAAATTGAAAGGTGGACAAATTTCGTAGCGGCCAAAATTGAATTGTTGTAAGCAAACTGATTTTGAATGCATAATTTGATATATATAAGCATTATAATTGTAAGAGGCATTTGGATTTTATGCGAAGAATGAAGCATTTGTTACAAATCAGCATATGATAACCAACACACACACATACGCATATATATATATATATATACCTTTATATTATATTATATACCTTTATATAACTACTTGTATACAGCAATCAACCAATCAATTTATGAATAGTATAGCTGCGACCAAATTGTATCAACCTCCCCCATCAACCATCATCAAGCGCAATTAGCAATCACTCATTCGTAGATCTATATAGACCGTAATGTGCCTTACGAATCAGCTATATACATACCTACATATATACTACCTAAAAACTGATATTCCCCCAATCACAAAGCAGAGACTCACCTTTACCCCCAAAAAATATCTTATAGTGTGCTATACAGGATGGTCTTGCATTTACTTTACGCCTCTCATTGCAGCCCGAAACCATCCGCAGATGCAACTTAGCCTCAAAGAAGTAAATCTTTTGCATATTTATAAATAACATAATTATGTACAATTTGTATTGTTATTTAATGTAACAATTACAATAAAGTACGAGTATATTGCAGTCAAATCAAAGTGCCATAATCCATGGATATATCATAGATTTAATGAATATTTCACCGGTAATTCCAGTAATCGTCTGTTTTTGTTATGAAAACACACTCTTCTATCGAAACTACAGCATAGCTCCTGTATAAATACCCCGATCCTTTGGTCCCAGGATGAGTAGAATACGTAAAGAGCATAACATGAAGGAATTAAGAATAATACATTTTGAAGTGAACAAAAAGTCCCATAATCCATGGATGTATCATATTATTGAATATTTCAGCGGAAAAGGTAGTGGTGAATGAGTGGACTACGTAATCCTTAAACATAAGAGCATAACATGAAGGAAATCGCATAATGCATATATGGATATAACGTATAATTAATGACTATGTCAACTGAAAAAATTGATGTAGAATAAATCAAAAAAATCAGTAAATCTAATTATTTGTATCCTTTGTTCCCTGAATGACAATCTTCAGTAAAAGATCAGTAAAAGATAAATGGAACATGATGGAATAGTTAATACAAGCACATTGTCTTGATATAATCATATTATAAGTATTTTCTTTGCATTTAAAATTCTTCAAACGTACAGCGGAGCATTCGTTGTAACCATAACTCATTTGTGTTTAGATATTGTAAAGGAGGAGTCCCCCAGAAACTGATCCCCATGGTGATTTGTGTTCCAGCTTAGAGAGCATTACACAGAGAGTTTTGTGTGTGTGGAAAGTATTTTGTTGTACCACTTGGGCTGACCTGTGCCCCTGTTGATGATTTAGACAAATGTGAAAGACAGGGCGTCTCCACAGCTCAGAGCCTGCCCCCACCACGGCTATACATACCTCTGGCTATACATACATAAATACATACTTGTCTATGTGGTGTTCTATGTATATCCATTTCAGAACAAAAGGCATTTAGCTTTAGCTTCTGTGAATGCTGTGATTGAAGTGGTGTATAAATTATCTCCATCTCTAGTGCCCTGTTTCGAATAATCTAAACAAAAAGAACGAACCATCCCGTCGGATCGGGCATCGGGAATCGGTCGGCGGGTATACATATTATGTGAATGTGTGAAATAAGTCGAGCAACTGCTGTCGGTTCTACGATCTACTGCTGCTGCTTGTATGTCTGTTTAGGATGGTTTTTGATACCAATTACCTTTTAAATTCTAGGGGTATACCCTCTTTTCTTTGGTATAAATTCATACATATGTAAATTCATTGATTATATGTAACAATATTTGTATGTATGTCAATAATCTAATTTTCAATTTAAATTCATTTAACTTAAATATTTGTATTATTTGTTTTAATATTAATAATTAATTATGAAATATTAAAAATTAGTTTCCAGGGGCAATATTATCAAATCTTGTAAGAACGAACATAATTATGTGGTGCCTGGTTTTTTATTTGAAGGTATTTTTTAATAATCCTCCCCATCTGAGGGAAATATCCCTTATTTTAGCCCAAATATACATACATATAAGTATACCCATATCGGGGGTATCTTTCTAGTCGTTCTATCGCCGATACGTTGAGCTTTTGTATTGTAGGAGGTTTTGTGTTTTGTTTGTTTGGTGGATTTGTGCCGCCTCCGCATTCACTTGAAAACGTGCGCTGGACGCGTGCAGTTCTCATCGATCAGTTTCCGTTTCATTTCCAAGTTCTTGTGGTTCCTGTTCTATTTCTCTGGTCGTTCGATAATTTGTCGGTGTCCAGAAATGCATCCTGCCTCGCCGCATCAACATCGCTCGCGTCTTCATGTCGGCTCGCCGGGATCGGGCCAAGTGCAGGCCTCCTCATCGACGGAGACCTTTCCGCTGACACCTCAGCCGCAGCATCAGCATACGGTGCATATACCACCTTCCGCATCGTTGCCCTATCAGGGACTCAAAACGTGTAAGATATGGGAAGAAAGGAGTTGAAATTTGATGGAAACGCGACAGATAAGAGATGGATATGTTTTCATGCAGCTCTTTCGAAGAAAGTTTACAATATTTAGTTGAAAAGGAACCCAAAGGTTGTACCCATAAAAATGCCAGATTCTTTTATAAAAAGTCCCATTTTGCTCACATATTGGATCTCGAAAAGATCCTAAAGGAACTATACCATTATTTAACATGGGAATGGCTGCCATAGAGAATGTATAAGTGAACAGACTCAAGGATCATCAAGAGATTTAAAGAATTTAAAGAATTCCATATCTTATCACTCTATAATTATAAATTTCCATTATATTTTATTGCATAGTTCCTTCGATTTGTGGACCGGATTTCTAGGCACAGATTCGCTTGCCGCATTTTGTTTAGCTCATAAAAATATACGCACATTGACTGCCAGATACAAATAGCGCGCACACATGACCTCACAGATCTGTAGACTATACCCTCCCCCATTCAAACCCCCCCCCACCGGCAAAAATCCATAATTCAAGAAAATGGGAAATTAATGCGATTGAAAATCATAATCAAGGCACGAGGTGAGACGATTTCTTATTAAATGAATCCGAATCATTTCAGAACCAGTACATTGTATCTGTATGTGTGTCTGTATCTGAGCATTGAACTGTACCGATCGGACCACCAATGAAGTATGCAATATAAACTCTGCGCCGACATATGAAAATAAATAAAAAATATCCCCCATCCCACCACCCTCCCACCCCCAGGCCACGATTGAGGCATATGAACACCGATCCGTGTATCCGTGATATAAATCGTACTGTCGAAACATATAATCTAAACAAAAGGAAAGAAATACTCAACACCCGCCGGGGCCTTTGGGCGTAAACATTCCTTGCCCATTGGGCATAAATAGTTCTCTCGAGTACGTGTATTACTCGGCTGGATAGGTGAAGAAACAAAACACAACACAAAAACAACAAAAATAAAACCATTTTGGATATCATATTCATGAACGTGTTTTGTGTACTGTACCATATATTAGATGTATGTAGCACTCGAAAACTCGCCTGTATAGTATATACTCGTACCCGTACTCGTACTCGTATTTGGCAATAAAGCAAATGTTCTACTTATGTAGTTAGTCGAGCATAAGAAATGCTCGGCTCCTGCTCTGCTGTTCGCTGGATATTTATGGAATTTATGGGATTTTTTACTAGATCAAAAGCAATTTGTACACATTAATTACCTCCAAAACACAGAGCCATGCCATGGAATATGTATTGTATGATGGTGTGTAGGGTAATTGAAATATCATAATGCGCTTGGAAACAGAAATTTCATAGAACAAAAAATAAAGAAATAATGAAACCCTTGCACCGATCCCTTTTTGTATGTATGGATCGGATTTTAGAGTTATTCTCAGTTTCATTTCATAATTTAGTTATATGCTGGCTGTGTGCCAGCCTTGTCGCCGTTACTTGGTTGTCCGTTATTCTTGTCTTCTGCCTTTTCTGTTGCAGCACTCGTGTTAATGGTGAAAGAGTGCGTGTCGAGAGACTCCCGTAGAGAGGATCATAGAAGAGGGACGATGTTTATGTGGCTCTGCTTGAAGGCAAAGATAATTGTAGTGGAAAGCTGCAAAATATTAGCCTAACGAACAGTAACTACGAACAGTTTACGCTCTCATTTTTTTCTTCAGACTTCATTTCCTTTTTTCCTTATCTCTCAGATGCGGTATGATGTGTCTTTAATCTGTGCTTTGTAATCTCAAAGTTTTTCTATTTTTGGAGGAAAAGATCTTTCTCTTATGAAGCTCCAACAATTCTCTAACAAAATTGTACACTGTATACTCGTACGAGCCGTTCTTCATTCTATTTCGGTCTTAGATCGCAGAGGTATCTTCCCTCCATCCAGGCTATCCCCTTCAATAGTAAAAGCTAGACTTAAGAGCATCGCATATTAAAATCTCCAAAGAATCTAATCCCAATTCTCTCTCTGTATCTTTTGCAGCTGAAAATGATGACATGGGCTGCGTGGAGATACTAGCGACGGCTATTTCCGTGCTGATTATGATCCTGACCTTCCCCATCTCCGTGTTCATCTGCTTCAAGGTGGTGTCCGAGTACGAGCGCGCTGTGATCTTTCGCATGGGTCGCCTCCGCAGCGGTGGGGCCCGTGGTCCGGGTGTCTTCTTTGTCCTGCCCTGTGTCGACGACTACTATCCGGTAGATCTGCGCACCGTCTCGTTCGATGTGCCGCCGCAGGAAGTGCTCTCCAAGGACTCGGTGACGGTTACTGTGGATGCCGTGGTCTACTATCGCATCAGTGATCCGCTGAAGGCCGTCATCCAGGTGTACAACTACAGCCACTCGACCAGCCTCCTGGCAGCCACCACATTGCGCAATGTTCTCGGCACCCGTAATCTCTCCGAGCTGCTCACTGAGCGCAAGACCATCTCCGACACCATGCAGATGTCCCTGGACGAGGCCACCGATCCTTGGGGCGTGAAGGTGGAGCGTGTGGAAATGTAAGTGTGTCCACATCGAGCAGAAAGTATAGCCTTAATCCCTTACCTCTATCTCCAGCAAGGACGTCTCCCTGCCCACGGCACTGCAGCGTGCCATGGCCGCCGAGGCGGAGGCGGCTAGGGAGGCCCGGGCCAAGGTGATTGCCGCCGAGGGCGAGATGAAGTCGTCGCGTGCCCTCCGCGAGGCCTCCGAGATCATCTCGGCCAGTCCGTCGGCCCTGCAGGTGAGTCTTTTAGCAGTTTCATCGTCCTTCGAGTGCTGATCATTCTTGTTCCTGCAGCTGCGCTACTTGCAGACCCTCAGCAGCATCTCCACGGAGAAGAACTCGACCATTATCTTCCCGCTGCCCATGGAGCTGCTCACGCCGTTTCTCAACTCCCACTCGCATGGCAGCCACCAGCAACAGCAGCAGCACAATATGCATCCCCATCCGCCGGCACCGGCCACGCCCCTGCATCGCCACCAGCACCAGCATCATCAGTGACGCTCAATGTCGGTGCTGCAGCCCTATCTGGAGGCACTGCATCGCTGCGAGCTCAAAAGACAGCAGCGCCAGCGGCAGCCGCTCACAGATCGCAACGATGACGATGACATCGTGGGCTATTTGCTGTAGCATCCGATAAAAGTGTAGGATCACTGGATCAGAGTGGTGTAGAGAGATGGCGGGGAATCCGAGGAGGTTATTGTTCTTTGAAGTGTTCTTAGTCCATCTGTTGTTTTTTTTTTTTGTATTTTTTTGTGTATAAAATATGAATAATATTAGATACAAGCCAAGGCGCTGTATTTATATGTAGAATAAAGGGCGAAACAAATACCGATCTTATATCGTCATGAGAGTGGACTTTTTCTGAACAAAGAGGAGGTCTTATGAGAGTCTTATCTTCTTCTCCTCCTCGGAGAAGGAGCTTTCTTTCACCGTCGGAGGGACTGAACGCATTTGATTTTAAAGCCATGCTCGACAATTTCCGGGCAGCTATGATTCATCCGAGAATGGCATGCGATTCACACAGCCCGTTAAATGGTGTTCTGGTGTTCCCCTGGGTGCTGCCCCACCGAGCTTTAGGGCACGCCTCTCTTCAGTCGCAGCGCAGAGCGGGAGTTAAGAGATACGAGTATCTGTTGGTGTGGGCCGAGTGTAACCGAGTCTCGACCGAGGCCCTTATCAATGGAATGCCCCGACTGGGGTTCGATTTTATTTTGTTGGCGACAGTTTCGATTGGCTCGCTGACCGGGGTGGATCACAGATCAGACACACAGGGCCATGGAGCAACAGCAGCAGCACCAGCAGCAGCAGCAACATCAGGATGCCGACTCCCCCGTGTATGCCAACTACGAGGATATGCGCAACTCGGGACCGAGCAGCTCTACCGCCTACATGATCAACATGGGTCCTGGAGCACCACCGCAGGTGGGCCTGAACGACCACTCGCCACCGCGGAAGCGTTCCGCTGTGACGCAACAGTATCGCGGCTTCAAAACATGTAAGAAAACAAGCGCTCACTGATCAATCCATTCCATTCCATCAACTCTTTCATCGATCAAAAACCGAAAATGCCATATTCAATCCCATTTCACTGGAATCGAAGTTTAGATTAGATTGCGTTCAAAAATACTTATAAACGAGAGATTGGGAGTGGTTGTTGTGGCTGATGTTTGCAGTCACTCTGAAGGATAGGAATATGGGCATTTAATGGTTAATAGACAGTCGGGAAAATGTTTATAAATAGAATCAATATCAATATACCATTCGGTAAAAAAAACAACACCCAAATAACTTGTATTGGATAAATATGTCAGCAGATATGCAGATAGGGGTTCTGACACTATAATAAGATATATGTATATCTTATCAAAAAATCATACTTTCAAGTGACTTCCGCTCCCCCCTTTCTTTTTGCTTCTCTATATTTGTTGAGATCGTTTCTGTGTCGGAACTTTGTCTTTAACAAATTTTAAAAACAGTATAAGGTCTTCAGATTTATGGTTCTACAGATCTACAGCCTGATAACTTTGAGAATGCTAAACCGCATAATACAATCAGCAATGACCATCTGTCTGAGAATTCCTAGGAATACAACTCATTGGAGACCGCAAGACCGCTGTGGCATGGAAGATCCGTCCATCTGGTGGTGAAAGGAAGCGCCCAAAAGGAATAGAGGACGTCAATTGTAAGATCTCCGAGTTATCCATTACCACAGCTACAAAGTCCCGAGTGGCCTTCTTTAGGAAGGTATGGAAGAATGGAACTTCTTTCTCCATCTGTAGATCAGGATCCTTTACAATCCTTCCCATCCAGGATTGCCGATCCCCCTGTAAAGTGGTCTTTCCGGGTTCACTTAAGATCAATGCTTTGCAGCTTACATTCCTTTCGGCTGCAGTTGCTAGAGAAGCCAAGATTGCAATTTGTTTCAAGTGTAGAGGAGAGATTGCGAAACTGAAGTGCCAAGGAAATACGATTAGGTGCGTGTGCCTTATCTGGGCTAAACACATCTACATAGAGACCCATACCCCACATACATCCATCAACGATTAGTCATCATGACAGTTGCTCTTTGTCGTGGCTGCTGGGTAATCTCTCATTCTGTTCTGCTCTGTTCTGTTCCCATTGCAGCGGAGAATGAACCGAGGGGCTGCATGGAATGGGTGGTGACGATTCTCTCGGTTCTTGTCTTCATTATCACGTCCCCCATTTCGATATTCATCTGTTTCAAGGTTGTGGCGGAGTACCAGCGCGCCATTATCTTCCGCCTGGGTCGCCTCAGTGGCGGCGCCCGGGGTCCGGGCATGTTCTTCATCCTGCCGTGCATCGACGAGTACCGCAGGGTGGACCTGAGAACCGTGACCTTCAATGTGCCCCAGCAGGAGATGCTGACAAAGGACTCGGTGACGGTCACGGTGGATGCAGTCGTCTACTATCGCATCAGCGATCCCCTCTATGCGGTAATCCAAGTCGAGGATTATAGCACCTCCACTCGCCTGCTGGCCGCCACCACGCTGCGCAACATCGTGGGCACTCGAAATCTCTCCGAGCTGCTCACTGAGCGTGAAATCCTCGCCCACACCATGCAGTCCACACTGGACGAGGCCACCGAGCCATGGGGCGTTATGGTGGAGCGTGTGGAGATGTAAGTACTGTCATTATTTCTAAGTACTCTTTTTCATTCGAATCCTCTTGTCCCACGCAGCAAGGACGTCTCTCTGCCCGTGTCCATGCAGCGTGCTATGGCCGCCGAGGCGGAGGCGGCCCGCGATGCCCGCGCCAAGGTTATTGCCGCTGAGGGTGAGAAGAAGTCGGCACAGGCTCTCAAGGAAGCATCCGATGTCATCTCCTCCAGCCCGTCAGCCCTACAGGTAAGTCCCGCATATCCGCGGATATGTTGACTTATGTTCTGAACCTCCTTCTCTTGCAGCTGCGCTATCTGCAAACGCTGAGCAGCATCTCTGCCGAGAAGAACTCCACGATTGTGTTCCCTCTGCCAATGGAACTGCTCACGCCATATCTGGCCAAGTACGCCAACATGATGCCGCAGGTGCCACAAGTGCCGCCACAGTCGAAGGATAAAACCGCTGATGGCACGCTGATCGACGCGCTGGCCGCCTGGCCGAAGACCCAATTGTAAAGCCGTTTAATCCTCGTATAACCATGCATTTCGTTATCCTTAATCTTTGGTGTTTACAACAAATAAACATTCTCCTGTGCCACGGCAAGGGCCCTGGCAGCCGCTTCGCCCATGGCCTGCTGGAAGCCTGAATCGCCGGCTATGATAAGGACCCGCAGTCCTGGGATGGCGGGATTGGCATGGCTCTCCAGCTCGGAAGCATCCAGTCGGTGCAGACACACCCTCTCCTTGTATCGGAGGCTCCTGCGCAGCTCGTCGCACTCCTGGATACAGTGTCCGGCGACCAGACAGGCAGCAGAGCCACATTGCTGATGGGGCACGTACAGGCAGCTGCGATAATTCCAGTATTTGGCAAACTCCAGAAGCTGGTCACGAAAGTATACATGCTGCAGATCGGGGGAGCATACCAGATGCCAAATGCGACTCATGTCGTCCTCGTTCTCCAGCACTTGGCCGACCAATAGCAGCGTTGGGGCGATGGCCACGCCCTGGGCAATAATGAAAATACACTTGGTCACGGCTGGATCGTGCTGATAGTTGCCAATGGGTCCACGAAACTCCAGCCTATCGTTGAGTTGCATGGCAGCCAGGTTCTTTGACATGGGACCATCGGGCTGCAGCTTCACCAGAATTTTAAACTCTTTACTGGCAAAGTCCGTCCAGTAGGGGGAATAGGGGCGCAGCAGGGAGCCAATGCGTAGCATTACGTGGTGTCCAGGTGGAATATCCAGCACGCAGTCATCCTTTTCGTCGCTATCCGCGGCAAAGTGTAGGAATAGCACTTGGTCATCGCCCTTGTGGCTGTCCCTCTGCAACAGCCGGAACCTGGTGTACTTGAGAATAATGTTTCGCTTTCCGGCTAGCAGCGCTCGCTGGCTGGGCTTAGGTTTGTTGTCCAATATGCAGTTGGTACAGCCATTACCACAGCAATCTGATTCCTGGATGGTAAACGCGTCTTCCACTTTCTGTTCCCCGTCGGCTGTCATGCTAACAGTGTTGGTCCATTCAGGGGCAAAATGTGGCGGGAAAAAGGCTAACATTAACTTGAAGCTGAGCTTTTCTTCATTTGTATGTTATTTGGACAGCTACAATTTGGTCATTTGATTTCAGAAAAATGAATTCATTTATAAAGGAGCGTCACGGAGTTGTCACCATAAGTAGATTGAAGAAAAAAGAAGCTAGAACAAGCTAAAAATTATAAAAAAAGCAAAATGAAATTTTAAATGAGCTAGATTTTAAGCTTTAAGCATTTGAATTATTTTTTAAGCTATTTAATTTTAGAATAAGCCAAATCTAACTTAAAATAAGCTAAAATAGCAACAGGCCGGATATCGACAGATGCACACCGATATCGATGTGACCGTTTACCGGTATATAAAGGTATATTTTGTCAATTTCAACGTTATAGAGAAATCCAATAAAAGCAAGCCGGTCAAGTAGAAAATAGATTCATTAATTGGATAAAATTATGTGGGCATTGTGAAATGTTCTATATAGCTAATAATATTTGACGGAAGATTAATAACGAGGAATATGTAAAATAGAACTTGAATTCGTCAGTATATTTACGGTATATTTTTTAAATGAGACGGTATGTTTCGGTACATTTCTGAGGGTAGGACGGTATATTTTATCGATACATCGTATATTTTATCGTATTACCACTAACCATACAGTATATAGATGTGCCAGTTCATACAACGAAAGTGTCACACACCGGCTTGCGCTATCCGTACCCCAGAGTGACGTCATCATGAGAGAGAGAGCGCAGAGAGAACATCTTTGCATGTGTTAGTACATGTACATGTAATATGTTTCGACAAAAATATGTGATTGTATGTTTTTTCAGATTTTTTGAACTCTCTCAGGTCTGGTTCTGTTTTGCCACCAGCATGCTTTAGTGTATGGGTGCACATGCATTCTCACGTACTTTGCGTGTGTGTGTTTACTATTGCTGGCCGCTAGAACTGAAATTTGAGTTTGGTTCTTGTTTCGGGTCTTTTGATGGACTGACCTACCGCCACAAAATAAATGAAGAATGGGCAGGGGGTGGGGGTATGGTACACTAGGGCGCGGGAAACAAAATAAAAGCTGTTATTTGTTTGATTTATACCACAAAATATAAAATATTACAATAATATAATTACACATTTATTTCCTTATTTTAAACAGGTTGATTATAAATTATACAAATTATGCAAACGCCGTCGGTTCTCGACGTTTTTGTTTATTATAACTAAAACAATGATGTATCTAAATATACAATATAAGAAAATATATATATATACTTAAGTAAATATGCATAAATATAAATGGAATTGGTTTTACATATATTTCAAATCAATTGTCAATCGCGCGCTTTCCGACGGGAATCTGCAAAGTACAAATTTAGATGCCGGTCGCACCTTGAATACTCTCATGGACAATACCCATACATTTTCTAATTCAATTATAAAATATCTTATGTACATACATATGCACATAAATATTAAAGTTTATTACATTCGTATATTGCATGAGGGTTTTCAAAATTACTGCTGCCCGGTCAGCGTCGAGTCGGTGTGTCTCGAGAGAAAGAATACAAAAACAAAATATGAATCGTCTGCGTGCTGAAACCGTAGGGCAGCGTGGTCGCTGATGTCTTTGGCGCGGCACAGTGGGACTCAGCCGAAATAGTAAAAAAATTGTATGAGTGCTTTAGATAAATTCTAATAGAGAATTTTCCAATCGAATTTTCCCACTGTGCCGCTCCAAAGACATCGGCGATCCGCGACCACCGCTTCGACGGTGCTGAGGCTCGAGAGTCCAGAATTGCCGAACAGACGAAACCGATGGGCAGCGGGGTCGCGGTAGAGACGAAGTACAGGCGAAAAGGGAATTGAAACCCCGCGCGCTCCCTCGTGCCTTTTGGGTTCTAATGTTAGGACCCGCCATAGAACAGCTTTTTGGTCGCTCATGCAACATCTTGGTATTGTATAGTCTTTGGTATTGTATAGTCTTTGATATAAACAAAACGTCGAGAACCGACGGCGTTTGCATAATTTGTATAATTTATAATCAACCTGTTTAAAATAAGGAAATAAATGTGTAATTATATTATTGTAATATTTTATATTTTGTGGTATAAATCAAACAAATAACAGCTTTTATTTTGTTTCCCGCGCCCTAGTGTACCATACCCCCACCCCCTGCCCATTCTTCATTTATTTTGTGGCGGTAGGTCAGTCCATCAAAAGACCCGAAACAAGAACCAAACTCAAATTTCAGTTCTAGCGGCCAGCAATAGTAAACACACACACGCAAAGTACGTGAGAATGCATTTGCACCCATACACTAAAGCATGGCAAAACAGAACCAGACCTGAGAGAGTTCAAAAAATCTGAAAAAACATACAATCACATATTTTTGTCGAAACATATTGCGTGTGTACTAACACATGCAAAGATGTTCTCTCTGCGCTCTCTCTCTCATGATGACGTCACTCTGGGGTACGGATAGCGCAAGCCGGTGTGTGACACTTTCGTTGTATGAACTGGCACATCTATATACTGTATGGTTAGTGGTATTACTCTGAACAATACGAAAAGTATGCCAGGCGTGTGTAAATAACAAAAGAAAAGGCAAGACGGGATAGTAGCGCAGCGCAGCAGCAGCAGCATAAGCAACAGAAGCAAGAGTAGAGCAGCACCTGGCAGCGAAATCTTTTTGGCCCCCATCGCAGCTCGTGCGTGAGTGTGCGTGCATTTGTGCGCAGCAGTGAGTACTGCAAGAGCAAGAAGCAATAACAAAGACCAAGGCGAAGGCATCGTATCGTCGGCATCAAGAAGGAGGACACACGACAATGTGCAACTAGTGTCGGGCACAGCGCGATCCCACAGTAAGCAGCTCTCATGGCAAAATAGCCCTCCAAGATGAATCTGGAATCGCTCTTTCGCGACTTCAATCCCTGGTACGTACCGCAGATCCCCTGAGTATTTGGTAATACTAACGACTTTTCTTTGTGGCTTCTTGCAGCAAATTCATTGTTCACTGCAGCCTCTTTACCTTTGTGACCCTATATGCCTTGCGTCTAGATAACTACATTGGTAAGCTTCCCCATTCCCAGTGCCCGCCCATTCCTAACCCATCCCCGCTGTTTTCCGGTAGATTGGCCTTATTGGGCCATCTTCACGCCACTGTGGATATGGAAGTGCACAGCCATACTGGGAGCCATCGTTGGTGCGATTGTGTGGTGCCGCTATCCCCACTACCGCTTGGAAGGTGATGCCTACACGCAGTTCAAGGCGATGCTCATCTCCTTGGCCCTGCATCTCATACTGCTGATGTTTGAGCTCTTAGCGTGCGACAAACTGACCTCGGATCGCCACCTCTGGGTGCTTGTGTTCATCCCGCTGATCTTCGGCTCGGTAGTCAGTGTGGGCGCCTGTGTGTGGGCCGTCAAGCATGATCGCTCCTTCGAGCTGGAGCTCTTTTTGGCCGTCAATGCGCTGCAGTTCGTCTCGCTGCCACTGAAGCTGGATCGGTTCGTTTACTGGAACTGGGATGTGGTGTTCGTGCCCATGTGGATTGTCATCTGCCTGAGCCTGGTCAGTGTGCTATACAATATCATATTCTGCGGCATCATGATGCGCACACCAGAGGTCTCACTGCAGCAAAAGAAGGCGGCCCTCAATGCGGCTGTGGGCAACATTTGCACTGTTCTTCCCCTGCTCTGCTTTCAGGTGAGTTTCGAATGGAATGATTAATGATTGCAAATCCTGTAAGTTAACTCTTGATTTGTCCTTGCCCCACAGGTGGTCATATGCGACAAGCTGGACGGGGAGCTCAAGTTCCCCTACATTGTGGTTTTCTCGCCGCTGCTCGTCTCCATCCTGGCCCTGATCATCCTCAGCTTCACGGCCAAGGGCGGCAACATGTGGTGGTTCGGTATACGCAAATCCTTTAGCCAGTTCCTGCTATCGGCCATGCCGTTCCTCCAGGAGTACGGTAACATCAGCTACCATGCCGACACGCATAGCAATGCTGGGCAGTCCGTGCCATTGGATGCCTCCTCCTCCACCAGCACGGCGGCCGCCAACGAACAGCTGCACGAGTTCAGCCGGCACGACAAGAAGAACAAGAAGGGGGCCAAGAATGATATCTTGAAGCCGGTGGTGCCATTCGTGAGCATTGATTTGCCGGACTAGACAACAGTAGTGTAACAGCAGTGACAGCAGCGCAACACCGACAGCGGAAACAAAAAGAAATCAAATAGATTTAAGGACAACACACATCTCAGAACACAAACACATGCACACCTGAGGATAGGTGCACACACTCACATGAGCACACATGCATTACTATATATATATATACCATACATACATCGGCCGTAGCTTATAGTCTCGTACTGAACTCTAATTGTAAGCCTCATGCTAAATATACCCGCCCCTAGCCGTAGCTGTAGCCTTCACCTTCAGCACACACCACGGCTCGAGCCGCACAAAAACGCACACCCATACGAACACGCAATAGGGAGACGGAGACCATCTAATAGTTTTAAATTCCAGATACAGGCCGCTTATACACGCGCACACTGCAACATAATGCCTGAGCTATACCTCCCCGCAATAATGGTAGAAAAGAGGAGTTTTACATGGTGGTAAAAATCCTTTCCTCCTCTCCCCCACACACAGGCACAAAGAAATCGATGTTTAAACGCGCTACAAGAAGAAATGTATATATTTTACACATTACATTATTAAACAAATCTCTTAAGAGCTTCCAAATTAGTATTAAATGCCTAAACGTAGATTTATTGTGGAACTAAAAATTTGGCATTGATTTTAATGACGGATTCAGAGCGATCTGCAGATTAGCTCCAGCGTTGAATGTTAAGATGAACCTCGTTGTGCTCTGCCTTTGAATTCCACATTTTAGCTTAATTAACATACATTACAGGAACTCCTCGCACCAATCGTTGAGACAGTTGTAGCAGTCTAAGGCCTGCTTGGAGCTAGCATGGCACACATCCTTCATCCAGTCCTTGAAAAGCTCCTCATCCTTCTTCAAGACCAGGTATTGCCCGAGCACGGTGTACGCCTGCAATGAATGGATATATGGGTATATTAGCAATACGTCTTTGTTACACACACACCACGCACGCAACATAAGTATATACGCACCTTGTCAAAACCAGCCTCAGCCAATCGTCCGCCCAGCGTCTCTCCAATTCCTGCCAATTCTGTGACAGATTTATTGCCCATGGGCTCTGCCACAAAATTGCGATATTTCTGGGATGTGCCCGACATTTTTTACGTTTTTTAAAGCTGAGTGAGTTGCAAATTGCTAGCTTTGCCTTTTTTTCGTATATTTTCCGCGGCGTTTGTGAAATGCAGTGTGACCACAATAAGACATACGGTGTGACCCGCAGAAATATACCGTCTCTTTTTCAAAATATACCGTAAATATACCAATGAAACAACGAAGTTAGCCAACTTAAGCCCTCTTCATTCAAACAGAATAACAATTTGAATTAAACCGCGGAAAATAATACTCATAATAATAATAATAATTCTTCTCTTAGATCCACAGCAACCTTCATCTTTACTTTTTTAAAATACCAAGCTATCTTTCACCTAAATTACGCTTAAATTCTTTAAGATTTAATAACCACAGGTCAACAATGGTTCCTATCCATGCTCAGAAATCATATTCCCCGATTTTGATATTCGGTTGAATATTACTCGCTAGATAGTACCCTCAGCCCCAAATACATAATTTTATCCCATTGATAATTCAATTTTCTACAGGATTGGGAATTTTAATATGCTTCCTTTAATTTGATTGTGTCTAAAATATGGTTAAAAGGTTAATAAAAGTTTAAAAATAAAACGTAAGTGAGGTTGGAATGTAGGGACATTGTGGCGCTGAAAAAGAAAATCCCACAAAAAGGGAGCAAGCCCTCCCAACGACTATCAATACTATCGACTGAATAAGAGTGGTGCGCGCCAAATTGGAATAAATGATGCTGGGAAGCACGATTTGAGAGACCGAAAATTAAGAAAAAATGAATGAAAATATCAAGAACGTGATGAAGATTCTCTCGTGGACGGCTGCCGGCAAAGAAATCCAAAATTAGCTCAAATTTAAGTATTCGGTTTATGCTGTGGCATGTGCTTATGATAGTTCTCCCGATTTGATATATGTTAAATCTATGTTTAAACGCGCTACAAGAAGAAATATATATATTTTACACATTACATTATTAAACAAATCTCTTAAGAGCTACCAAATTAGTATTAAATGCCTAAACGTAGATTTATTGTGGAATTAAAAATTTGGCATTGATTTGAACAAAGGATTCAGAGCGATCTGCAGATCAGCTCCAGCGTTGAATGTTAAGATGAACCTCGTTGTGCTCTGCCTTTGAATTCCACATTTTAGCTTAATTAACATACATTACAGGAACTCCTCGCACCAATCGTTGAGACAGTTGTAGCAGTCTAAGGCCTGCTTGGAGCTAGCATGGCACACATCCTTCATCCAGTCCTTGAAAAGCTCCTCATCCTTCTTCAAGACCAGGTATTGCCCGAGCACGGTGTACGCCTGCAATGAATGGATATATGGGTATATTAGCAATACGTCTTTGTTACACACACACCACGCACGCAACATAAGTATATACGCACCTTGTCAAAACCAGACTCAGCCAATCGTCCGCCCAGCGTCTCTCCAATTCCTGCCAATTCTGTGACAGATTTATTGCCCATGGGCTCTGCCACAAAATTGCGATATTTCTGTGATGTGCCCGACATTTTTTACGTTTTTTAAAGCTGAGTGAGTTGCAAATTGCTAGCTTTGCCTTTTTTTCGTATATTTTCCGCGGCGTTTGTGAAATGCAGTGTGACCACAATTAGACATACGGTGTGACCCGCAGAAATATACCGTCTCTTTTTCATAATATATCGTAAATATACCAATGAAACAACGAAGTTAGCCCTCTTCATTCAAACAGAATAACAATTTGAATTAAACCGCGGAAAATAATACTCATAATAATAATAATAATTCTTCTCTTAGATCCACAGCAACCTTCATCTTTACTTTTTTAAAATACCAAGCTATCTTTCACCTAAATTACGCTTAAATTCTTTAAGATTTAATAACCACAGGTCAACAATGGTTCCTATCCATGCTCAGAAATCATATTCCCCGATTTTGATATTCGGTTGAATATTACTCGCTAGATAGTACCCTCAGCCCCAAATACATAATTTTATCCCATTGATAATTCAATTTTCTACAAGGATTGGAAATTTTAATATGCTTCCTTTAATTTGATTGTGTCTAAAATATGGTTAAAAGGTTAATAAAAGTTTAAAAATAAAACGTAAGTGAGGTTGGAATGTAGGGACATTGTGTCGCTGAAAAAGAAAATCCCTCAAAAAGGGAGCAAGCCCTCCCAACGACTATCAATACTATCGACTGAATAAGAGTGGTGCGCGCCAAATTGGAATAAATGATGCTGGGAAGCACGATTTGAGAGACCGAAAATTAAGAAAAAATGAATGAAAATATCAAGAACGTGATGAAGATTCTCTCGTGGACGGCTGCCGGCAAAGAAATCCATAATTAGCTCAAATTTAAGTATTCGGTTTATGCTGATGTATGCTGTGGCATGTGCTTACGATAGTTCTCCCGATTTGATATATGTTAAATCTATGTTTAAACGCGCTTCGAGAAGAAATGTATATATTTTACACATAACATTATTAAACAAACGTCTTAAGAGCTTCCCAATGAGTATTAAATGCCTAACCGTAGATTTATTGTGGAATTAAAAATTTGGCATTGATTTGAACAAAGGATTCAGAGCGATCTGCAGATCAGCTCCAGCGTTGAATGTTAAGATGAACCTCGTTGTGCTCTGCCTTTGAATTCCACATTTTAGCCTAATTAACATACATTACAGGAACTCCTCGCACCAATCGTTGAGACAGTTGTAGCAGTCTAAGGCCTGCTTGGAGCTAGCATGGCACACATCCTTCATCCAGTCCTTGAAAAGCTCCTCATCCTTCTTCAAGACCAGGTATTGCCCGAGCACGGTGTACGCCTGCAATGAATGGATATATGGGTATATTAGCAATACGTCTTTGTTACACACACACCACGCACGCAACATAAGTATATACGCACCTTGTCAAAACCAGACTCAGCCAATCGTCCGCCCAGCGTCTCTCCAATTCCTGCCAATTCTGTGACAGATTTATTGCCCATGGGCTCTGCCACAAAATTGCGATATTTTTGAGATGTCCCCGACATTTTTTACGTTTTTTAGAGCTGAGTGAGTTGCAAATTGCTAGCTTTGCCTTTTTTCGTATATTTCCGCGGCGTTTATGAAATGCAGTGTGACCACGATAAGACGTACGGTGTGGCCCGCAGAAATATACCGTCTCGTCTTCAAAATATACCGTAAATATACCAATGAAACAACGAAGTTAGCCAACTTGAGCCCTCTTTATTCAAACAGAATAACAATTTGAATTAAACCGCGGAAAATAATACTCAAAATAATAATAATAATTCTTCTCTTAGATCCACAGCATCCTTCATCTTTACTTTTAAAAAATACCAAGCTATCTTTCTCCTAAATTACGCTTAAATTCTTTAAGATTTAATAACCACAGGTCAACAATGGTTCCTATCCATGCTCAGAAATCATATTCCCCGATTTTGATATTCGGTTGAATATTACTCGCTAGATAGTACCCTCAGCCCCAAATACATAATTTTATCCCATTGATAATTAAATTTTCTACAGGATTGGGAATTTTAATATGCTTCCTTTAATTTGATTGTGTCTAAAATATGGTTAAAAGGTTAATAAAAGTTTACAAATAAAACGTAAGTGAGGTTGGAATGTAGGGACATTGTGGCGCTGAAAAAGAAAATTGCCACAATGAATAATCGCTGCACGAAAAGACGATATCCCACCACGAAAAAGAAAGTCCCACAAAAAGGGAGCAAGCCCACCCAACGACTATCGATACTATCGACTGAATACGAGTGGTGCGCATATTTCCCGTCTAGGGAAGCACGATTTGAGAGAGCGAAAATTAAAAAAAAAACTGCGTATGGAAGTTTCTATACCCTTTCTATATCTCGAAACTTCTTCTGTACATATACCAATATTACATTATTAACTAAAAAAATTTTCGCAAAAGCTATAGTAAATATTGTATGTTGTATTAAACTTTATTCAAATTAGGAAGCTACAAAGTTACATATTGAATAGTTAATTTGTTATTTGGGTTTCTGTTTTTTCATGTTGTTTTTGTTTTGTTTTTCTTAATAAATCGCTTACTTTGTGTCGCCTAAAAATAAATGTATGCAAAGGTAAAAAGGTTGCATTTTAAAAAGTGACCATCCATCCAATAATTCGTACATCCGTTTAAGAAGTTATTCGCCATACAATACGAGTACATAGTACATATGTATGTATGTACATGCATAAATACGAGTACATGCTATATATGTAAAATCAATCGAAAATAGCCTGTGAGAGAGGGTACAACTACACATGCATATCATATGGAACAGGAGGTACATTGCATACAATACCAGGGTCCAGTATACAGTATATATTGTATGTACATATATATGTAGTATATCTTTATAAAGCGTAAGAGAGGCACATAATTAGAAGTGCTCCAACGGCGGAGGAGGGGCAACAGAGATACAAAACATGAGCGAAACGGAAGGGCAGACATAGAACGTTGAGAATTTAACGTAACGCATCAACAATAGGTAATTCAATTCAATTCAAATAATTGCATAACATATACCTACTATACTACATAGATGTGTACATATATATACAATATATATAGGTATATAATTCCCCCCATATATTCTTCCACTCACACTTGTGTGAGTATTAACAATTGTTTCCATTAGTTTAGCTACATTTTTGCCTTGGTTTAGTTTACATTATTCAAAGGATTAAAATTCAAACGGATATCTGTATCTCTTTCGCAAATACAATGCAATGCATAATTCATATTGCAATGTATAATAATAATAATAGTATTTTACTTATGGAATAAAAGAGTTTTTCCTTGACTGCTGCTTCCGCTTCAGTTTCGCTTCTTCTGCTGTTTTTGATGTGTATGGTACAAGATTCAATATGTTATTACATTTGTTCAGATAGAAAAAAAAACATACATACATACATACACACATACATGCGAGTATGTGTTATTCCCCCTCCAAAATTCGGTGTATGAGAGGCTCTTAATTTGGTTTACAATTCGTTTAGTTTAGCTATGAATGCCACTCGTTCAGCAAATACAACTTTTTGGAGGGGGGTAGGGGAGGGGGGGTTGTTTCACCTGATTTCGCATCTATCTGTACTTCATTCTCCATTTATTGGCTAATTAGAATTGTTGTTTAATTGCTAGATTTGTTTATCATCAATCAGAAGGTATGTCTGTGTGTACATATATGTGTGTGTAGAATTCCCCCATGTGGTTTGTTGTTTGTGGTTCGTTGCCTGTCTATTGTCTGAATTCTGTTCAGGGGTACTAGGAGCCCAATAGGGCCACCAAACAATTTCACACAAGTTTTGATGATGTTTCCTATTTCTGTATAAACGATATGTACGTCTAAGTGCTACTATGTAATAAACGCTGACTCCTTGAATTTTGGAATTGACATGAGATCTGCTTGAAAGCGGCCTCTGCTGCTCTGCTACTCTGCTACTCTTCTAATGGTATTTGGTAGTATTCTGTTCTTTCTTTTGCGAGCTACGGTCGTCGTCTAGGCATACATACATATGTCTACTCTATGGTTTTTCTTTTGTTTGGGTGCACTTAAACCTTATGTTTACGTTTACGTTACTTAATTCATTTACTCGTAATTCGAATGTGTACAAAGGACATTATGCCCGTACGATATATAATTATTAGAATATTTTTGGAACTATGGAACATTTCGCTTTCGTTTCGGTTTCTGTTTAAACACATTTTCCTTTCCGCTTTTGGTTTTTGGTTTTTCCTTTTTTCTTTTTCTTTTGGGAGTTTGTAGAGAGGGAGAGAGAGAAAATTGAGAAAAAAAAAAAAATGATTTACACGTAGAATGTTTCTGTTGCAATGGAAGCGCTTAGGTTTAAACTTTAAAGTTGATGAAGATCAATAATTGTACGCTTCGTATGGGAATCACACACACACAGACACTATACACTAGAGAAGAAAATCCGGAAATCAAACGAACGAATGGAGTGCTCTCCAGCTCTAGTCGATTTTCGGCCTGTTGCTCAAGTACTGCGATATATTTTCCAGCGGCCCCTGAACAATCACCATGTACTGCGATGGGAAGTCCCATATGATGGTGAAATGGTACAGCATATTGGCAATGGCTATCAAGTACTCAAAGAACGCGAACCAGCTGAAGGCTGCATGGGGGGTAGAGATTGGTTTCAAATTAGTTAAAGATCTAAAACAAACTCCTGTTCTGTCTTGTACTTTTACTCACCCAAATCGTGACAGTAGAAGCGATGTTTGGCAAAAAAGATTAGCAGACCGATGGTGCTCAGTATGGAGGCCACAAAGAAGAACTTCTTCCACTTGATCGACTGCTGCTGTTGGACATTCAGCGACTGGCCAGCATTGAGGATACCATTCAGCTTGATGGTGGCCAGCATATAGCACAGCGAGCATATCATGAACGTTATGAAGATTCTCTCGTGCACGGCTGCCGGCAAAGAAATCCATAATTAGCTCAAATTGAAGTATTCGGTTTATGCTGTTGTATGCTGTGGTATGTGCTTACGATAGTTCTCCCGATTTGATATATAGGTGACGCCGCCCAGGGCCGCTATCTCAATGCAATTGAGCACCAGAATCAGACTGATCAGCCAACTGGCCTGCGGCACCAGCTCCGGGCTGATCCGCTTCAGCTGCGACCGATAGTAGTTCTTGTAGACGAAGGCAATGGGGATACGTGGTCCAATGTGTAGCGCAATGCTAAAACGCCAGAAGTAGCGCTGTGGACTGACGCCCGTAATTGCACTTATCGAGGGTATTATATTATATACCTATACAGCCGTTAAGGGAGAGAAGGTTAACCCATTTCTTTCGGTGCTCTTTGGGGGCTATTCAGACACTCACGCGGCAATGTGTCTCGTGTACATCGTCGTACTGGTAGACGTAGGCGGTCACAAAGCACGTGAAGAGCGTCACCAGAGGCAGCAGAGCGGTCACTATGCAGATCTCATGGAAGCTGGCCAGATAGTGTATGGCCATGGGCTGCTGCTGCTGTTGCTGTTGCGGCTGCGCATCCTTTGTGGCCTGCAAATATGGGAAGGCATTAGTAAATTGTTCGGGAGGGGGTGGGGCGGAGCCATCTATGGGTTCCTGTTTCGAGGAGGCTTACCTCGCGCTAATGAGTTAGGTTTTCTGATTTCAATTTGGTTAAATTAGCAACAATAAAAAGCGCTAAAAATAAATGTGAAAGGAGAATATGAATAAATCAATAAGCGAACAAACAAAAAAACCCCATAAACAGAACAGAACCAAAGTTGATGCCAAACAACTATTTATAAATGCACACATATGTATATGTACTCGTACTTGCTGATGAGACTCGTACGAAAACTGAATAATGAATGAAGACCGAGGGACCGACCACGAATCACAGCCTCCTACAGTGTGGAGCAGGGGAAATGGTGGCGGGGGATGTTATAAATAAACATATCCTTGAGTGGGTGGCAAGGCCGTTTACCATCATGGCAAAGGATTAGTGGCAAAAAATAGATAACGACTGGAACTGGAACTGAAACTGGAACTCTCCATCCGTCCATCCATTCATCCTGACGTAATCAGGCTCACAGCTGGTGCCGGGTGCCGCATGCCGCCTGTCGCTCTCCAAAATTAATTAGCACCAAATTAATAGGAAGCGTTGGCGGTCAGGCGTTTCAAATGAAATTGAATGGGTTGTGATTAAATCAGGGACCAGACAGGACATGTCACGGAACATTGTGGCACACAAAAAACCCACGCGTGTTGCCATGATCCATGGACATGCGAAGAGACAGCGACGGACACAGAGACATCGAGAGAGAGAGAGAGAGAGCGGTGGAGTAAGCAAGTGGCACGAAATACGATGGTAAGAGAAGTGATGGTGGGGTGGGAGGGCTCTGTAATTTCTGAATGATGGAAACATAAAGGTAAATAACATTGGGGAGAGCAAAACAAATCGAAGAAAAACGCATTTCGAAAATTGCAAAAGAAAAGCGAAAAGCAAAATGGAACAAACCCACGTTAAAAAGCCTTGGTGAAACGGGGAGAGGGTATGTGCATGTTTGTGAGTGTGCGGCATGCGCAGCACAGGCGGGAAATGGGTCTTCTAACTGCGAAAATTACAGCAACGGAAGAACAAGGAGGAGGGATAAATAAAACAAGCACACACACATACAGGAATTTACAGACCACCCACGCTCACACACACAAGTACGCAAACACCATGCATAGTCAAGCAGGACGGTGGGGTGGCTGGGCAAGGACAGGGTGGCTATGGCTATACCGGGGTCAGGTCATAAGCGTGCGCTCGCTGCCTTTCGGCTTTGGGTTAATGTTATATAATTTGTTGGCCACACACACAATCCACAAACACGCAGAAATATCAAGAAAAAAAACAACAATTATTGGCACACAGATTATTTGGTAAAATCGAAATGCAGGCAATTTCCATGGTTACACATGCTCTACTCCCGCTCTCACCGCCGTTGACGGATCGTGGAGGGAGCAGCTGTCGCCGCTGGATCCACCGCTTCCGCTGCAGATGACGCTGCCAATGCCACCGCCGCCATCACTGATTTTTCTGGATTTTGCCTCCGGTATCGCCCCGCTGCTATCTGACGCTGATGATAATACTGCACCACATCCTGTCCTCGTTCCCCCGGATGACGATGACGTTACTGCTGTCGAGTTCTGTATATTCTGCATATTTGTCGGCGGCGTCGTCGTTGCTGTTGATTGTTTGGCTGTGGATGATGCCCTTTCGCATAATTTGTATGCCCTGCTGTTACCGCCGAACGACGCGCGCGCCTCACTCGCAGCTGCCTTTTTTTAATGAAATTAAACACTTCGCAGTCAAGTCCAGCCTCCTTTTCGCTTTTTGACCACCTGCTTTTTGTAACGAGGCTTCGGTCACACTATTTGGCCGAAACAAACGTGGATGTACCGCTAACTATTGCGGACAGTGTGACCGTGGCTTTATCGATGCAATATACCGTTCGACCCTCAGAAATATACATATTTCAGATATATTTATTTCAAAATATACCGTAAATATACCGATGAACAAACGAACTTAGCGCAGTTAAGCTCCCTCGGCTGAGGTAAAGGGCGGAAAATATTACTGATTGTAAATTCTTTTTGTAGATCCATGCCATCTTTCCTCTGAACTTAAAAGAACACGTTATCTTTCACCAGAACTGCGCTAAAATTATTCAATTTTCATTATTTTCAGTGGAATATTAAAATGTCTGCGGTGGGTTAATCGGGTGGGAAACCATATTCCTCGATTGTGATATTCGATTTGATATTACTAACTTCCATACCCGAACACATAATTTTGCCCGATTGATAGATCGATTTTCTACAAGATATGCTAATTTTAATTATTCCTTTTATTGAATTTTTTCTAAAAAAAGGTTTCAACAAATAAAGTCGAAGCGTAAACGGATTGTTATGTCACTGTTGCTGGTCAACAGGCATCAGCTACGAGTAAGGGCATCATTTATATCCTATTTCATTTAAATAACATTAAAATTCTGTTTTCCAAGCTTATTTGAAACATTGGTAATCACTTCTTCTCAGATTGAAATATCTTAGACCCATTCAAGCCTTTGATTAGTGTACTGTTTTTATTGGTCTCTGTAAAAAGAGTAGTAACTACAAAATATCCTTCAAAGCTTTAAAACAGATACTGACTAGTTTCTGCATTAATTGGAGCCTGCGATGACAAAGATCAAATCGAAGTCACGTATTAAAGATTTTTATTTAAATAATTTATATTATACATTTGTGTATTATTGTTACATATTATATTTCTTATTTATATTGAACCCCCATGCTAATCTAATGTACTAATTAATGTGTATTCAAGTTTAATTATGTTGCCGAGCTTCCTTTGGTTCATGGACCATAGATTTAGTAACTTTTTAGAAGTATTTTTTCAACTGAGGGATGGGAGCGGATGGGGATTCTTGTTGCATAATGGGCTGCGTGCGTGGCTAGATCCCACGATTTAGACGGATTCAAGTCGCATGATTTCATTTTGTTTCTTTCGTGTAGTTTTTCGACAACTAAGTCAATAAATTATGTTTGCAAGTGTGTGTTTGGGAAGCGCTCCTGCTAAAAAACTATATTCTTAATTTTATTCCCTATTTCTTTTTCATTGCTTAATTCCATAAGGGTGTAGACTGTAGTTTGTGTTTTTGGCGAGTACTATTTCCACAGCTGCCCATGAACAATCTCCAGTATCATTTTCTTACGAAAATAGCTCATGTGCTCCTGATTGAATGTCAGCGGCTTTCCCCGAGTTATATATTCGGCTGTCATACAGCTAAACACACCGCAGTCTGATCCGTTCGTTTGTTGCGGCCCATTCAACACATTTTCAATCCTAAAGCCGCTCATATCGTATGGCTCATTGCGCTTGTCTAGCGACTCGGCCATAATGTAGTTCTTAAGGGCATCCAGGGCGATGTGATTCGGCTTTCCAAGCGAATCGTAGTAGAAGATGGTCTTGTTTTTCAAGTGTATGATGGCCATGCACCAATGCATACCATTGCAGTGCACAGGCACTGGAATGATGTCGTTGCTCAGCACATCAATCTTACGTGTCCAGCGCTTCACACCATCGAACCCAACCTTGATGAGGCGTGGCAGAAAGAATGTGTTCATGCCGTAGACACTGGGCAGAATGCCCTTCTTCTGCTGCGAACGTTCGGTGAGCAGATTCATATAGAAATTGATCACTTCGTCGTTCAACCAAAAGAGGCCGGTCAGTGTGCGAATATCCTTTTTAGTGATTGTAAGCCCATATTTGTTAATAACAGGCTGCAAACAGATAAGAACAGGACAGACACATGCATTAGAAGGATGAGGTAATATCGCATGGAATAGAGCGAGACAGTGATCGTATTCGAATCAGAAATCTGTATATAGATATATTATAGATGGCATCGCTTACAGCATCATCTGGGCCTGTCACTATGCGTTGCAGCTTCTGCAACTGCTCATCAGTGAGTGGAATAAACTCAATTTCCTTCTCGTCTTCCTCCTTCGCACCGAAGTCCATCAATAAGGGCACACATCCCATGTGGCATTTCAAGATGGTCCAGCGGAATGAACTCTCCAGACGGCGACGCTCTTCGGTTGCCTTTTCGGCCCTGACAACACATTAAAAGACATTAAATTGATAGCTTAAATGGATACGGATACAGATACCGATACCGATACGGATAGATATACGTACTCGATGCAAGCCAGCTGACGCTTATGGTCCGCTTCAGCGCGTTGGCGCTGCTCGCGCTGTCTGAACGTCTGCTCGTAATCATCGCGGAAGAATATGCTTTCGCTGAAGCGCTTCTGCATTGCCTGGATTCGCTTCTGATACTCTGTTTCGCTTTTCGCAGACCTAAGGAAGGAAAACATAGTCATAAATTACTCAAGAACTCTCTCTTTCTCCTCCACTCACTGTCTCTGCTCGCTGGAGCTATCGTCCAGATCGATTATGACGGGCTGCGCAGCAGCTTCCGTGGTTTGAGAGGGCGGCGGACTGCCGCTTCCAGAGTTGCTGTCACTAGAATTTACTTCACAGACCGTCGTGCGCAGCATCGGTGGTGCCGGCGGTGGTGCTGGTGCCGGTGCCTGCGACCTTGGGCGCTGTGTCTTGGCCGTCTGCTTGGCGATTTCCAACAGTTTTGAGTACTCGGATCGATCCAGTCGCGTCTGGAAGCTGGAGCCTTCTGTGTTCTTCTTGGGCATGGAGTTCCAGTTCATGATCGGCAAAAGCGGCGGCGGGTTTGCCCGACTGGATTGGTTTGATCGGAGTTCATTGTAGGCTACGTTGTGGAGAAGATTATTATACTGCTCGCGCTCCGAGCGTCGTTCCTCGTGAATGAGCAGACTGTCGTTGTGGGATCCGCGCACGGCATGAGGGTGATGCTGATGCCCATTCATGCCGGGCTGTACATGCTCGATGAAGCCACTGCCACCCTGGCCCAGGCGCACTGCATCCGCATACGAGCGGCGTACAATCGATGAGGGATGAGCAGCACCATTACCTTGGGATGAGGACTGACCATTTAGCAGCCAATCGGTTGAGGAGGCAGTGGTACGTCCACGGCCGAACGACTGGAAGATGGAGCCATTGACTGGCGACTCATCATCGTCTGACAAGTCAATGTGGGTGCTGCTGAGGCCTTGATAGCGGATGATCTGCTGTGCGCTGCGCGGTTCATTAAATATGGACAGACGCTTGTTGCCCGACGAGGGGATCTGCAAACGGGACACGGGCCCTGGTTTCTGTTCTGCCATGGGCTTGGTGGTGGTGGGCATGTCCTCGGCAATCGGATTCGTAATGTAACGGGGAAATGTGCTGTCCACACGGCGGTACTTGAAAAAAGAGCTCTCTTGTTGTTCGCCACTATAACTAATACAAAGCAAAGCAAATTAGTATAAATACTAGGTTAACTTTATTAAGGAGAATGAATTGAAATACTTACGAACGCTTGGAAGTATTGTAGAAATGTGGTGCTGGAGTGTCAGTTTCGTCGCCGGTGCCGCCTGCTACGCGACGCTCTTCGCTGCTGCTTGAATGAACAGAGAGCACATTGTAAGTATATGTTATAAATGTAGGTTTGGTATACACAGATATATAATATATTCTCTATATATAATATATTCTCTATTTACTTACCGAAGATTCTGCGTGGTGTCTATTCCGTCGCCGGTTCCGGCTACTTCAGTGGCAGTTTCATCTTTCGCATGTGTCCAGCTGAAGAGGTTCCGTAGTTTGTTTAAGAACTCCAAGCCCATCGAATCGCTTTCCGATGAACAAACGAACTTAGCGCAGTTAAGCTCCCTCGGCTGAGGTAAAGGGCGGAAAATATTACTGATTGTAAATTCTTTTTGTAGATCCATGCCATCTTTCCTCTGAACTTAAAAGAACACGTTATCTTTCACCAGAACTGCGCTAAAATTATTCAATTTTCATTATTTTCAGTGGAATATTAAAATGTCTGCGGTGGGTTAATCGGGTGGGAAACCATATTCCTCGATTGTGATATTCGATTTGATATTACTAACTTCCATACCCGAACACATAATTTTGCCCGATTGATAGATCGATTTTCTACAAGATATGCTAATTTTAATTATTCCTTTTATTGAATTTTTTCTAAAAAAAGGTTTCAACAAATAAAGTCGAAGCGTAAACGGATTGTTATGTCACTGTTGCTGGTCAACAGGCATCAGCTACGAGTAAGGGCATCATTTATATCCTATTTCATTTAAATAACATTAAAATTCTGTTTTCCAAGCTTATTTGAAACATTGGTAATCACTTCTTCTCAGATTGAAATATCTTAGACCCATTCAAGCCTTTGATTAGTGTACTGTTTTTATTGGTCTCTGTAAAAAGAGTAGTAACTACAAAATATCCTTCAAAGCTTTAAAACAGAGACTGACTAGTTTCTGCATTAATTGGAGCCTGCGATGACAAAGATCAAATCGAAGTCACGTATTAAAGATTTTTATTTAAATAATTTATATTATACATTTGTGTATTATTGTTACATATTATATTTCTTATTTATATTGAACCCCCATGCTAATCTAATGTACTAATTAATGTGTATTCAAGTTTAATTATGTTGCCGAGCTTCCTTTGGTTCATGGACCATAGATTTAGTAACTTTTTAGAAGTATTTTTTCAACTGAGGGATGGGAGCGGATGGGGATTCTTGTTGCATAATGGGCTGCGTGCGTGGCTAGATCCCACGATTTAGACGGATTCAAGTCGCATGATTTCATTTTGTTTCTTTCGTGTAGTTTTTCGACAACTAAGTCAATAAATTATGTTTGCAAGTGTGTGTTTGGGAAGCGCTCCTGCTAAAAAACTATATTCTTAATTTTATTCCCTATTTCTTTTTCATTGCTTAATTCCATAAGGGTGTAGACTGTAGTTTGTGTTTTTGGCGAGTACTATTTCCACAGCTGCCCATGAACAATCTCCAGTATCATTTTCTTACGAAAATAGCTCATGTGCTCCTGATTGAATGTCAGCGGCTTTCCCCGAGTTATATATTCGGCTGTCATACAGCTAAACACACCGCAGTCTGATCCGTTCGTTTGTTGCGGCCCATTCAACACATTTTCAATCCTAAAGCCGCTCATATCGTATGGCTCATTGCGCTTGTCTAGCGACTCGGCCATAATGTAGTTCTTAAGGGCATCCAGGGCGATGTGATTCGGCTTTCCAAGCGAATCGTAGTAGAAGATGGTCTTGTTTTTCAAGTGTATGATGGCCATGCACCAATGCATACCATTGCAGTGCACAGGCACTGGAATGATGTCGTTGCTCAGCACATCAATCTTACGTGTCCAGCGCTTCACACCATCGAACCCAACCTTGATGAGGCGTGGCAGAAAGAATGTGTTCATGCCGTAGACACTGGGCAGAATGCCCTTCTTCTGCTGCGAACGTTCGGTGAGCAGATTCATATAGAAATTGATCACTTCGTCGTTCAACCAAAAGAGGCCGGTCAGTGTGCGAATATCCTTTTTAGTGATTGTAAGCCCATATTTGTTAATAACAGGCTGCAAACAGATAAGAACAGGACAGACACATGCATTAGAAGGATGAGGTAATATCGCATGGAATAGAGCGAGACAGTGATCATATTCGAATCAGAAATCTGTATATAGATATATTATAGATGGCATCGCTTACAGCATCATCTGGGCCTGTCACTATGCGTTGCAGCTTCTGCAACTGCTCATCAGTGAGTGGAATAAACTCAATTTCCTTCTCGTCTTCCTCCTTCGCACCGAAGTCCATCAATAAGGGCACACATCCCATGTGGCATTTCAAGATGGTCCAGCGGAATGAACTCTCCAGACGGCGACGCTCTTCGGTTACCTTTTCGGCCCTGACATTAAAAGACATTAAATTGATAGCTTAAATGGATACGGATACAGATACCGATACCGATACGGATAGATATACGTACTCGATGCAAGCCAGCTGACGCTTATGGTCCGCTTCAGCGCGTTGGCGCTGCTCGCGCTGTCTGAACGTCTGCTCGTAATCATCGCGGAAGAATATGCTTTCGCTGAAGCGCTTCTGCATTGCCTGGATTCGCTTCTGATACTCTGTTTCGCTTTTCGCAGACCTAAGGAAGGAAAACATAGTCATAAATTACTCAAGAACTCTCTCTTTCTCCTCCACTCACTGTCTCTGCTCGCTGGAGCTATCGTCCAGATCGATTATGACGGGCTGCGCAGCAGCTTCCGTGGTTTGAGAGGGCGGCGGACTGCCGCTTCCAGAGTTGCTGTCACTAGAATTTACTTCACAGACCGTCGTGCGCAGCATCGGTGGTGGCGGCGGTGGTGCTGGTGCCGGTGCCTGCGACCTTGGGCGCTGTGTCTTGGCCGTCTGCTTGGCGATTTCCAACAGTTTTGAGTACTCGGATCGATCCAGTCGCGTCTGGAAGCTGGAGCCTTCTGTGTTCTTCTTGGGCATGGAGTTCCAGTTCATGATCGGCAAAAGCGGCGGCGGGTTTGCCCGACTGGATTGGTTTGATCGGAGTTCATTGTAGGCTACGTTGTGGAGAAGATTATTATACTGCTCGCGCTCCGAGCGTCGTTCCTCGTGAATGAGCAGACTGTCGTTGTGGGATCCGCGCACGGCATGAGGGTGATGCTGATGCCCATTCATGCCGGGCTGTACATGCTCGATGAAGCCACTGCCACCCTGGCCCAGGCGCACTGCATCCGCATACGAGCGGCGTACAATCGATGAGGGATGAGCAGCACCATTACCTTGGGATGAGGACTGACCATTTAGCAGCCAATCGGTTGAGGAGGCAGTGGTACGTCCACGGCCGAACGACTGGAAGATGGAGCCATTGACTGGCGACTCATCATCGTCTGACAAGTCAATGTGGGTGCTGCTGAGGCCTTGATAGCGGATGATCTGCTGTGCGCTGCGCGGTTCATTGAATATGGACAGACGCTTGTTGCCCGACGAGGGGATCTGCAAACGGGACACGGGCCCTGGTTTCTGTTCTGCCATGGGCTTGGTGGTGGTGGGCATGTCCTCGGCAATCGGATTCGTAATGTAACGGGGAAATGTGCTGTCCACACGGCGGTACTTGAAAAAAGAGCTCTCTTGTTGTTCGCCACTATAACTAATACAAAGCAAAGCAAATTAGTATAAATACTAGGTTAACTTTATTAAGGAGAATGAATTGAAATACTTACGAACGCTTGGAAGTATTGTAGAAATGTGGTGCTGGAGTGTCAGTTTCGTCGCCGGTGCCGCCTGCTACGCGACGCTCTTCGCTGCTGCTTGAATGAACAGAGAGCACATTGTAAGTATATGTTATAAATGTAGGTTTGGTATACACAGATATATAATATATTCTCTATATATAATATATTCTCTATTTACTTACCGAAGATTCTGCGTGGTGTCTATTCCGTCGCCGGTTCCGGCTACTTCAGTGGCAGTTTCATCTTTCGCATGTGTCCAGCTGAAGAGGTTCCGTAGTTTGTTTAAGAACTCCAAGCCCATCGAATCGCTTTCAAGTTTCTTGGCGAAAGCAATGTCCTCGTGAAAGGCTATCAATGGGACCAAATCGTCGGGGGACAGTTCGTGCTCCGACTCCACCAGCAGCCTCTTCCACAGCTTAAAGACTCTGTCCTTGCTGATGGCAATGTCGATCAGGTTGTCGGCGGTGGGAGTCTTTAGAATCCGATTGATTGTCGTTGCAATGTGATAGAGAGCCAGGTAAAGGTCCTCAACGATGAGGCGCTTCTGTTCTTGTTCTGGATCTGGAACCTCAAAATTGCCTTCGTCAAAATCAGTTTGGGTTCCTTTTGTGTCCTTGTGTCTAACGGCATCAATGGCTGGGTGAGGGTCAGGCTGTGGTGATTCCACAAGAGCTTCGATGGCTGGGTAAGGACCAGGCTGTGGCGATTCCACGAGATCTGCGGGGCCGGCAAGTGCCTCTTTAGGAAGAAGCAATGACAGTGCCGCCTCTGTCCGCAAATTTAATACAGACACGGCCTCTGGCAGCTGCTGTTCGATTGGGGGATGACTCTGCTGCTGAGCCTCGGATGGGATGCTCTGCACAACTTGTTCTCCAGCCGTTGGCTGGTAGGTCTCTAGGATCTGTTTGAATGCCTCCTCTTCTCCAGCCGTTGACTGGTCGGAGTGTAAATTCTGTTGAACGTCAATCTCTTGAAAATGCAGGTCCTCTGCAGGCTTTTTAAGCCTGTGTATAATGTAGTAAGCGCCTTCAGTATCCAGCTCCTCGTATATTGTCTCGCACGCGCCGCTCGATCCAGTCTCGTGTGGTAGCTCGCTTCTTCTTTGTTCTTCTTCAGCGGCAATCTCTTGCGACTGCAGCTCTTTTGCCGGCTCAAGCGTTAGGTACACGGGAGCCTCCTGCTCGGCGTGCGTGCCTGCCGGGGGATATTTCTCTGGGTCCCACAACTGAGTCGCCTTCTTCTCGTCGCCTCCTACAGGGATTAGTGCGGCGATGTTTGCCGAAGGATATTCCTCATTGGACAACGACGAAGTCGCGTCCTCTTTATTCGTCTCCGAATCCCCTGCCAGAGATAAAGGCGGGGAAAAACCCGCTTGGACCCTTTCTTCGTCTGACTCGGTAATTTCCTGGATCTCGGATTCGTCTGACCTTGACTCTGTCTCTGTATCAGAGATATATTGGAACTCTCCTTCCTTGGAGTGGGACTGGGATGATATGTCTTTGGGCGGTGCGGTGGAAGCACAGTCGTTCGGTTTAAACACTTTAAGCACCTCGTGCTCCTCGTCTCCTTCCTCCTCTCTCTCAGACGTGGATAAGACGTTATTTTGTTGGGGCCAGTCCTTGTTTAATGGGTTGGAAAGATTTGGAAAAGAATCCTTGCTCCCGCACTCCAGCCAGGAACGATACTTGCTAATTTTCTTGCACGGCAGCAGTTCCTCTTCCTCCTGCTTCTTTCGTTTGGGCTCCTCACCCGCTCCTTTATCCGCTGCGAAGTGTTCCTCGGTCGGAAGCCGCTTCTTTCGCCCAGTTTCGGCTACGTAATAGGGTGTTAAGGGATATTTCAATAGCTGCGATTCCAGCTCGATCTCCGCTTCTTCCTCTGATTCTTCGAGGTCTTGTCTTTCTTCTTCGCCGAGCCACTCGCGCACTTTATTTATACGTGTATAATCGGGAGATACACGGGTTGAATCTAACAGCAGGTCCTGCTCATCGGCTATTTCAATAACCCCAATCGAGGGCGCTGTACTGTCCACCGAGATAGTTGCAGGCTTCTGCGGATCGTTGTTGTTCAAGGTTCTTTCCGGTTGGATATTATCGGGTTTCTGTTGTCCCTCTGTCTGCGAGTCTTCTATACCGGTGCCAGATACCCCCTCAATCGGATCAATCGGATGCGGACGTTCGGGCTCCTGCTGCTGCTCGTTGTCGTCGTTCAGTTTTACGATATTATCGGGTTTCTGCGGTTTTTCTGTTTGACGGTCTTCTGAAAGGCCTGGTGGTGCAGCGTTGCCAGATATTTCGAAAGCACCAAGACCAGTCGGTACCAGCTCACATGGATCACTTGGATGCGGATTCGGATGAGTGTGTTCGGGCGCCAGCTGCTGCTGCTGCTGTTTCTCTGGCTGTGGTTGTGGTTCTAGCTTTATTTGTACGCCAAAGTGTTGTTCTGCGTGTATTTGTGTATATAGTGGCTCATTTCCGTTCCCATTACAATTTTCATGAGCATCGGGATTGTCTTTGTTCCCCGCCTCCTGTATGGTGCCGATGTCTGCCACGACTAGGGTCGGCGTGGAGTTCGATGCATAGCAAATTTCGGCGGATCCATTGCTAAGAAAATCGTTTTGCGCGTTTTCTGATTGCCCGAAGTCCTCGGGATTATGCGACATACGGGTGTAGTTTTGGTTTTCACCTGCACACAAATTCTGCAAGTGATCAGAAAAAATTGACATTTTACTTGTGCTATTATGTACAACAATTCTTTTTAGCCACGCATCCGAAAACCCTTGCCTTGTTTAATGCCAAATGGGAGACAACAAAAAATTTGTGTGCAGTGCATGCCGGCTGCAAGTTTGTATTTTTACCCCCGACTTCCAGACGCCTTTCTGGCTTCCCGCTTTTCGCGCATACCAACGTTCGCCGCCGCTCTTAACATTGTTTCCCTCCCCCACTGTTTTCACGGTTTTTGTGTGTGGTGCGTTGTTTACTTACCGCTTGAAAATTTTTGTAAATATTTAAACACTTTAAAGTCGAATTACTGTCTAACTAATTTTTTCTCCTTTCTCACATCGCTCGCGTTCAGGTGGACGTTCAGAAGTATACCGACATACGTCACAGTTCCAAAACATACCAAAAATATACTGACAAATTATTTGTATTCATAAATCCATCACATTCCTCGACTTTTGTGTTCGGTTGACTATTACTAGTTTACTAGGATCCTCATGTGTAAACGCATAATTTTACCTTATTATTAAATTAATTTCCGACAAGACTGGTTCAATTAAAGTTCTCATCTGTATTGCATTGCTTCTAAAATAAGTTTTAAGAAAAACCAGTCAACAACAATTTCCATTAAATGAATGTTCTTACATGCTAACTACGCGCTAACTATACATTGGCTACATATTAACTACATTGGCATGTAATTACCAAAGGTAACGCCTGAAGGGGAAATGTGTACGTTTCAAAAATATATTTATGCCTTTTTTTTATATAAGCACCGTGGAAGCGCCAGTGTGAAAAATCGAAATTATTGAACAAATTTAGATTTTGATCGCAAACGATCAGCAATTCGATGGTGATCATGAATTACTATTGGATGTGGCCTGTGACATGGCTCTGAGCGGAATTTCTATACGGTTTCTACATTGCTACATTGGTCATGAGTGGTGAGTCCATAACGCGTCTTTAAATATACTGGAAAGTACTAGAAAATACTATGAAAAGTATAAAATTTGCAAGGTGTGTGACCGACCTTTAGAAATATACCGTCTCATTTTTAAAATATACTGTAAATATACTGCGAAATTCAATTCCTATTATACATAATCCGTGGAATATTCAGTCCTGCCCACATAATTTATTCTGATTAATGAATCAATTTTCTTGTTTTGAATACTTGACTTGTTTTTCTGCAACGGCGATTGCTTTGAGTTTTTTTGCCTTAATTTTAGTGCCTCAACAACAATATAGCGTCTCGTATATCGATAAGAAATTATAATAAATTATAAGAAATCTATATAAAAAGTTTAACGACTTGAGGTAAATGGAGGAAAATATTACTGATTGTCAATTATTTTTGTAGATCCATGCCATCTTTCTTCTGAACTTAAAAAAAAACACGTTAGCTTTCAATGATTCAATTTTCATTATTTTCAGTGGGATATTAAAATACCCGCTTGGTCTACGATGGGTTAATCGTTCTCCATCAATGATATATTTGATTTGATATTACTAGCTAGCTAGGTCTTCCATACCTGAACATATAATTTTGACCGATTAATGAATCAATTTTGACCGGCTTATTTTAAATACTTGCTGCTATTGAATTTTGTCTAAAAAAAGGTTTTCGCGAAAGGGGGAAAAAAAAACCTAAGAGAGTAATCGTTCCCAGTGCTCAGTTTTGTCAACCGGAGTATGGGCATTTTTATGTATAGTTTCATATGAATGTACTGTTTTCCAAATTGTTTTAAAACGTAATTAACAAATACATTTTCTCAAATTGATATGTTTTAGACGTATTAATGCATTTGATTAGTTTCTTGTATATATGTATGTAATTCTGACCCCGATACCAATTCATGGTCTCTGTAAGAAGACCACTACCTTCAAAATATCGTAGAAATACCTTTTAAACAGAGACTGACTAGTTTCTGCATTCATTAGAGCCTGGAATGACAAACATTTCCGCAACTCTATGATATCCAATAAATGTTTATTATCATTGTTGCTCGTTCCGCGGCACATGTTCTGGGCCATACAAATTGAATGATGCCAACGGTAAACGCTGTGTCCATATGTGGGATGATGTGGGCGTGTCATTGTCTTTTTGTAATCTCCCTGCTAACTTTCTTTAGTTAATTTCTTTATTTTGTAATATCACCAACGAGCTACAACCGAAAGCACGAGAACAACGACAACTCCAAGAGATACGGACGCGAAGTAGGTGGAGGAGGAGGATGAGGAGGACCGGACCGGACCGGTGCGGACTTAATCGCTGCCCTGGCAGCAGAAGAAAAGAAAGTTCCAGAGCAGCGTTGTGGCACCATAGAGGGCCCCGGCGAGGCCCACTGTGGCCTGGAAGGAGTACCGGACGACCACCCAGTGAGCCAGAGCGCCCCAGACGAGGATCAGTAGGCCGTTGGTGAAGTGCACTGGCCGCCGGATGGCGGTCCAATTGGCCCGCGTCATCCCCATCTGGAAGACAAGCTCCTGCAGAAATGCGGTGACCACCTGGCCAAAGCCTAGCAGTACAGCCGAGACGCTCAGCAGCAGCTTGGACGTGGAGAAGCTGATGACTGTGGGGGGGAAGGGGTAAGGGGTAAGGGGTAAGGGGCTTGTTTTCAGGTTAGGGTTCACAGGCACTCACAGGTCAGGGCCAGGCATTTGCAGATGCTGCCCATGGTGTGCCACTGGAGCTTGTGCTTGTAGAGGCTTGTCCCGAAGCGCGGCGTCATCAGCGAGAAGCACATCCAGGGGAAGGCCAGCAGCGAGAACAAGAATGGAATTTCGGCATTCTTGAGCGCATGATGGGTCACCGCCAGTCCAGGCAACACGGTCAGGCACATCACATAGCTGAAGATGTCGGCGGACAGGAGCAGGGTGGTGGCATACAGCTGCGGCACGAGCAGCGCCTGCTGCAGCGGCATGGCGATCTTGTCCAGCAGATTCCACCACAGGTGCGAGGTCACAGCCCGCGACATTCGACGAATGCGATGCTGTTTGGTTACAGAGCAATAGGGGAGCATTAGCAATGCATTAGCAGGGGCGGACATGTCCGACGACTCACCAAATTGGCATGATTTGGTGGCAGCGGAGAGGAGTTGCCCGTGCCCGTGCCCGGGTGGGGATTGAGCGGAGACTGCGGCGGATAGAGGCGGCCGTTGGAGAGGGACTTGTGTGACATCTGGGACACGGACATCCCATAGTTGTCGATGGTGGCATTGCTGGAGCGCATCATGGACACCGTCTCATCCTCCTCGGGTATGATCTCCATTATTTCCACGCCATTGGGATTCACGTACGTGACATACGCCTCGTCCGTGGCTAGCATATAGTTGCTATGCGTGTCGACGACGGCGGCGGCCACCACAGCGGCCCCGGGCGTGGGCCCCCCCACCATGGCGACCATCTCGGTGGCCGGATTTCGCCAGGACAGCGTCTCCAGGCCGTCCATCTGGTCGGCTACCAGGTTGGCGGCCAACGCCGCTCGCAGCGGCAGGGCGGCAAACCCCGTCTCCGCCTTGATCACCGATATTCGTTTGGTTGTGAAAGCATCCTCCCGGTGCTTGGTGATGATCAGGCTGAGGGGGATGAGGTTCACCAGCAGGGCGGACATCAGGACGATGGACTGAGCGGTGCCATAGAGGGTGCGCAGGCTGGTGAAGACGAACGAGAGGAAGAGTTGGCAAAAGGCCTCGCCGCACAGGTGAATCGTTTTGCGCACGTATTTGTCCTCCCGCGGACGCACTGCCTCCAGTATGACATGGGTCTTCCACAGATACAGGCTGGAGCCAATGCCTGCAAAGCATCCATAAAAGACTATGGCCACCGCCTGCGTGGTGGTGGTGACCACTATCCAGGCGGAGGAGAACAGTATGCCGCTGACCATCAGCGACAGGCAGGCGATGAGGGTGGCCAGCAGGAAAACCCTCCGGTACTGTGTCGTCTCCCTGGAGCGACCCCCATACTCTGTGTCCAGATGCTCCATGATCGAGCGGCAGAGCTCGCCCGTGGCCTGGTAGACGATCGCGGGCCATATACGCAGCACCAGATCCTTGTCCGACTCCACAACGTTGCCATACAGGTATGCGGGCGTTGCCAGAAAGGCCTGCAAGAGAGAGTGAGAAAGAGTGAGAAGGAGAGACATTAAAATGGAGACTGAAAGATAAAGAGACGAGATTTTAATGCGATTTACGTGGATGGCAAAGCCGCAGAGCATGTACTTCTGTTGGATGTGCTTTTTGACCACTCGCCGTCGCTGGATGCCAGCAGTGGCCCGGGCAGTGGGTCGGCGAACACCCACACCCACGCCCACACTCGTTATTCCTGTCGGCGCTGCCATGTACTCCGTATCCCTGTCCCTCCCTTTGGGTGTTGCCATCCCTCTGAAAGCTGCTTTTGGCCGAAGAAGAAGATCTGTGTATCCGTATCCGTATCCGTATCCGTATCCGTTTGCTGGGCGTTCTATGAATTTGTATGCGGTCCAATCCGTCTAGCCGAGAGCAGGCATCATCATTTACCAAGCCACAAATCCGCTTAGGTAATGGCCAACAGAAAGCTCACCCACACACAGAGACGCCCTGCCAGCAGACGCCGAGAGTTCGGTTCGGTTCTGATAACAATCAACTCTTATCACTCATCCACCACCAGAGATACCCGTACCCGTACCCGTACCCGTACCACCACATCGTATCCCTATCTTTGCTATATATTTATCTGCTGCATGTGTAGCCGTGAGATTAACGTCAGATATGCAAAGCGTTTTTGCCTGCAACTCCGTCAGCCAGATGCCAGACCACAGCCCCACAGCTCCATCGTCAGCAGAGGATTATGTTTATGGCCAGACGTACGCAGAACCATAGCTATACCCATACCCATAGCCATAGACGAGCCAAATGATTAGGCATGATTAGGTCGACACGCAGATAGATGAAAAATACTCATTTGTGGATGGCATTGTATGAGTATTCTTTTGCCCCCCAAAATGGGGTCAACCATTGTGTGTTGTGTGGAATCTGTGGGAGTGTGTTTGGGATTGATTTGGAATACTTTTCGATATGGAATATCCACGATAGAAGATAGAATCTTAGGACCCACTTTTAGTACATTAAGAGTGGCAATTTTCGCATTCACTTCAAAGAAACGGATGATTCACTTCCGAAGGTCGCTTTAATTCCAGTTTATTATTAAATAGTATCCTTTCTAGCCAAACTATTCTTAGCTCATCTGTAATATTTTTCCATCGTTTAAATACCAGAACCATTCGTGACGAATGGTAGCTGTTCGTGTCATTCGTATGGAATGGTTTCTGTTCACTAATGGGAAATTTGTGCTGCTAATCAATTTATCATATCTGTCTCCAGATAGGTGTGCTGCCTCACTGGGGGATGGCAGTTGTGGAGTAGATCCATGAGCTCCATGGAGCTAAACCAAGCAGGTTTAGATAATGAAATAATCATTATTCATATTGAAAGATAGAAATGAAAGATGCATTTTGGAAGCAGAGCAGAATGAACCTTTAACAAATGCCTTTAACATCTGTATTTACGTACTTCACCTCCATTTCCATTTGTAGATTTTATCTGTACTTTTTTGTTATTTTCCACAAGCTGGTATAGATAGATATTTAGATATATCAAAAGATACACAGTTGATCCCACTGATTAGAATGGTGGGGATCTTTCTTCAGCTTCACGGAGGATGCGTCATACTCTTTGGGTGTGTTTTTGTTATTCCGTCCCTCGGACATATCGTATCGTATCCGTATCGTGATGTGATGTGATGTGTGATATTAATCAAAAACAGTAGCAAAATCTGAGTGCAAACAGTCCTATCTTGACCTCCACACCCCAACGCTGGGTATACTTATCTCCGGGGAGACAAAGGCACAGAAAGAGACAGGGAGAGAGAGAGAGAGATCTATCTCCGTGATATCTTTACACACTTCCGTTTCATATCCGTGGACTAGGAGGTGGTGCGAGGTGTGGGTTAAGTGGTTTACAACTGTATTTTGCAATTTATCCGGAGACGTCAGACGGCGGGGAACAGCACATTTTTTATTTGCACCATATACCCGTTACCCGTAACCCGTAACACGTTACCCGCAACCGTACCCACAGCAGTATCTCTGGGCTATGGAGACGATACGAAGGCAAGGTGCTAAGCCCCGATAGATAAGGTGAGCGCCTCGCACAGCATCCAAGATTTTCGCTATATAACCGAGCGGGGGCCGTGTCATTAGCTCATACAACGATCAACCGACGTTAGCCACTGGCAACGATGACAACGACAACTAGAACCAGAACCACAGAAACCACAGAGACCACATTCACGGTGCGAAGAACGATGACCAGCCGTAGCGGAAAGTTCTCGATGGCCACTTCCATTCTGCTGCTCTGCGCCGCCTTGGTAAGTGTATCCGTATTTTGAGAGGATGACGATTGGGCTGGGGAATGACCAATAGTAATTGCAATTGCAGCTGCTGACAAAGTCCTGCGGCATCCTGGCACTTAGCGGCGATGGCAGCAGCGACAGCAACCAGCTGGGCCAGGCAGATCCCTGGAGCGATCCCACGACCACAACCCTTAGCCAGGAAACCGAGGGCAGTGGCGGCTGGGAGACGACCACCACCATCCAGGAGGAAGAGACCACGGAAGCATCCACAACGCCTGAGCTGGAGACAACCACGGCAGAGGATGAGACATCTACCGCTGGTCAGGAAACAACCACAGCTAATCAGGAGACATCCACAGCAGCTGTCGAGAACACCACTGCAGCTCCTCTTGAGCCAGAGACCACCACAGGAGCTCCTCTTGAGCCAGAGACCACCACAGGAGCTCCTCTTGAGCCAGAGTCCACCACAGGAGCTCCTCTTGAGCCAGAGTCCACCACAGGAGCTCCTCTTGAGCCAGAGACCACTACAGGCGCCCCAGTTGAGCCAGAGACCACCACCAATCAGCCCGAGAGCACCACCGCTGGTGCCGGCGATGAGCCACCGGCAACCACCACTGAGGAGCCAGCCCTGGGCACCACTTTGACGCCTACGCCCGAGCCCGCTCCCGCGCCCACGGTACCCGTCTTCGAGTGCCAGACGGCAGGACTCTTTCCGCATATCGGCGAAGACTGCAGGCGCTACCACAAGTGCCTGTGGAATCCGCTGCTGCGCCTGCTCCAAGAGCAGGAGATGGTGTGCCCTTCGCTGACTGCCTTCTCGCCCACGCTGCGCCGCTGTGTGCGCGACGTGTCCGTGTGCAAGGACGACGAATTCGAGTGCCTGGCTGTGGGACGCTACGCGGGCCACGACGACACCTACTACTACAGCTGCATGGCCAGCCTGCAGGGTGGTCTCCACAAGTTCATTGTGCGCTGCTCCAGCGGCCAGCGGTTCGAGCCATTGATTGGCGGATGCTGGCGGTATGACTGGACCCAGATTGTGCCCGGACAGGAGGCGCTGGAGGTGAGCGACCTGGCGGCCATCAAGCGGGAGCTGAAGCTATACAAGGCGGAGGAGAAGCTGCGTCTGAAGGCCCTGAAGGAGCAGGAAAAGCTGGCCCGCAAGCAGCAGAAGCTGGAGCAGCAGGCGGCCAAGAAGGCGGCCAAGGAGCTGGCCAAACAGCAGGCCAAGGCCGAAAAGGAGGCTGCCAAGGCCGCCAAGGAGCAGGCCAAGGCCGACAAGGAGGCCAACAAGGGGCCGTCCATCGAGAGCACCGAGTCCGACGAGGAGCCCAGAGGCCTTTTCTGAGGAGTCTGAGAGATGAGCCCCGCCAGGAGGAGCTACTCCTCCACTACGTTGGTCCATTGCCCTAGTCTTATGATATCTGCTAGAATTCTGCTGTCAATTTTTGTGTGTGTCTTTTTTTTTAATATATGGTATTAATAAAGTTCTGGAAACTAGACCAATAATGTTAATATCTTTGTGAAAAAAAACAACGCAAGATACGATTCTTGGAAGACACAGAATCTTGAAGCTCTCAAGAATGCTCACTTATAAGCGTTTCCCTCAGGTGAATCTTATCTTTTGATTTAGTATAGGGAAATCATAAAAATAAAACAGAAGGACACATATATTCTGCCAGATGCGATTCTTGGAATTCCTTCTTAGTCAGCCACGCAAATCGCTCCGTTTCGTGCTCAAATTTTTAGCAAATCGTAAGATTCATTCGATTTAAAAAATGGATTTTTCAATTATTGATACTTATTTATAGTCGTTCATAGATTATTATACCATGTAAGCTGATGTTTTAAGTTTATTTTTATTAATTGGAAATTGATTTCATATAAATTTCGAAACTTAAAACATTCCTTCATTCCTTTCTCTTCCACTCCTCGCTGCTCGTAAATTTGGATATTTCTTCCATAGTTTTTTTTTTGTCTGCCAGCAAAATGGCTGCTTTAGCGCTTCCGTTTTCGTATGTGTCTCTCTCTCTCTAACTGCGAGTGTCTATGTGCACTCTCTCGCTCTTCTTCTCTGTAGATATTCGCACGAGTAAAAGATCAGGACAACTTAAGAAAATTCATGGAGTGCCTTCCATTTTCTTCTCGATGGCATCCGATTTTGCATTTACGAGAAATTGAATGTATCTTCCAGCAGGTACTGCACATTTGAATCTGTATCTGTGTCTGAGGAACAGACTTTTTTAGGGATTAACATGCATTTATTTGTGTTACTTCTGCTGCTGAATAATCGGTATGTTTGTATCTCTGTGTTTCTGGCTAATCTGTATCTATATACACAAGTATTTATTGGTGTGACTGGGTCTGCGACTGCGAGTGCTGCTGCTTTCGGATCTCCTCTCGATTTTCGAACTGGCAAAGCAGACACGTCTGCTCCATCAAACAGTACAGAACGGCGCAAGTCTCCAGCTTCTCCTCCCCGTCGCGGCGCAGCTCCTCCGAGGAAAGGCCCTCCCGCATATTTTCGGGCAGAAAATCTATTTCCGAATGCAATGTGTGCTTGGAAATGGTGAGCAGCATGTCGTAGTCGGCCTTTGTTCTCTGAAATGCGCCGGCGATTAAGTCCTGAACATCTTCCTTTTCTTCCAGCTCCTGGGAAGGAAATGTATTTTCAATCCAGTTTTCTACCAGCGTCTCGTTCGAAGGATGTTCCTCCACCATCTCCTGGGAAGGGGCTGCTATTTCAGCCTCGTTTTCTTCCAGCGAAGGATGCTCCTCGAACATCTCCTGGGAAGGGGCTGCCGCTTCAGCCATTATTTCGCACGAAAAACGAAACCCGAGTAAACAGAGCGAGAATTCTGTTGTCGAAACGAGAATTGGAAAATTACTATGTTCCTTAAAAACGAAATGATTCTTTCGGTTTTTTTTAGTTTTCTCTGAATATATTTCGGATATTTTGAAAAGCGATTGCTCGTGTTGCTGGGATATTGGAAAATGCCATTGGAAAACCGGAATAATGGGGAAACGCATAAACTGCTAAACACTCTCTCTAGCGATCGATTCACAAATGCTGCTGCCACCATCATCATCTCTCGATGTTCATCAAAATGTGTGCTGCTGTGCTGTTCCCGATGGTCGCCACCATCCACCAAATTTACTAGTAATGTAAATAGGTGGCAAATATACCTCTAAGTAGTATCAACGACAATATAATTATCAAGATGTTGCATGAGGCACCAAAACATTGTTCATTGTCGCTGCCTGCTCGGTTACACCTGTTCGAAAATGCCTTGGGCAGCTGAGTCGGTTCCCAGAATTCAACAACAATAGCCCAAGCCCAACAACAATACGCGAAGGATAGCCCAAGAGAGAATTATAGTATCGAGAATATCGAGAAAACTTTAAATGGAATTTTTACCTTATGAAATGTCTTGGGTTTTTATAGTCTTTGGTGGAAATATGAGCTCCAGAGTTTAATGTTTATTAAGGTAAGTATTCGCATTAACTAGAGATACGATACGGTTCCTCGAAAGCCCCTTCCCCAGATAAGGCCCGAGTACCGATTGATGTTGATCACTTATCTGGGAGGCACTTATCTGGGAGTAGTCATGCCTGCAGACGTTAAGGCCCAAGCCACATTATTCTTTATCTGTGGGCGAACATATTCGCGTCGATCAGGCCGGCGGGTGGGCTATATAAGAGCCAGGCCAAGGGTCCGACCAGTTAGTCCGTCGAATCAAGTAACGAGAACCTAAACGAAACCGAAACCAAAACACACGCAGCCTGCTCGAAATGTTGAAGCTTCCGATGCTCCTGGGCACCACCGTGGTGGTGGCCCTTCTCCTGGTCTCCGGCGGCGCCCAGGCCGAGGCCTCCCTGTGCAGCCAGAGCGGGTACTTCGCACTTGTGGATAACACGCCCGAGTTCTATGCCTGCCGCGCGTCTCCTGCCGGCGGCTTCTCTCTGCAAATAATGCGCTGCTCGGCCGGCAGCGTCTTCAGCTCCAAGGCTGGCCACTGCACAGAAGTGGCAGACCTGTCACTAATGGCACGCGATGATGGCAACATCGAGAATCCGACGATTCCTCCCAGCAATGTGGATGATAGTTCCTCGCAGAAGCCGGCTGAGGTAACCACTCCTACGCCTGTCCCTACCGCCGCACCCTTTACTGACAACCCAGAGGACACCTCTGGTGCACCGATCAGTACTGATGATGTCTCTACCGATGATCCTTCGACTGATGAACCATCCACTGATGAACCCTCTTCAGATACCACAGAGAAGCCGGCTGATGTGACCACTGATTCGGCGATCTCTACCGAAGATCCTTCTTCAGAGAGCACGGAGAAGCCGGCAGAGGGAACCACTGGGTCGTCAATCGGTACCGATGATCCCTCTACCGATGATCCTTCGACTGACGACGCATCCACCGATGAGCCCTCTTCAGATACCACGGACTCCACCGACTCCACCGACTCCAGCGACTCCACCGACTCCAGCGACTCCACCGACTCCAGCGACTCCACCGACTCCAGCGACTCCACCGACTCCAGCGACTCCAGCGACTCCACCGATGATGGGTCCACCACTGCCGCCACCCCCATACTCGATTGTCCCACAACAGGCTTCTTCCCCATGGATGAAAACTGCGGCGAGTTCATCATTTGCTTCCAAAATGGCAATCGTCTAGAGGCCGCCCGCTTCAAGTGTCCCGAGGGTATGCAGTTCAATCCCGAACTTTCCTTCTGCGTCGCCGATTACGACTGCACCGCCTAGAGAGATAGATAGAAAGAGAGGAAAGAGCAAGAGCTAGTGGAAGGGAGGGAGGGAACTGACGAGAGAGAGAGAGAGAGAGAGAGAGAATAGCAGAAAGAAAGAATGCAATAAAACTATCCACGAAGCTCGATTATAAACCCAACCTGTATTTAATATATTTTTTCTGTCCACAAAACCTTTATTTTGCTTGTGATTTTTTTTATTTTTTTTTTTGAGTGAATAAATTGTGGAATAATTAATAATAATTTATTTGAAAATATATCTGGGGATCTTGATGGGTTTTTTCAAGTGTCTTGCGTATGACGGAAAATCAATTTCATTCGCATTATCCGTCATGGCGATAAGGAACCCATTAGGAACGGTACGGTCCGGTCCGGTACGTCTGTTCGATGGATGGATGGATCCACGGATCGCCTGTCTATCTTATCGACTGCCTGCCTGCCTATAACTATTTAGCAACTGACAAACTAGCCTGGCCAAAGAACTCTTAAGGGGAATTTGCTGATCACAAAACCGATTTGGAAAAAGAATGATATGAGTGTGGAAAGAACTAGCGAATGGGGAAATGATATGTTCGTTGGGCCCCTTGACTGCAGGAAGAATCTGAAACACTTAAGGACATTTGTTGAAATAGTATTTATGTACATATATACATTATAAAATATGTACCCTCGACCTCTTGTTATTGATGGATCCTTACAATTATTGAGTACAAAATACTTCAATTCTTTTGGACGGTCTCTTTGGAACTTGATTGAACCTCATTAGGACCCTTTAATGTTAGCATTATCTTTAAAGACTTCTTAGAATATAATCTTATCTTTCTATAAAAAATCCAATTATTGTATTTCCATTGGAGTACTTTTCTGTCTTTTCCTTTACATTATTTTGTTCTTTTCTTATTGGGGGAACTTCCTTTCTAGAGTCACGAGATGTTGTTTATACGTGCATATATAGGTGCATATCGTCCATCCATTCCATGAATGATACATTCAATCACGTGCCAGTGTCTTCATGGCGATTGTAAAAATTCCCGAGTTATCTGTGGCCAGTGCTCCGGGGTGCTTCATAAACTTCCGCATGGGTTGGGGAGGATGGTCAGAGATCTGCCAATGAGTGCGATAAGTATGCAAGCCCCGGGGCTCAATGAATTCTTAAATGAGTGAAAGTCTCCGCTCCACCGACGCGTCGGGGCACACAATGATGTTCGTTCGGTCCACTGGCTGGCATTGCATAAAGCGCCGCCAGAGTCGGGAATCGGGGGAATGCCGCTTGGTTGGACAATTGCGCATGCGCGTAGCTCGTTAAAGCGTCTTTCAACGGCACTGCTGCGACGGCGAAGCGACAATTAAAGCAGGCCAAAAAACTCCGAGCAAAATGTTCGCACTGCCGATATTGGACGCAGTCCAGGCACGTACCTCCCCCCACCGGATAATCTCTGGGTACGTGCTAGTCCGAGTAGTACCGCCATTTGGCCCTAAACGGTCATCGGCAAACAAACAGCAGATTGAGATTGATATTGAGATGGTGGCAGCTTGCCCTCCATCCTGCATCTCGAACAGTGGCTCCCACTGTTTGACCACTTTCGTTTGTTCCCCAAACAGAAACCCAAATGCGACAAACATTTTGGCGACACCCCAGCCAGCGAAAGATAAATGGCCAGCAGATACAATTGTATCTCTATTTGAATGTTGCCCCAGAGACAGACTCATAGCGGGTTATGTCATTTGCACATTTACACATTTAGACATTTAGACATTTAGACATTTGGACTCTCTCTCTCTCTCTGTGTGTGTGTTTTATGATATCTTTTATCTCGCTTTCAGAGCTCTGGCTCTGGCCAAGATCAACATTTAAATGTTGTACAATTATGCGAGAGCTGTCATCGCAAATGTGAAGCCTTCTCTCGAAACGAGACGAAACGAAACGCAGGCCCCATTAAGATTATGTATGGGGCAGCAGCACAGGCACAGCTTCCTAGTAACGCTCGTACGTTGAGTAACTAAGCACGGCAATCATGAGTTGGAAATTAAGAAAATTGTCAACTCTAAAGGCAAATGCAAAAGTGCCCGTACTCGCATCTGCCTCAGTATTTGAACAATCTATTGATCTGCCTGCCAGTGATGCAATCCATTCGATAATTGAGGAAATCTTCCCATGATGGCATCTCAGGATGAGTAAATACTTACAATAATTAACTATTGGATTGCCGACATGGCCAGACAGAGAATCCCAAAAGATGGCACATTCAATCGATGATCACACAAACCCCCCTGTGTTTTGTTTTTTAACGATGGTATGGTTTAAGCGATGAGGCTCCTTTATTATTAGTTATAGTCCGTCCCTTAAGCTGTGGAGTACTCAAAATAATTGGAATACCATTCTGGAACCGCTTGGCGTTTGAATTCATATATATTTTATAATCGATTTTGAGTCGCGTATGGTTTGATGCTGCTCGGATATACATACATATGAATCACTTTTGGTTGGCCCTTTCAATAAGTTGACTCGTTTTCCATGCAATCGCTCAAGACACACCTCAAGAAACTTTCTTACTCTGTATTTCCTTTATGGCTGGACCTGCTCTACTTCTCTCATTGCTTTTTATTTTCCACAATCCATACTTTTTTCTCATAGTTAGAAAATTCCGATTGAACATTGAGAATTTGTTCCATGTCCACTGGCGACCACAGACATTTCAAAATCAATTTTCATTGCAAGTGCTCCATTTTTGAAGCACAAAAATATGAATTATTTCCCCTATATATGGATATTAATTTGTCCAAAATGTACATATATGTATGTATGTATTTTGAATAGTACATATTACCATTTAAGTAACTGACAAAATTACTGTCTAAATATCCTCGCAGCAGCCAAGAATGCAATCGATATCTGTGGCTCTTTTTGCAGTTGGAACAGACGAAGAAGCGATGGGCGCCTGTTGGATCCTTCCAAGAATCTCAGGACCTGTGTAATGATTGACGGACCCCCAATAAAATGTAGGACTTTTGTGTGTTTATATCTAAATACAGCTGTGCCCAAAATGGTGTACATATATTGAAACATGCCCCCTGGCCTGGTGCCCGATGCCAGATCGGGCATCTCTCTCTCTCTCTCTCTCTCTCTTTCCGTCGGTATCTGTATATCTGTGTCTTTCCCGGGGAGCATCTTCGTGCGGCGATGCTGCCCCAGAGTCGTTGTCACAGATATTTGCAACATTTTGCATGTCGCCTTTGAGCGAATGCCGCCCGCGAGCGCTCACGTACATCTATGGTCGGTACGGTGGGGCACGTCACGAACCCGCGACTCTCTCTGCGGCTCTGCGACTCTGCCAGACTGTACGACTGTGCGACTGTGCGACTCTCTCCTCTCCGTGGCGGCCTCGGCTCGCGTTACCTGCCGCATTTTCCACGCGCAGCGCTCAGTTCGTGGGCGCCTGCGCGCATGTGCAGTCAGTCAGTGTTCGTTTGCGGTGCGGTTAACAATCGAGATACGGATCGCGATCCACCAAAGAGATACACACATATATATATATATATATATCAACGATCCGTGGGAGGAGCATCCCCCTCATAGCCCAACGTATCCCCTGTATCCCACAACAAGAGTGTACAAAAAACCACGAAAATTGTGTGCTAAATATTGAAATAATTTTGTTTGTATTTTTGTTCGAGTGCGCGACTGTCAAGTGATCGATTAAGTGGTGCCCGGAGATCGCTGAAGAAATTCTCAAGAATTTCAGGTAGCAAACACCCACACAAATACACACCCACACACACAGAGGATCAGGACTGACAGATAGACAGCTACAGACAGCATCATTCTTGAAGGGTTCTCTTCAGCAGAGGAGCAGCGCAGCTACAGAGGCGGCAGTTTTTCCTGGGAAAACTGTATGCACTCCCAGTGCAGCAGTCAGTGAAGAAGAAATGGTAAGTTCCAAGAATTTGTTCACACGAAACCAGCCACGAAGATACGAGGGTTTTACGAGTGCCAAAGACAGACGTAGGTCAGGGTCCCCGGGCCCAAACCACAACCCGAAACAGAAACAGAAACAGAGCTCTTGTAGCTCTTTGCAGCGGCGACTTTGTAGAATTTTTACGAGCCTTTCCGAGGCCTAAAATTGTTTTTAAAGTACGAGCATCCATAAAGTTTATGATCACTTTCGATGCGGAAAAATAAGACACAAAACGAAAAAAACAATGGAAAGGGAAAGCCCTAGACATGGAGATGTAGGACTCTTTTCAAGTGCAACATCATTTCGAAATTTCAGAGGAGAAATAAAGTTCAATTGCTCTTCTAGAACATACACAAAAGGATCTCAGATATCTTAAGTGTACATGTACGTTCCACAAGATCAAATTCAGTTTAAGGATATATCAATCAATAGGTTGTAGGCCTGGAGGAGTAGTAGATCACTGCCTCATAGCTGGATGTTGCAATGTGCCCCCAAAATATTTGTTACGTCTTTAGGACTCTGCGAACTTTTATAATTGGTACTCGGCATAATTGGAGTTAAAAGAGAATTGGATGTACTTTTACAGGATTTTTGATTCGTAGGGCTAGGGGGATTATCCCTGAAGATATATCGAGCCAAACTTAAAGTTTGGGAACGTTTGGGCATATGATAGAAAAAGATGAGTCGATTAATGGAAGGATTTATGTATAAATCATGAACATAATCCTATCCTCAAGAAATTATCTATTTATCCATATATAGAAGAATAAAATGGAGCATTCTGTAGCTGAGAAGCCATCCATTAAAGCCCTTAAGAATCTTTCAAAATGAACTTCAGAGTTTGCTTAGGAATTACAATTAAGAATTAACAAACGATACGCATCTGTAGAGATATATTGAGAAAACGAGTATCACTTTACAAATCTGCTAATTATTGTTCATTGTCTTCGCCATGGATACCCCCTGGGGCTGGGACTGAGGCTGGGACTGAGGCTGGGACTGAGGCTGGGACTGAGGCTGGGACTGAGGCTGGGACTGAGGCTGGGACTGAGGCTGGGACTGAGGCTGGGACTGAGGCTGGGACTGAGGCTGGGACTGAGGCTGGGACTGAGGCTGGGACTGAGGCTGGGACTGAGGCTGGGACTGAGGCTGGGACTGAGGCTGGGACTGAGGCTGGGACTGAGGCTGGGACTGAGGCTGGGACTGAG